GGGGGGGGGGGGGGGGGGGGGGAGCTCACTCTCCAGAGACCAATCTTCATCAGCCTTGCCAAACAGGCTGACGAGCTCATCGGGCGTAAACGAGCTGAGTGCCGAGTAAGGGAAGACGGTGGAGAATCCCGCCCGGAAGGCGTCCACCTGACGACGCACACCAGACCCCAGGGTGGCGTCCACTACCTTGTCCAGGTACGAGCCCACATTGTCAATCGTGACGCGCTTGTGGGAGCCCCCGTCCTCGAGCTCGATCTCGGGATATCCGGGGAGCGTAAAGTCGAGGCACAGGTCATCGATGGTGACGCCGCCATCGATCGTGATATTCTCCATGTCCTGGACCTTCTGGGCGGGCGTGCGGTTCGCGTCGTTGGCAATCTCCTTCTTGGCCAGGACGAACTTCTGGATCGTCATGAGCGACGACGCCAGGCCCGGATCCACCATCTTGACCGAGGCGAGGGAGGGCCTCAGGTTCGTCGAGGAAGGCGGCGACGCCGTCGCCGTCGCCGTCGTGGCCGCCTCGCCGGCCAGGCGGAAGAAGATTGGGTTGAAGTGGATGTCGATGATGCGCGAGTCGATCATGGACCGCGCCACAAACTTGCCCAGCATCTTGAACAGGTGCAGGATCCGCTCGCCGTTGGGCGTCGACGACTCCTTCTCGCTCATCGGGCGCGGGAACAGCCCCATGGGGCCCGATACGTACTCGGACGTGCTGGACGAGTCCATGTCGCGCCAGAGCCTGACCTTCTTCTTGGCAAACTCCCGAGACACCGTCGAGTAGAACTCGAGCGTCGGGCCCAGTCCGGTCCCGACCTCCTCAAAGTACTCTACCTCGAGGATGCTCTGCGACGCGCCGTACAGGTCCATGACCTTGAGGGCCGACTCGAGTATCTTGCTACGCGAGATGCGCACCTTTTGGCGCTGGAGGCGGCCCAGGTACGGCCGCTCGTTGAACCGGTCCCGTCGGCTGTCCTCGGCGTTCTGGGTATTCTGCCACTTCGCCATCGAGCGAGCGTAGCCGAACGACGTCGACTGGAGGAACAGGTGCCTCGTCTCAAAGGGGAACAGGAATGGGTAGAGACGCCCCAGGTCTTCGGACCACCCGGGCAGGCAGTTGCTCGCCACAATCAGCGGCTCCTCCAGCTGGCGGTTGAGCTTGGCCGTAAGCTTCGTGTTGACAAACTGCGACAGCGGCTCGCGGTGGATGTCGACGGTTGCCTCCCTCTTGTTGATGAGGACCTCGTCGATGTTGGCGTTGAGCTCGTGCAGCATGTTGAGGAGATGCAGGATGGACGATGTGGTGGGGTTCTTGGCCAAGGACGCCGGCACGCCGTTGATCGCCTCGTGGTCCGTGTCGAAGCTTGAGGACAGGTTCTGGGCCGAGGCTGGCCGGGGACCGGGGACGCGGCGGAACGTAACTTGGTGCGTGGCCGACCAGACGCTCCGCGGCTGATCCGACGAGGTTGCGCCCGAGTTGTGGACGGCACGGTAGATGGTCGTCTCGTTCGGCACCACCTTCCCGTCCAGGCTGAACTCAATGTGCCAGTCCTGGGGGGCGCTCTGCAGGGCGGACGAATAGGACATGGGTTTAGACGAGGGGGCCGACGGCGTCGGGGCACCCTGGCTGTTGGCGGCCGGCGTGGCGGCGGTCCGGTCTGGCCGGGCAGATCTTCCAGGCGTGTGGCCAGGGGTGGGAACCCGGCTCCCGTCTTCCTTGCGGGCCAGGACGTTGCCGCCCCTGGCCACCTCCATGTTGACGGCCGAAGGGTCGGCGGGAGCCGGCTCGTCCTCCTCCATCTCGTCGTGGAGGCCGCCGACGATGGCATCCAGTGCGCTGTTGCCGTCAGCCATCCCGTCCTCGTCCTCGTCGTCCGTCAACTGCTTCTCATCAGCGCACTCCAGAGCGTCCTGGAGATCGTCGTCTTCTCCATCACCTGGCGGGGGGTGGTCGGGGAGCGGCGCATCCCCCGTTGCCGCCTGGCGGCGTGACGAGCGCCGAAGCGTTCCCTGCTCGCGGGACGGTTCCACCGACGGGTCGGCCTGCGACGGTCGCGTCTTCAGCCTGCGGCTGGGGCGGGAGCCGGTGGGGGACCCTGCCTGCGGCGGCGGAGGGGGCGGGACAGGGCCTCCTGCGGCGGGGGAGCCCGAGCCGAACGGCGAGCGTTCAGCCAGCCTTGCCGCGGCAGCGTTGCTGAGACCGCCCGCGCCGGCCATGGCGGCAAGAGCCCTGGAGAGGTCGTCCCGTCGTGAGCCGCGGGGCCGCTCGGACATGCTGATGCGAGGACGGAGGTATTCGTCCAGGGATTTGAAGGTCGCGATGGCGTGGATGGAGACCATGATGTTGTGGTACGGCTTGGGGATTTCCGATGACTCATCGGCCAGCAGACGGAGGCGGATCTGCTTGCCCAGCATCGAGGCCGGGCTGCTTCGGCTGCCTTCAAAGGTATTCTGGTGCACGGTGATGACTTCGAAGTGCTCCGACCTACTGAGCAGGTCCTGAAGCTTGTGCACCAGCACGCTGAACGGCGTCACGGGGGAGTCGGCCGTCGCCGTCTTGGGCTTGGATCGCACCGTATGGCCCATGAAGACCTCGAGGAATGTGGACTGCGCCTGCTGTGAGAGCTCCTCGTCCGGGTTGCTGAGCACCTCGAGGAGGACGCGGACCAGGCCCGAAGACAGGAGCTCGGCACTCGTGGCACTCTCCAGGACGTCGGAGTCAAAGTACGACGCCAGCTTGTCGAAGAGCTCCCGCCCCTTGGCAGGCGACAGGTCACCGGGGGTCCTCTTGAGATAGAAGGCGTCGAGGGAGGCGGCCAGGTTAGACAGGTCGTCGAGGATTCCGGCGGCCTTCTTCTTCATGTCGCGGCCCCTCTCTTCGGAATCGTGCGTCTCGACAAACTTCCTGGCCACGTCGCGGATGCGGAATTGCATAGGCACCGGGTCGAAGCCATACCGGAGGGCAGGGGAGTCGAGAGACATGGTGGATCCTCCCGAACTGGCCGGAGAGTCGCCATCGTCGTCACGGCGAGTCTCCGGGTCGACCTCGTCATGCCGGCCCTCTTCGTCACCATTGTCGTCGTCGTCCTCTTCGTCGTGGTCCTCGTCCTCGTCTTCTTCCTCGTCCTCTTCTCCTTCGACGTCCTCGGGTTCGTGGTCGTGGTCGTGGTCGTCCTCGTCCTCGTCCTCGTCCTCGTCCTCGCTGTCGTTCTCTGGTTCGTGTCCGTCTCCGTGCCCGGCGGCATCGCTGTCGGCCGCCAGGTCGTCCTTTGCGGCAGGGCCAGCCGTTCCGGGGCGGACCTTACCCCCATCCACGGACTCGGCAGGCTTCGGCTTTTCGGGGAACTCCTCGGTGGCCAGGGCCGTGATCTCGGAGATGACACCTTCGCGGTAGAACTGGTATCTGTAGATGTCGTCCAGCCTGTGGAGGAGCAGCTCGGCGGCCTGGAGGCCCAGCATGACAAGGCTGGGATGGTCCCGCTGGGAGAGGATGGAGGCCAGGAAGGAGGCGTAGGGGACGGGGATCAACGATTCGGCGAGGATCTGCCTGTCCAGGTTGGACAGCATCTTGAGCTGGGCCTTGAGAACGCGCTGGCGGACACCTAGGTTGACGGTGCTGGAGTAGGCGTCGGTCAAGGTGGGGAAGAGAATGAGGGCGAACCGCCGAACCTGCTCCTGGCATCCGTCGAGCAGCTCGACCCTCTTCTCGCGGTCCTCGCCGCTGTGGCTGCTCTGCCTGCGAGCCCCGGCCCTGGCGCCGGCGGACAGGGCGGTGGGGGCCGCCGGCCGGTGCAGCTCCACGAAGTCGCCAGAGGCAGGATCCGCGCTCTTGGGGAGGTCGGGGAGGAGCTCACAGATGATGTTGAGCGTCTCGAGTATCTGCTCGCGCGGGCGGTGGATGAGGGCCTGCATGATGACGACGCTGTCCAGCTTGGAAGCAACATCCTCAGTCCCGCTTGGCGGGGACACGCCGGTGAGCATCTGATAGAGCGTTTCGACGACGTTGAGCTTGAAGAGCTCCGCCGACAGGCTGGGGCTGGCTCGGGCCGTCAGGGCCAGGACGCGGAGGAACTGGGTGTGGATGCTGGAGCCGATGAGGTTGGTGGTGCCGGGGACGAGCAGGCGAAGGACGGTGCGGAGCAGGTCAACACTGACGAGCTCCTCGAGCTTCTTGGGCTGGTAGCCAAAACAGTCGACGATACCCGAGACGCAGAGGGAAGCCTGCTCTACAACACGCTGGTCACTGCTGTTGAGGACGTTGAGGAGGGTAGGCATGACATCCCGAACGACGGGGAAGGAATCGTTGGGGATATTGCGGCAGCAGTTGGCAGCCGTCGTGACCGCCGTCCTCTGCGTGCTCGTAGCAAAGAAGTCGAGGTACGACAAGCAGGCCGTGAGGCCGCCCTCACGGACGATGCTGCCGGGGTACTCGACAGATATCTTTTCGAGGGTGCTCAGAGACTGCTCGGCGACATCGATGAAGGAGATCTCCAGCAGCTTCTGGCAGAGGACGGGGACGGCACCACCGTACACGACGTTGGCGACGCTCGCAGGGAGAGCCTCCATAAGGTTAGCCAGGCATCGGCACGCCAAGAGCATGACTTCGGGGCTCTCGCCCTTGCTCATCAAGGTGACCAGCTCCTTGACAAAGGCGTCCGGGGAGAACTGGCCGGACAGGTTATCCTCGTTGGAGACCAGCAAGATCTCGGACAGCTCCTGCAGCGCGATCATCTGCACGGAGAGGTCGTCTCGCCGCAGGCTGCTGAGAAGATCCCTGAAGCGGGAGGCGAAGCCCGACATCATGCCGGTGAGGGCCCGGAGCGTCCCGGACAGGCCGATGCCGCCAGAGCCTCCAAAGAAGTCGTCTTCGTCCTCCTCGTAGCGCCTCATCTCTTCATCCTCGCCGCCGTCGTCGTCGTCGCTGTCGTCTTCGGGGGCGGGATCCTGAGTGGGGGGTGCGGGCGGAGGTCCTGGGTCGCTCGGCTCGTCTACGTCAGTCATGGCCGTGTCTGGATCCGGCGGATCGCTCTGGGGCTTGGGCCTGCGCGTTGACGATGTGCCAGCCTGTGGCGGGTCTGGGGGGGGAGGGTCGGTCTGTCAGCGAGGCTCGGTCTACAGCAACGGCAAGGCTTGCGGGTTGACCGCGTGCCCAAAGGAGGAACATACCTCTGGAGCGAGATGCAGACTTCTTGCTGCGGCTAGACTTCCTACTTGACGAGGCCGACTGGTCCGCCTGCGGGGCAGGGGCGGCAGAGCCGGGGAGGTCGCTGTCACGAACGACAATATCAGCATTCAGTTCTCTGCGGGCGTCCCCGCGGGCGTCCCTCGCGGGGATTGGTCGACGTACTCTGTGCTATCCATAACGGCAGGTCCCTTTCCCTTTCTGGTAGATCTAGCAGGAGTAGATGCAGTCGGGCCGGCGGAGGGGGAGCTAGCTTCGGGGGTCTTTCGCCTCTTGGTAGGGCGTCGACCGGAAGAGCCCGGGTGGGATTTGGAGGCGGAAGAAGAGTCTGTCTCGGCGGCCGGGGCGGCTTTGCGTTTCCTATTCGCCGGAGTCGAGACGGTGGGAGGGTCGGGGAGCACGTCGGATACGGGAGCTGCGTCAGAGGCTGAGGCGGGAGAGGCGGAGGTGTTTGCTGCCTGTTTTGCCGCCTGGCGAGCCGAAGATCTGGTGATTCTGGGAGGCATGAGCATCAACGAGGTCGGGCCATCCGAGAAAAAAAATTGATGATGGTGGTGGAGTTGAAGTCTGAACTTTATGAGAGAAGAGATGGAAGGTGGGAGAAGCAAAAGAGAGTTTGTCAAGGGAACCGAGATGAGATGGCAGGCATCAAATGCCAGCAGGCTGCTGCTGCTGCTGTTGATGCCGCTTCCAAGCTGGCAGGGTGTTGTCAGGTGGCAAAGGGCAATTCTCCGATTGACGTCACCAGACTGGCAGCGGGCTGAGAGAGAGAGAGAAAAGTTCAAACTTCTCTTCTCTTCTTTCCGTATCTGGGTCTCTCTCTTCTCTCCTCATCTAACGGATAAAGGAAAGGAAAAGAGAGGGGGGGGCAAGAGAATGTTGAATGGAAGAAAACAGGGATGTGAATGACAAATGCTTGGAGAAGGTAATTTGAGAAGGGAAAAAAAAGATGCAGTAGATGCAGTGTGCAGTGAATCCCGAGGACGGTTACTGATAGGCGGGTTGCGTGATCCCATATGGACAGCAGCTTGAAGTATGTCTTCTGTGCCTTTCTCGTCCTCTCGTCCTCCCCCTTCTCTGGCCCCTAGGACTTCGACCCTTTGGCGCCATACATGAACGCCACACACGTACATACAAGCCTCAAGTCCAAGGATCGACACGGAGAGGGGATCCAGAGTCGTAGAGGAAATCCCCCCGCGAGGAAGACGTGACCAGGGTAAGGGGGGGAAGGGAGGGGGGTGCCGAAGCGGATGGACACAAGCGGGCGGGCAGGCAGAGAGAGTGATGGGGAAGACGTGGAAGACGGCAAGGGGACGAGGGGGTACGATAGGGCAGTGATCTGTGCTCACCTCTGAGAGAAAGATGTAGTAGTAGTAGAGGCAGTAGTAGAAGAAGAAGAAGCGGCCGGAGATGCGGCTTCTGTGCTCCGTGTGGTTGTCGCGGTGGGCAGACGCACTTCGTTATCGACTGCCAATGTTCGTTCTGCCATGCCCAGATTACGCCATCAGGGAAGTAGCAAGAAAATCACCCAACTGGTGCGAGCGGCAGCATCAGATGATGTGATGTTGAATCCGGGGAGTCGGTGCGGGTTGTTTATTGTCGTTCTTCTCTGTATCGTTGTTCCGTCGTCGTCGTCGTCGTCGTCGTCGTTCGTAGTTGTAGGGGATGAAGATGAAGACGTAGTGTGTCGTCACGGTCGGCAGTAGTGTGTCTCTGTCTCTCTCTGTGTTTGCGTGTGCGGTGACGATGATGCGGGGACACGGAAGGGGAGCAGCAGCAGTAGAGAGGCCTAAGAGGTTCCAGCTGTCAGGGTTCAGTGAGGGGAGGGCGGGTCCCTATTTTTTATTCTAATTTTTTTTTTTTAATTCTCTCCCCTTCTTCAGCCTTTCAAGAGGCGGTGCAGAGGCGTTGGTCGATGGGTATTCTTTCTCTTTTTATTTCATTGTTCTCATGTCATCTGGAATTCTCTTTTAATCTTCTCATCTCAATCGGCTGGGTTGAATGGAGAGTACAGGTATGGTGAGAAGGTTGGGGGAGAGAGAGGGAGAGAGGAATCAGAGAGGGAGATTGAGGAGATGCCTCCGTCCCAGAAGAAACGAGGAAACGTGAGCAATGAATGGCAATACGAGCTGACAGTCATCGAGGTATGTGTGGGTTCTGTGCTGCAGCGGTGCGTTGGCCGACGATGCCTTGGCCTTGTCAGGTATCTTCGGTCTGGAGTACGGAGTATTATTGGTACTGAGTCTCTTCCTCCCTCACTCCTACCCAGACTGCAGACTGCCTCTTGTTACTCGTATCCTAGACAGTATCAATACTACGATTTAATGATCTCGTTACTTTCGTTCATACCCTTGCTGTATTACTATCCCGTAACGTTCGTAGTACAAGAGACACCCTGCGGTGCCTGCGGCATTAGCCGAAACATTGATATTAAAATCGCCGCCGCTATCAAGGTACATGACATGTACGAGTATTATCGGTACATGTAATCCGTATTAGCATTACATGATACACATCGGCACCATCTACAGACTTTCGGGGGTACGGACGTCTGTTCAGATCAGAGACGGGAGAGAGAGAGGAGGAGGAGGAGGAGGAGGAAGTCATGATGATCTCAGACAAGCAGACATTGATATCCGACCTTGACCTTGGGCACGATCCAAGACGATCCCCTCCCGTCGGGCACGTGTGCCTACTGATGCAATGCACTCGGTACCGCTTTTCGACTCGAATCCACCTTTCTGTCCCTGGGCCGTCCACCCGTCAGTAGTTACGAGTGTATGTATACGGATGAGAGCAGACGGTAAACTTATTCGGCACGACTGCCTTCATCCCACCACCTTGGACCTGTTCCTCAGACTCTCCACCCCGCCCTCGAACTCGCCGACGTCATACTCGTCGGGGTACCTCTCCATGACGGCCCTGAGCTGGTCCATCTGGTCCCTGAGCTGGGGCGTCAGCTCCTCGTAGGTGTCCTCGAACATCATGCGCAGCGGCGGCCTCTTCTCCTTCTCGGCCTCGGCTATGCCGCGCAGGATCTCCTTCCTGAAGCGGTCCCTGGCCTCGCTCTCGCGCCCGTCGTCCCAGAGCGACCGGGACTCCATCCACTTGCGCAGCCGGGCGATGGGGTTGTCGCGGCGCTTCCAGTCCTCGACCTCGACGCGCGCCCGGTACGCGAACGAGTCGTCCGACGTGCTGTGGTGCGACACGCGGTACGACATGGCCTCGACGAGGACCGGCTTCCCGCCATCCTCCAGCGCCAGCGCGCGCGCCCGCTTGACCGCCTCGCGCACCGCCCACACGTCGTTTCCGTCCACCCGGATCGTGTCGATGCCGTACCCCGTCCCGCGGCTCGCCACCCCGTCCCCCCGGTACTGCTCCAGCGTCGGCGTCGAGATGGCGAACCCGTTGTTGCGGCACACGTAGATGATCGGGCACGACCGCGTCGCCGCGATGTTGAGCGCCCCGTGGAAGTCGGCCCCCGACGACGTCCCCTCGCCAAAGTACGCCACCGTCACCACCGGCTTGACCCCGGGATCATGTAGTCGCCGTAGCCTCTGGCCGTATGCGTTTCCCGCCGCGTGCGTCAGTTGAGTTCCGAGTGGCGATGAGATCGTATGCTTTTTTTTTTCCGTCATCAGCTTTTCTCTCTCTCTCTCTCTCTCTCTCATTCCTCTGCACTTACGATATTCAACTTGGCACTCCCATAGTGAACAGGCATGCTCCTCGCCCTGCCGGGATCGTTCCTGTTGGCAAAGAGCTGGGCCATAAAGTCCCCCGTGCCGAACCCCCTCTCCCGAAAGGCTCCCTGCTCCCGGTACTGGCAGAAGATGACGTCGTCCGGGTCCAGCACGCTCGAGCTGCCCACCGATACGGCCTCCTCCCCCGCGCTGACCATGTAGAAGCTCAGGCGGCCCTGACGCTGCGCCTCGAACATGATGAGGTCCAGGATGGAGATGTAGAGCATGTCCGTGTACAGCTTCTCGATGGCCTCGGCGCCGATGTCTGGCTGGAAGGTCCCGTCCACCACGTCGCCGTTCTGGTCCACTACCCTGTACGTCGGGAGCGCCGTCCACGACTGCGGGCTCTGGAACTCGAGAGTGTTGGTAAAGGCGCTCTTGAGCGCCCCCGGGAACGAGACGTAGTCTGAGTTGGGGCGCTGGGAGATGCTGCTCATCCATCGGGGTGACGTAGTCGTTGCCGTCCTAGTCGGCCGCTTAGGCAGGGCACGTCCGAGTGCACGGCATCTCATACTGGCTGCGGAGTGAGCAGGATGACGGACCTCGCCTATCTATTTTTCCTTCTTCCTCTCTTTCGAGAAAGGCTGGTTTTCTCTCCCTCTAATTTCATTAATTGTCGGAGTAGACAGAGATGAAGGAGAGACGAGTAGACATGGTCATGATAAACTCAGATGAGGAGAGGGGAGCAGGTGATACCCAGAGCGGCCTTGAGCCGAGACAAGCCGCCGACGCAAAGCGAGCCGAGGCGGCGGTCACAGCGCAGTGACTTACTAGTAGTATTAACAGCCATCTTTTGCATCTTTTGCATACTAGCAGTATATGTAGTAATGTAGTAGCAAAGCCAAGTTTTCTCGTGTCTAGTTGGAACATTTCTCTTTCCCTTGTAATATTTTTTTTCATACAGAGCAATATAATACATGCAGATGTACTGATCGTAGCACTAGTACCAGCACCCCCCCTCTTTCCAGGCTCCTCTACAGAGGCTTAATGCCCCTGTGGATGGCAGCGATGCCGCCGGTGAGGTTCTCGTACCCCTCGCCGGCGACGTCGAAGCCGGCATCGACAATCATGTCGCGGAAGTCCTCTTGGGTGGGGAACCTCTCGATGCTCTCGACCAGGTACTGATAGCTGTCCCTGTCTCCGGCGACGAGCTGGCCGATGAGGGGGATGGCGCCGAACGACCAGCGCTTGTATACGGCATTCAGGAGCGGGTGGTGGTCGACCTTGGAGAACTCGAGGCAGGCGAAGACGCCGCCGGGCTTGAGGACGCGGTTGGCCTCGCGCAGCGCGGCCGGCATGTCGCTGAAGTTGCGGATGCCGAAGGCCACCGTGTACAGGTCGAGCGAGCCGTCGGGGATGCTGCCGGACGGGAACTTCTCGGCGTTGGCCTCGAGGAAGGACAGCGACGACTGCTGGTCCGTCGGGAGGTCGAGCGACCGCTGCCGGCCCACCTCCAGCATAGCCGGGTTGATGTCGGAGATGGTGACGTGCATGTTTGCGTTGCCGTTGCGCACGTGCGAGTGGTGGAGCATGCGGAAGGCGATGTCGCCCGTGCCGCCGGCCACGTCCAGCACCTTCTGAGGCTGGCCTAGGGGCGTCGTGGCTCCGGGGTTGAGAGAGGACACAAAGTAGTCCCTGGTCCCTGGTCAGTATACATACATGCATGCATGTGTGCGCGATGCATCGGAGAGAAAGGGAGGGGGGCAACCCACTTCCAGAGACGGTGTACTCCCATGGACATGAGATCGTTCATCTTGTCGTACGACTCGGCCACGTTGGTGAAGACACCGGCCACGCGCTCCCTCTTCTCAGCCTCGGTCACGCCATCCTCGTAGCCGAAATGCGTCGTCTTGACCTGCTGGCTCGACGTGGTATCCGCGGTATGGTTGTTGATGTTGCAGCGAGCTGCCGTGCTGCCAAAAGAGCGCGTCGTCGTCACCGTCGTTGCCGCACGTACCCGGAGAGTGGACGTGGCATGGCGAGAACAGCTCCGCAGAGCAATGCGGGTGACCATTTTGTATCTGTCTCTTCGGATGCCGTTGATATTATCGCTTCGATCGCAACCGGTCCTGTCGCTGCTGCTGTCGGCGTTTCAGTGTATCGAGCTCTGGTGGAATTGGGAGATGGGTTCACGTCTCGAATCCCTGTAAACTTGGGAGTATCGAAAGAAAAAAAAGTACTCCGTAGAGGGAAGGGGACCCTTGCGACGCTGTGGGGACTTGAGAGTGAGAGCTATCCGTTTTGGGGGTTACCACACTGTCTAGTCTGTGTAGTCTCCTTCCTTTTGTTTTATTCTTCTCTTTCCCTCTCTTTTCTTCTTCTTCCTCTTCCTCCTTCTTCTTCTCCTCTCTTATTTCTGTCTCTCCTGTCTCTCCTCTTGCTCTCCTTCTTCTCTCTTCCTCTCTCTTCTTGGACTTCTATCTTCTTTCCTCTTGTTCATTTGTGTATTGCCCCCCCCCCCCCCCAACTTACGCTGTATTACTGCTCCCCCCTTGAACAAGCACCTTCCTCAGGAAACGCTTTGCCTGCGCCTCGTATAGCCAGTAAAGCACAGCGATCAGAGTGACCAGTCCCAAGACGATGAGGGCAATACTGATAGATGGTGGCATCGTAAGAGATGTTTCTCTTGGACTTCCAGTCTGCCGTTTGTACGAGTAGTGATCCGAATGCGATGTTGTCATGAGGATCAGACCCGATCAGACCAAGAAACAAAGTCCCAAGAGAAGAAGAACAGGAGAAGACGAGGGTCGAGCAGAAGAGCAGGAAGTACTTAGGCTTTGATATCCAGTCCGTGATTCACCTTTTCTTCTTGACACTTGGACGGCAGCTGTTAGCCAGCTGTCTGACAGTTCACCTCGGCACATTCAACCAGCATTCACCATCAGTGAGTGATGATACTACTCACTGTACTACCTTTGCTATAGAACTACAGCCTACACTGTACAGATTACCGTCACCAAGACTGCAACGGCAACAATCAGTCAATGACAAGACAAGTCAAGGACTCTTTTTCATCGTAGCTACTCAACTCAAAACTCCATACAAAACGGGGGAGATGAAATAGAGACAATAGCAAAGCATTAAGAAGAACAGAGAGTTATCTAAGAAGAAGAAGAAGAAGAGACAGAAAATATTCCCTAGAAAGCAAGATACAAAAGAGGAGACCAAGCGATAAGAAAAATGAAGCTTCCTTTGTTCTCCTTCTCCTCCTCCTCCTCCTCCTTCTTCTTCTTCTTCTCTCCTCCTCCGGCTATCTCCAGCCATTTTTTTTTTTTTGGGGGGGGGGGGGGGGAGGGGAGAAAATATCCACAGTTCAAGAAATCAGGTTTTGAATAATAGTAAGAAAAGAGAAGATGTGATAAAAGGCAAGGGGGCGTTGAGAGGGGGGGGGATGGGCTGTAAAGTAACGATAAGGGGAAGCACTAGAAAGGGACCTGAGCAACGGCCATCGTGTTCTTTCTCAGCTCCTAAAGATACACACACACAACACACACTTTTACTCCGCCACGGGGGTAGGCGTGGCAGGAGACGAACCCCCGGCGTCACCCTTTGCACCTCCACGTCCACGGCCTCCACGGCCTCCACGCTCACCTCCACGGGGACCACGTCCACCGCGGGAGCCACGGCCCTTGCTCTCAGAGTCGCTGGCTCCTCCGGCGCTGCGGTACCCGCTGGAGCTGTTGCCGCCGCGGCTGCTGCTGCCCCACGTACCTGCGCCGCCTCGGCTGGCAAAAGGCTTGCCCGTATCGCGCGGCTTGAAGATGTTGACCAGCGGCTTCGAACGGTCCTCCTGCGTGCGCGTCTTGACATCCTCGGGCAGTCGTGCCAGGGCACCGTCGCGGTCATCTATCGTCTTGAAGTGGACCACCTTGTTAACCGCACCCCACTTCTCCACCTTGACTATCTTGGCCTTGTCCTCGTCGACGAACAGATCGCGGCACTGCTCCTCGGTGCTGACATTCATGATGAAGAGTCCGATAATGTCCGAGGCCGGTGTCTTGGGTGCAGGCGACGTCGCCGTGTCGGGGCCGTTGGCGGAGGCAGCGGCCGTGTTGATCGAACCGTTAGCCGGCGTCGACGACCTGTCGACGCTCTCCTTGCTCTCCGTCTGCTGCGGCGTCGCCGACTTGGTGGCGGCGGCGGCGGGCGGCGGCGGCTGGCGGACAGCTTGGGCGGGGGGCGTCGGGGCTGCTGAGGGAGGAGCGGGCGTTGCGCTCGACGGGACGAGCGATGCGTTTCCAGACTGCTGCTTGGATCCGCGGTGGGAGAAGTTGAACCCCTGGGCGCGCATCTCGGTGCCGATGCGGCCGTCCTGGATCTCGAGCACGAGGTAGCCAAAGGCAGCGTCAGCGAGGTTGAAGTTCCACATATTCTTGAAGGCGGTCTCGTCCACCTGGCCAAGGGCAGCCTGGCCGGCGGCGGGGCCACCAAAGGGGTTGCCACCGGCCGCCGTGGTGGGCATCTTCTCGACAATCTGCAGAGCGTTCCTGAGCAGGTTCTGCTGAGCCTCATTCTGCTGAATGGCGGGCTCAACCTCGGCCTTGACGGTGTCCCAGACGTCATTGAAGGAGGCCTTGGAGGCGGCCAGCTTGCCACGGTAGTGGTCCAGTGTCGGGTTGACACTAAACTCGTTGTACGAGCTGCCGTAGCGGAAGTGGAGACCGGCCGAGATGGAGAAGTCGGCCTTGAGGGTGACGGACAGCTGGTTGAGGATGCCCTCGCGAGCGGGGGAGGCGTGCGTCACAAAGATGCGGGTCTCGGTCGGGTCGTACACGCGATGCGCCGTGTCAACGAGCTCGCCCATCTGCAGCAGCGTGGTCCACATGGTACCCTGGCCGCCGGCAATGGTGGTGCGACCCTCGCCGTTGTCGAACAGCTTGTGCATGACGATGGCACCGCCGAGACCGAGCAGTCGCAGCTTGACGCCGCCGAGCTCGAGGAGCATCGAGCGGGCCTCGTCGATGATGTGCAGGTTGTTCACCTTGTATTCGGCCGAGCGAAACTTCTCGAGAACGCGGACATCCTCGCAGGCACCCCAGACGGTGTAGACAGGCACGTCGAGCTTGACCTCGCCGCTGAGGAGGAGGGGCAGCTCCGACAGGGGCAGCTCGCTGGGCGAGAAGCGGTTCTTGACGGGGCCAGGGGCACCTTGCTGGATCGACTTCTTGACAGGCTCGGAGATCAGAGGGGAGTATTGGGCGACATGCTTGAGAGTCTTCTCAGCAATCCGCTCGAGTGATGTATCATCGTAGAAGCCGAAGTCGCCCGTGTGGATAATGTGATCGGCGCGGGCCTGCTTGGCAAGGTCGTTCAGAGATCGCAGATTTCCTGTTGTATTGTGAGAAGTCAGTCTCAGGGTTGCATCATGTGGAATAGGGGAAACCTCTCTCCTGAAGTTCCCACACACCTCGGACATCAGCAATGCACAGAACGCGGATGGGACCAGTCTGGATGACACGACCCTGGTTGGGCAGCAAAGGTGCAGCACCGGGAGGGAGGCCAGATGCACCGTTCTGGAGATAGCCCTGGTTATTATACTGGGACGTCTATGTTGTCCTTTTTGTCAGCCAAATCTCGTCCTTGTTCTCTTTGTCGTGCCCCTTTCTCTTGCGTTCAGAGTCCCCGAATCCATGGCGACTGGGGAAAGGGAGGATGAGCTCCTTCTCCCAAAGTCGGTACCGTCAGAACCACCGAGGGTTCCCCCATCCGCATCGATAGGACGTCAAGTGGGAAGGAAAAAACGCAGAAGCCTAAGAGGGGAAGGAGGATAATTGCCAACTTACGGCAGCCATCCTAACGCCGAAGCTCGATAGCGTGGAGCAAGAGAGGTAGTCGTCAATCCTGAGAGGTGGGGAGGGGGAGAGGGAGGTGGGAAAGAGGCAAGAAGTTCTGTAGGTTTTTCCTCGTCTCTTTTCACAAAACAGACAGCGCCCGGTAGATGGAGATGGGTATCAAAAAGAAAGAAAGAAAGAAAAGACAGCTGTGGCGCGTGATGGTGGGGGTGGTGGTGAGAAGCGAAGTGTTAGACGGCGGTGGTGTAGGATTAAGAGAAGTTGGTGGTGTGTTCTTCAATGTTTGGTTTCCACAGCTTTTCGCAAGAGCAAGGCTTCCGTTTCGAAATTCTCTTGGGAGACTGGCTGGAGATAATTTTGAGAAAGCGCGACGCTTGACTGATTCGGTTGAGCTTGTTTGGCGGTTTGTCAGTGCAAGGGACCAGCTACGCTTAATCTCCGGTTAATCTACCGGGTACACGCTGCAGTACAGGTACTACAGGTACATAACAGTTGCTGGTAAGTCGTAGTAACAGCTGCTAGCAACGTTGTGTGTCAGCCGTGCACCTCAGAGCTGTTGCACACATACAGACGCAATAGACAGGCATCAAGCACCATATTTATCCAGATAGGACAGAGTGCTTCGGTTTATTCATATTTACGTTAGAATATATATCATACATCTTTCCCTCGCTGTTCGAATTTTCCTTTCCTACTTTCCGACAGAAACCCCCAACTCAGGCAACCCAGAAACTGCATCTCAACGTGAAAAAGAAAGAAAAAAACACATGATCAGATAGAAAAACGAAAGATACACTTCAGTTGCTAAACAAAAGGATGACCGGAAGAATTAGAAGAGAGAGAGGGTGTGGGGGAAATAGTGATAGTAAAGAAGAAGAAGACACCTCGAGACACCCCAGTAATAAGAAACTCCGCCAGTAATGCTGGTTGTGTTCATTTTTTCTTTTGCTTTGTTGTGTTGCGTTTTCGAGAAATGGACAGAATACATTGATGCAAATACCTAGGACTCCCGAGACTCCCAAGAGAAAGATAGAGGACTCCCGAGGTGGAGAGATTCTAGGGCCACCAGAACAAAGATGAGGCTGGACGCTATAGCCCAGTCAGAACCAATTATTGTTGTTACTAGTATTTTCATTGCTGTTCTGTTGCTGTTGCTCTTGTTGTTGCCCTTGTTGTTGTTGTTGTTGTTGTTGTTGTTGTTGTTGTTGTTGTTGTTGTTGTCGTTGTTGGTGGTTAGCATCCTCTTCGCTGCTGTTGTCGCCGCCATGCAGTCACCACATGCCGCCGTGGCCATCCTGTCTCCGGTGATCGCCCACGTCATCGTGCTGCCCATAGTAATCCTTGTCGCCATACGAGTCGTGAGCATCGTAGTCGTATTCCTGATGATGTTGGTGATATTGCTGCTGCTGCTGCTGCTGCTGTTGTTGTTGCTGCTGTTGTTGCTGGTGATGGTGGTGGTGATGTTGATCAGTCCCATGCTCGTCCTCATAGATCTGAGCATCGTCGACGTAGTCGACCGACCCGTCACCCGAGGGGTCTGCATACTGCGCAGCAGCCTGTGCGTCGAATTACCGGTTAGCGTCGATTCCTACAGGCCATCCGTTGCGGCCTATGATGCAGCTGGGAGAAGTTATACTCACCCGGTGGTACTCAAAGTCGTACTGGTCCAGCGACTGATCGTCATGGCCCTCGTACATTTGCTGCTGCGCAAGATACTCTTCCTCCTCGCGCTTCCGCCTCGCCTCCTCCTCCAGACGCTTCTGCTGCGGCGACACGGGCACGTTCATGTTGGGGTGCATCGCCTGCACAATGGCCAGGTAGCTGTACATGAAGTTGCTGAGGAGGACCTGGCTGTGGAGCGGCCGCCGCGGGTTCGCCAGCTTGATGTGCGCCATCCGGTAGATGGCTCGCTCCTCCAGCAGTGGGAACCGTGTCCAGTGGTAGTCGACGTTGGGCTCCAGGGGCTTGACGACGGGCTGCTCCGAGGGCACCCGGAGGTGCTGCGACTTCTTGCTGTGCCTGTCCTTGTCCTCCTTCTTCTTGCTCCCGCCGAAGATGGAGGTGAAGATGTTGCCGTCCTTCTCCTTCTTGTTATCGCTCCGCCGGTTCGTGTCCTTTTTGCGCTCCTCCTGCAGCTTCGAGTCCACGGCATCCCGATCAAGTACGAAACTCTCGCGGCCCTTCGGGGTCGGCTTCTCTCCAATCGACGTCTGGATCACGTCGAGCCGCACATTGTCCTGTGCCTTCTCAACGAGCGCTTTGGCCTTGGACTTTTTATCCTCCTTCTTCTTGTCGTCTGTGCTCGTCTTGAACCACTTCCACGCACTGCTTCCGGACGACTTGGTCGATGATGCGTCGTCGTCCCGATCCTTCTTCAATTTCTTGTCGCTCTTCTTCTCCTCGGTCATTGTAGGGATCAAGGTGAGATTGTCTGTTCGGTACGAGACAGATCCCGGCCCTGATGAGCCGCCGCCTGAAAGTTGCTCATCGAGGTTGTTGTACTGAGCCGGAGGCTGTTGCTTCGACGTATACTGCTGTGGCGGGGATGGTTGTTGTTGTTGTTGCTGCTGCTGCTGCTGCTGCTGCTGCTGTGGGCGCCTGCTGGACTTTGGAGGAGGTTCGGCAATGACAGGTTCGGGCGAAGGTTCCTTCAGAGGCGGTGGTGAGACTGGATCCTGGGAAGACTGTGCAGTCCGCCCATCGACTGCTTGATCATCCAAGCTATGATCTCCGGGAGGTGACGCCGTCGGGGGGAGGTCGGTGGAAGGTGAACCCTCAAGCGCAGCCAGGGCTTCGATAGATTCTTGGATAATAGGCTCAGCTCGGCGGAAGGAGCTCGATGGTTTGGAGAAGCTATCGGTGATGGGCTCGGATTGTACCCTGACGAGGCCGTGACCTGGCGGGGCGCTAGGAACAGGGGGCACCTCTGAGTTTATGGAGTCGGTATCCTGGCTACGTTGCACGCGCCTCGACAGGGCCCTGTCTCCGGAACGGAGACTACCACCTTTGCGGTACGTGGTGCGAGTTGACCTGCGCAGGCCCATGCCGGGGGCCATGGGGAGGATCGGGACGTCATCAGGACTAGCCTCTGCTCCGTCTACTACTCCTTGAGACTCCTGGGCAAGCTTCTTGACAGCTTTTGTGGGGTCCTTGACCAGCTCATCCAGGCTGAGCTCGCGGTTGTGGCCGCCCTGGCGCGGCCGCTGTTGTTCCAGCCTCTCAGCGCCGTCGACGTGATCTGAACCGGGCTGGTCTACAGATTCAACCTGCCTGGAGAGCATAGACTTCTGTCTCCTTAGGGAGCCGCCGGAGCCTAGCGACCGGCCGGAGCTGCTGCGCGATAAACCCGACTCAGGGGAGAGCGACTCCCTCGAACGTCTCCTGATGGCGTTGACACGCGTCTCGAGAAAAGACTGGAACTCGGAGGGCGCAAGCTCAGGATGGACGCTAGCCGGAACCCACAGCAACCGGGAAGGATCATTCTCGTCGTCGCTGCCGCTGGGCGCAATCATGGGCATGCTGGATAATGACATGGGCGGCATGTCCGGATCTTTCATGTTGCCGACGTCCATAGACATGCGTCTGAGGGACTGGAGGTTGCTCAACTCCTGGGCGATGTCGTTGGGGTTGTCCATGTTTGTCAAGGCGTACTGCGACGTCGAGTCAGTCTGGACATCGCGGAGGGAAATGGTCGGTGATCGGGGCGAGGTGGGGATTTCAGTTGCGCTATTGCGATTCGACGTAGCAGCAGAGTTCACGGTTAGGGTGTTTGCCTTTCTGAGATTGCCATGACCACCGGCTTGGGGGGTGGAAGATTGAGGCTGGTCCGAGGCTGAGCGGTTGAGATATGGCCGGGTAGGTTCGGTAGGCGAAGGGGATTTGCCAGGCGCGACAGTTTGAATCTGCTCCTGCGGTGCGCTGACGAAGCTCAGGGGACGGCCGTTGTCGGAGAGGCTATCGTCCTCATCACCATACAGCGTTCCGATGGCCTCGGTGACGTGATGGCTAGGATCGGATATAGACAATTGGTTGGTATGCCCGCGTCGGCTGGCGAAGCTATCGCCAACCTGTCCGCGGGGTGTGGGAGAGGCCTATGAAGGGCAGAATGTTAGCAACAATGTAATACGCCCCTGTAGCCACCGCTATTGCCACGTCTCGAACGCCGTCACCGTGCGCCGGGGAAGGTGTCACGGGAGCTGCATAAGACAAGCTGCGAAGATGCCGGGACCAAGTTGGCGATGGGGGACGATGCTGAGGGCAGCAGGGGCGAGTAAGACGTACCATCATCCGGGGTAGTGAAGGCCGCACAAAGGGCGCTGGTCGCTGAACTCTGGGTGGCGAGTCAAGAACAAAGGACTTCCAGTATTGTCATGGGCCGGGACGAGGTACCACGGCTCGGCGGGCGTGAGACCTGCGGGGGGGATTTGCCCTCGGGGGGTGGTGAATCGGGAAATCAGGCAGAGGGCACCTACAGCCCCTCGGACGATTCGGTGGCTGTCTGTCTGTTCTATCGTCGCATGAGGCCGGGTTGTATGATTTAGGTGGTGGGCTGAGTGGAGGGGCTAGGCAGTTTAAAGGGGGGAGGGGGCTGTCGATCGGGAAGCACCGTTGCGGCGAGAGAACAGCGTCGCACCGGTTGAGGGGGTGGATGCGATGATTCGAGGGCAGCGGGAGGCCAGATGAGGGTCGGCAGAGGGGTGATGTATACGAGAGAGAGCGTCGTAGGGTCGAATGGGACGGTGGTTGGAAGGGTTGGGACAGGAAAATGCTGGGAGTAAGAGAGACCGTCTTTTTCCAAAGAGGCCGCAAGAAGAGAGATCTAGGCCTGACTTATGGATGATACAAGGACCTACAGCGTACGAGTACAGCGCACGAATGCAGTATGCGATTCCCGCTGAAAAGCGGCAACAACCTCTGCAGCATTAGCGTCTCCAACGGTGGTGGGTGCAACGACCAGTGACCAGCGACCGCCCGCTGGGCATCTCACTGGCTGGCCGGCTCTGGTGGACTGGCCGCTGTCGACTGGCACTTCCATCGCTGGAGCGTTGGTACTAAGCAGGAGACGGGCGGGTCACGTGTACGCTAAAAATGGACGGCCCTGCGACCCACCAAACGGCCAGTGTAGCCTGTAATACATGATATAGGCCTCTGCTCCGAAGTCCGCAATGCCTTCTGAAATGGCAGTGGAAGCATAGGTTGCACGGCGTAATGCGTGTCAGGGACCGGTAGCGCCACTAAAGGTCCGTTCGGCCCCCATAAATGGACGATTATGGAACGGCAGTATACGAGTATGTACGAGGAGCCCCGGCCTACAGTCCAATATAGATAATACCGGCCGGTTTCCATTTCAGCGTTTCCATTTCAGCGTACGGGTAAGGGTCTATGGGACAGCACTGATACTACAGCCTAGAAAAGCGTGTGCTAGGCTCTACCTACGGCCTGAGCTCTGACGTGTCCCCCATGGTTTATGATCTTCTGGGAGCGGGCTCTACCTGGCTCTCGTCATCATCACAGCATATCACCGGTCCTGATCACCCATAGAGAACGATGGAGATTCAGAGAGCAAGAAAGAAACGAAGGGAAGAAAGGTCTAGTATGAATTGCTGCTGCCACATCTGCCGTTCGCAATGTTGTTTGGGAAGGGTGGAACTCATAAGCGCCCGGCTTGGGTCCTTTTTGGCACCCTTTTCCCACCCCGTTAAGGCATTACCCCCCATCATCGTGCCGGTGTGGCTGAAGCAAGCGCCCTGTCTCTGCGGTCCTTTGCCACTGGTTGGGAGGGAACACGCCGGACTTACGTGTGTTTTTGCCAGGGGTAGTAAACAAACCATGATACGAAGCCATGGCTTCATATTCAGGGGGACCGAGGGGCGAGGGCGGGCGTCTCGTGTGGTGCACAGTGAGAGGTCAGTGCAGGCGGTAAGAGTGCGAGTAGCAGCACGCCGAGTCACTCGTCACGCAGCAGCAGCAATACATGATATACGAGCATGCTCAATGTCCGTACGCTTACAGGAGCAGCCCGTACGACTGCGAGTATTGTCGTTACTAACGGGGCGTTCTACTCGATACCATCACTATTCAGTGCCGGTGAGTCATGTTGACCATTACCAGTACCACTGTACGGGTGCATCTACCTTCCACTGAGCACGGATTATCAATACCATCCGCAGGCGTGATGCCGTTATGCTCGTGTCCGGAGAGGGGGGACTATCACGGATCGATCCCCATATTAACTTACAACGCGTTTTAATGCTCCGTAATAATACCACTAAGTTAACTTGACACGGAGCAATAAAACCTGCCATGAACACCTCCACGGCATTTTATAGCAACATCGCGTTTTCCAACAAGATATGATGGCTGACCTGCCTCCACAACTGACTGGCATGGACGCTCTCATTTGTCAGCGGTGTGTGTGTGTGTGTGTGTGCAAGACAACACCGTCATGTACGATGTCGGTGACAACAGTAAAAATCGCCACAGGTACTCCGTACATGCAAATAATACTACGGGTATCACTGCTGCTGGCACTGAATTATACTCGTCTTGCATCGAATACGGACACGCGCATCGGCCAACATTTGGGTTCGTGTAGCGGGTGCCCGACGGAAAGCTTGTCTTTCCTTGTTGACACACACACACTCTCTCCCTCTCTCTCTCTCTCTTTTGTCCCGCCACCAGTGAGACATGCATGTGCCGTTGACTAGAGGCTGAGGGGCGTCTGCCGTTGCCCCGACTTTGGGGGCTGGAGCGAGCTGAGCTGGCATATGCTCATGCTCATCATATCTTGTCTGTTTCTGTTTCTGTGTCCGGTACGGGCAGTCGAGAGGCAGATGAGAGTGGTGTTGGCTCCTCCGACAGACATTCTTTATTCGCCTTCCATGACGTTCGTCCCGCAACCGACACGTTAATCACCCCCCTTCCCCCCTCTCACCCTTTGAACCCGCACGTTGCAACTAGTAGGTGGGCTGGAAGGACAATTAAATCGTGTCGAGTCCAATGCCTGCGCGGTGTAGGGACAAAACTTTGAATTGCCTAGGCGCAGGGGTCGGCGACTTGTGTGGTGTCGCGTTTTGGACACTCGCCAGTGATGCTTCTGATGCTGTTCGAAGTACATGTTGTGCAGCTTCTATCAGTGGCATCATGTGTATTATACAAAGATCATGAACGACTTTTGAGCTATTGACAGGTGGCCATGGATATTTAAAGCTGGCCGCTCTCCCTTGGAAGCCCCACGGGGTCAGATTGGGTCAAATGGGCCTGGGGGTGGATAAAGGTCTACTCAGCGCTCACGAGTCACACCATAGCTGCAATGCAAGGGCCAAGCATCGCCTTTCACGGTAAAATCAATTGATCCCAGGGTGCGAACACATGGTCCCTCCCATAGATTGCAATCGTCTACTTTCTCTTTCTTCTTCTTTTGGGAACTATACGAATACAAGAGAGCTTGTATGTCTTCATTTGTCTGCCTCGCGCTACACGTATTTGAATAGTGTGTGTCTTGATATTTTTGAGAAGGAACATGAGAGGGATTTTTTATATATAAAAAAAAAACATATCAATACATGCGTAAGCCAATGCCAATCAACGACGGATCTATTTCTTCTCCGGCTCTTCAGACTTGGGTGTGGGCAGCTTGAAAGTATCCGGGGTACGGTCCTCGCCGGTACCGATCTGCTCCCAAGCACTAGAACCGCTCTCAAAGTTTCGGAACGCCTGCGTCAGCTCCAGGGGCTCCGTGACGATTCGCTTCTTCTCCTCGTCGTAGCGGAGCTCCGTGTAGCCCGTCAGGGGGAAGTCCTTGCGGAGCGGGTGGCCCTCGAAGCCGTAGTCGGTCATGATGCGGCGCAAGTCCGGGTGGCCGACGAAGAAGACCCCGTACAAGTCATAGACCTCTCGCTCGTACCAGTTGGCGCCACCAAAGAGGTCGCAGATGCTAGGGACGGGCGAGACTTCGTCGGCGTACGTCTTGACGCGGATTCGTGAGTTGTGACGCACCGACAGTAGGTTGTACACAATCTCGAAGCGGTGCTCGCGCGTCGGGTAGTCGGCAGCCGTCACCGTCGAGACCTGGGTGAACTCGGCGGCAGTGTTGTCTGCAAACGCCAGATACAATGTCAGCATCCAGATGGCTCCCGGACTCTCTCGTGCGGATGCATGGACGTACACTTCAGGAAGGACATGACAGGAATGACACCAGAGGGAGAAATGTAGATGGTCAGCTCATCCTTCCAAACGGAGAACTGCTGGATGTACTTGGGCAGGCAGCCCATGACCCAGGCACCGTAGCGGTGCAGGTTGTCGGCCTTGCTCTGGTACTTGTCGGCAGGGTTGGCTATGGGCACCTTGAGGACTCCCACATGGTCCCTCGGAGCGCTGCGCATGTTTTGGCTGTCCTTGGGCAATGCGACATATTGAGCGGCCGTCGTGGAGAAGCAGCGGAGGGCCTGGTCGTTGCGGCAGACGTTCGACGACGGCTTGACAGGCTTCAGAGCCGCGGACAGAGCCCCGCTTCGAGTAATCCTGCTCGCCATGGCCAAAAAGGGTTCGCGACGTTTTTATGGCCAATTGACGATTGAGGTGGATAATCTGGTCAACGGGTCTACTCCTAGGTCGTACGATGGGGATGGTTTGATTATCTGGGGATCTTGGGGATCTTGGGGTAATAGCCGGGTGGCCTTGGGGATTGAATCAGCAAGCCTGTCATTGGTCATGTATTACCGACATTCTACCGACCGATGGGTCACCTTCTCACTTCCATGATTTCACAGTCATGTGACCTGAGCTTGTACGCTAATCCTACTCTAGAATAGGGCGGATTCAAGATTGCACGCTGACCCAAGGGGAATGCTCCTGCACCATTGCAGGTTCGTGCATCTCTCTCAATCTTCACATTTCTTTACGAACCCGCCTGCCTATACGCCTTCTTTTCAACACCGCATATCCGTCCTAATATTCTATCACATCATCTATCATGGCGCCGCAAGATACTTTTATAGACGAGGAGGGGTATACCTGGTGAGTGCCTCCTTTCTCCCTCTTTCGTGGGTCGACTTTATTTTGCCACGGCTTTTTTTGTCAGCGTCATTGGGCAGCTATGAAGCCAGGAAGATGCTAACCTTCGAGCACGATAGCCCCCTCTGCATCGAGGAGTTTGATCTCTCAGACAGGAACTTTCGGCCTTGTCCCTGTGGCTATCAGGTACGCAGAAAGATCGGCCCCGCGGCGCCCGTCCTGCCTTCAAATCTATAACCCCCCTTTGCTGACTTTCTTTTGTTACTCTAGGTTTGCCAGTTCTGCTTCAACAACATCAAGAACAACATGAACGGACTGTGTCCGGCATGTCGACGACCGTACGATGAGAAGACGATTGAGTGGAAGGTGGTCACAACCGAAGAGTACGTGGCATCATTCTTTTTCGAAAATGTCGAGGCTTAGTGGGTGGATGGTAGACTAACTAAAAATTTAGGGTCGCCGAATTTCGAGCCAACATTCAAAAGAACCAAAAACGACGAGTCACCGATCAGCGACAAAAAGAGGTCCAGAAGCGCGAGGCCGAAAAGGAGAATCGCAAGAATCTCGTCGGCGTTCGAGTCGTACAAAAGAATCTTGTCTACATCACCGGTCTAGCGCCTACTGTGCGCGAAGATGAACTGCTCAAGACCCTACGGAGGCCCGAGTTCTTTGGCCAGTACGGGAATATCCTGAAGATTTCGATCAGCAACCGGAAAAGCCCCGATGGCCAGCCTCAGTCGCTTGGTATCTACGTCACCTTCGAGAAGCACGCCGAGGCTGACCGGTGCATCCAAGCCGTCAACGGATCGATGAATGGCGAGCGCTATCTCAAGGCCCAACATGGTACGACCAAGTACTGCTCGGCATGGCTCAAGAACGAAAAGTGCAACAACCCTGGCTGCATGTTCCTTCACGAGCAGGGCGACGAGGAGGACAGCTATACGCGACAAGACCTGTCATCGATGAATACTATACATACCCAAAGGCCGCTGCTTGGCGGTGGTTCACGCGCGGCGTCGCGTCAACATATGTCGCACCAGACACCGCCGCCTCAACCTCCTGCATCGCACACGTCGCACAGTATGGCCAGGACCGCGAGCAAAGATGGGTCGGAAGGAGGTGTAGACTCGTCGGCTCTGCCCTCCTCGGCAAGCTGGGCTCGAAATCAACAACGCAGTCGCAGAGGCAGTCATGCAACTAGCGCAGCAGCTCCGAGTCCCGCAATATCTTCGGCCGTGCCAGCTACCTCCAAATCCTCCGAGGATCCTGCATCTGAAGATGCTGCACCGTCAAAGGGCCCCCAGTCCCCCAAGGCCCGCGAGTCCCCCAAGGCCCGCGAAACCAGCCCCCCGGCCTCGACCATCGATACACTGTTAAGCCGATATCCCCAGGGGTCTTTTGACATCCTGGTGAAGGCTCTGCTGGCCTGGGATATGCCCAACTTCACCCAGAACCTAGACATGTCCAGCTATCCCCCCGTGTTTGACGTCCGGGGTGGTGAGCGTCGCCGGGCCATGCGTGAGGAGGAGGACCTTCGGCTCGATGCCGATCAGGACGAGCAGGCCGAGACCCGTGAATCGTCGGAAGGCGACGCCGAAATCGGAGGCAGCCTTGCCCTGGGCGGTGAGCCCGAGGAGCGCGAAGCCACCGCCGAGAGCAACCTCTTTGACCAGCGTCGCCCTGGCACCCAACCGCCGATTCAACGCGGTAGCATAGATGGCCCGTTCGGCCCTGCCATGAGCGCGTCGGCCTTTTCGCAGGGCCCCAGCAACTCCGTCGGCCGAGCCATGACTCCTCAGCAGCTCTTCTCTCTAAGGAGCCAGGCTGGTTTCGCGGACCAGATGCCCCCCGGCATCGCAGCCCAAGCGAACACGTTCCAGGGACAGGGACAGGGACAGGGTGGTGGTCACAACCGCCAGTCGTCGAGATACAGTTTCGCCAACGAGTCCAACTCGTCCACCAATGTCAAGCTTGCTGCCAACCCCAGGATCATGGCGCAGCAGTCGTCGATGATGCCCAACACGTTCCAGTCCCAGAGTGGTAACCAGTTTTACCCGTCATCAATGCCCGCCCCGCCGCCGGGACTCAAGTCGACGGGAACGCCGCCGAGCATGTTTGGCCAGGGCAACTTTGGAGGATCGGGATACGGGGGTGTCCCCAAGGACTCGAGCAGCGAGCAGCTGCTCCAGAGCCTCATTGGCAGGAACCGTGGTGGAAACAGCCAGGCACACGATGCCGGAAAGCGTGAGTACATGATTTCCTCTTCCTTCTCCAGCCAGTACCCACCTCCCTCTATCTCCACCCCAGCTCCTGCTCCCGGTCTCCTGGCATCGCTCCACGGCAATCAAGCCGGGGCATACCAAGAATTCGGTTCCAAGCAGAAGAAGAAGGGGAAGAAGCACAGACATGCTAACACTTCCTCCTCTGGGGGGAGTGGCTTAGTCGATCTTGTGGACCCGAGCATCGTTCAGGCAAGGATGCACCAGTCCCAGAGCAATGTTGGTGCCGGGCATGGACTGTTTGGTGGCCAGAGTCAAGGTGGGTACAACCCCAACATGATGTACAATTCCGGGCACGCCACGAGGTGGTAGTCGGGGCACGCACGCACACACGAGAAATATGGTGATGCCTCTTTAGAGTGAATGTCGCGCAAACATTCTTCTATGATTTTTTTTTCTTTTCCTTCTTTGCATCATCTATCTCACGCGGCCCCTTTTTTCATGTCCTGTCTCTTTGTTTTTCATTTTTTAACGACTTCGTGTGTTCTTTGTTACAATCTGATATGGCGTTGAGTTGGGAGGTCCACGGCTTTCCCCAAATAGACCTCATGGGAAACACATCTCGAAGCGGCTAGTATACCACCTGGGAGTGGCTTCGAGGCTTGCATTGGGCGTCTGTTCTTTCTTGTTTTCTCTTGTTTTTCCTGCTTTCATTTTACCCTCCACATTCTTCTTTTTCACTTTGGGCACATCATCGGAAGGTCGCAAGCCACGCAAACCCAAGTCTGCCAGGATCTCTCTATGCTATGAGCGTAAAGTTCTTGAGGCATGACTTGCTCGCGTGCGTTTGAAAGGAGGAGCCAGGGCTATATCGAAACGACGTCTTCCAGGCAAGCCATCATCGTCTTCTATGAGAAAGAGATTCCCTCGGCATGTACGTTAACAGATTTCGCGCCCAGCCGCCTAGGGTTGTCGGCATCTTTGGTCAGAATATACCTACCTACAACCTTATTCTCTCCGAGTTGCCTCTTCGCTTCACTCTTCTGGAAGACGATGGTGGCAGCCGTAGAATGACTTCACTTTGTTCCCTTATCCCCGAGATGCCTCATGTATATAAAAATCAGTGTTTGCGCCTCGTAGAGTCATTCCTCATGCACGACTACCACCCGTTTTCGTCATCGACGAAGCAGCACTCACTACTCTGGATACTTGTCTAATATTCAAGCATGGAAGGCTTGGGACAGCGGCTAACTTTGCTCCCAGATGATGAGCTCCCCTCTCTCGACGAGGCAATAGGCTCTGTGGAGGCGCTCGTGTCAGATGACTCTGACAGCATCCTGCTGCCGCCGACGGCATCGCAGACGCCGATCCCGGGCGCAATCGATCTCGTCTCTGACTACCTCAGCCCGGCAACGCTCGGGTCGCCATCGCCGGCTCCGCGCGGAGCGATGCCCCCCCGGCTGGCTCAGGTCACTCCCGCTGTGCCCAAGATGCCCATCGCACCTCCTCCTGGCCTGCCCCAGCGGGTTGTGACTCCAGATCAGTCACACAGGAGACCTGCCACTCCAGGATCAGGTGACATACAGCGGAGCATCAAGGCGCCCAGCGCTGTCGCCGTCGCCGCCACCACACAGCTTAAAGGCACACCGCGAAACACTCATTCAGAGCTGGTGAGGGAGAACAGCACCTTGCAGGATGAGGACTTCCCGGCGCTCAACACTCCAAGCAGGACGCAGGCCAAAGACCGCGCGGCCTCGCTTCCTGCTCCCTCTCCCCCGAAAGTGAGAGAGTCGCCCGTCTCGAAGAAGGAGAAGACTGCCACCGCTGTCGCAGCTACCGCAAAGCCTGCCGCTGTCGAACCGGCCACAGCTCCCAAGGAGGCCGCTGTTGACAAGAAGCGCATCAGTCTGAACACTCAAGTGTCAGCACCGCCCTCGCCTGGTCCCAGGGGAGGAGAGACGTCTGCGGTGTCCGAGAGGTCGGCGTCCGTCTCTGCTGCCGCCTCATTCCCCCCGCTACCTACACCATCTGCGGGCAGCCCATCACCATCCGCATCCAAGGTAGCACCCAAGACGCTGCGTCTGGTGTCGGGCCCACAGAGAGGAGCAGAAGTGCCCATAATGGCGTCACCGGCCTCTGCCGCGTCAAGGGCCATGTCCCTGACCAACGTCCGTCCGGGCTCGCCGCCTGGCGAGAATGCCAGCGACACTGCGTCCATGTTCTCGGCGTCCGTGTCAGCGTCCCGAGCCGGGTCGCCCCCACCAACCAGGGTGGGGACTGCGGCCGTCCGGGCGACAACGAAGAGTCAGCAGCGCAAGCAGCGCAAGGAGGCTCAAAAGCAGGACACCGAGGTTATCGCCGAAGCCGTCAAGCAGGACACGGAGGAGCATGCGCCGGTTCTGGGGCGCAAGAAGAAGCAGAAGAAGGAGAAGCCTCCCAAGCCACCTGCGGCACCTAAGAATAAGGAGCCGGAAGAAACCGCTTCAAAGGAGAGGAGAGAGGAGCCCAAGGCTCCGGAGCCGACTACTACTGCTGCCCCCGAGAAAGATGCCAGGAAGGCACCTGTCAACCAAGGACTTATGCAGGAGGACATCTTTAAGCCACAGCAGCCTGATGATATTTCCGCCAAGCCAACGGTGCCTAAGCCTGGCACGGCAGATGTCAAGGAGGAGGATGCCGTGGTCGAGCAGCCTGAGGAAGAAGAGAGGGAGCCAGAGCTGGTGCCATCAGCCGTGTTTGACAAGATCAAAGACAGTCTCTGGACGCCTGTGCTCGACCAGCTGCACATGCTGAAGACTGTCACGTCTGCGCCGACGCGTCCCTCGCCGAACAGAAGCGGCAACAACAGCAATAGCTCCACAGCGCTGGCGACGCAGGGCGACGACACCCCGTCTCCTTGCAAGGACGGGACATGCAAGTGCGGCGAGATCCAAGACAGCGACCTGGCTGCGCTCCGCGCAGGCAAGCCAGTGCACAAGCAGTTCCACGTGGACGGCAGCCGGATGCTCATCACACCCAACGGGGACTGCATCCGCGGGCTTTCGGCGGAGGAGGAGTCCACATTCTTAAGGCTGCAGACGTCGATCGCCTCTGACGCCGAATTCCCGGGGTCCTTTGTGTTCCAGCGCCACCAGCCGGGCAACGGAGCCTTCTCCCTTATCAAAGGTCGGGCCGTGCCCAACGGGCGACCGAACATCTTCCCGGCCACTAGCCGCCCCCAGTCGCAGGATCCAATCGGCAAGCTGCAGCGCGAGGACGCCCTGAGCTACATCAACCAGTACGTCCTGCCGCGGCTCAACCTGGGCGCCACCAACGTCGGGTGGCCCAAGGGCGCCACTGTGCGGCAGGATGCCGCTGCCGCCAGCCTCAACTCGCTCGCCCCCTACTTCTACGGGCCCGACGCCGCTGCGGGCGTGGGCATCTACAGTGCGCCCGAGAACACCGGTGCTCCCAACGCGATCAACACCAACAAGACTTTTGGCCCGTCGTCGTCGTCATCTACGTCACCCTCACCCTCGCCCTTGAACGCCCCCCCCGACGACGCGATTGGGGCGCAAAAGTACTACCCAGGCAGTGCCACTCCCGGCATCGGTCCGGGCGGCGTGGCTCTCCCGGGTGCGGGCGGCATCAACAGCATGCCCCTCATGAGTGTCGAGGATGCCGAGGGTGCGCTCAGCGCCGCCAGAAAGGAGACGGAGAAGCTAGAGAAGAAACTCAATGCGCTCATCAAATCGAACAAGAGGATTCTTGTCTCTGGTATCAACTAAGGTGTACATGTATATGTATTCGCCTAATAAGCGAAGCGCAAGAATTTCTTTCCACTTGGAAAGCGTTTATAACATTATAGATATACACATGGGGTATGCAAGTGTATGGTTTGAATATCGAGGATGACTTGTAAATCATTTACAGAAGCGTTTGTACCAGTACGAATCAAATATATATATATATATATATATTAAAAAAATATATTAAAAAATCACATGCCATACATTAGCCGTCATCCTCATGGGTATACTTCTTCCACTGTCGTCGTCTCTGGGCAGACAGTGACTCCCGCAGACGGTCCGTCAGGCGTTCCGAGATCCACTCGCTCTCCTCCTGCGATCCCATCAGCGGGCTCCTGTCGCCCACCCACGACCATCTGGACCCGTCGTCGTCAGGAGATCCATCCTTATCCTTCTCCACGACAGCGCCCTTGTTCACCTTGTGGAGACGACGACGGGCGACGGCAGGTTTCTTGTGATGACGGGGATTCCGCTCATCCTGGCCAAGCAGGCGGAGATACCACGCCCATTCCTCGAACGAATAGCGCCGGGGGACGGGTTCGCGCATGTGCTGGGCCAGGATCTGGATCTCAGAGATGAGGAGGAAGTGGAAGTCTGTGCCGCCGGGGAGGTCGGCTAGCGGGTCGCGGAAGTGGGGTATGGAGCGGCGGACCTCGGATGTGAGTGTGGAGGAGGGGCGGCCGCGACCGCGTTCGACGTCAACAAGGTCACGGCGGTGTTCGCGTCGGCGTCGGTGTTGCCGTGTACTGTCGTTGTCGTGCTCCTGATCGGGGGGTACGCTGGCGGCGTCTGGGTCGAGGGGGAAGTCGGCCGGATGCGGGGCGGACGACAGGACGTAGTTGTCGCGGAACAGGGCGCCGCAGGAGATCCTGCTGATGACGTGCATGAGGTTGTCCTGGAAGCGGGCGTCACCGGGGAGGATGGTAAGATTTCCCAGCTGCAGGGTGGCGTCGCGGATGAACTTGACGACGGTGTCCTCGGCGCTGGAGATGAGAACCGTCATGGTGGGCAGGGCCAGGAGCGACCAGAAGACGAAGAAGGACTTGCCGGCGTTGGAGATGGGGGTGCGGTCGCCGTAGCCGATGGTGGTCAGGGTGACGAAGCCGAAGTAGAAGGCGTCGAAGTAGTTCCAGTGCTGGTAGGGCCTCTCGAGCTCGAGGAATACGGCAGCGCCCACGAGCCACAGGACCAGCCAGGAGCCCGTGGAGATGACCAGGGCCAGCCAGCGGCGGCGCGTGATGGCCTTGGCCTGGATGCTCCGCATGAGCTCGAACTCGGCGCGGCGGCGGTCGTATTCGGTAGCGTGCCGGCGGCCGCGGTTGCTTGCGCGGGACCGGGGCCTGGACCCCTCGTCGTCGTCGCCGCCGCCGCCGTCGTCATCATGGATGGGGTGCAGGACCGAATCCTGGCCCCTGGAAGCCATGGCGCGAAGAACCTCGCGGCGCTCCTTCTCCTGTGCGCGGGCGTCTAGCCTACGACGGCCGCGCTGCAGAATCATGCTGCGGATGGAGGCGATGACCAGACCCAGGCTCATGACTCCCACGAGGGCGTAGGGGAACAGCAAGGTCCTGCCCAGTGTGGTGGAGGCGGCGAAGTCGCCGAACCCGACGGTGAAGAGGGTAACGTCGGCCCAGTACACGGCGTCGAGGTAGCTCCACGGCTCGATGTTAGAGAAGACCAGGGCACCGACGAGGAGGTAGACGAGTAACAGGATGGTCTGCAGCATCAGGGTACGCTGGCTGGTGTTGAGTCTGAACTCCCGATCGTAGTGGCCGGTCACGGCGCCCCAGAACGTGATGGCCATCAGCGACGCCATGACGAAGTACAGAACGGCCGCCCAGATGCCGTAGAAGAATGCCTGCGACCATATGGGCTCCCCGTCGTCGCCGCATGCCGCGCTGAAGCCCTCGTGCAGCGGGCCCGTGGCCGTGGCGTTGAGCGACAGCAGCAGCACGGCCGAGACGTACCACCCCGCTATCGTCACGGGCTGCGCCACGCTGAACCGCACAACCCTCGCCATGTTGAGCAGCAGCGAGAGGTTGGCCCCGAGTGCCACGACCAGCTGTATAGCGTTGACGGCGATGAGCCATGCCGGGTCGTTGATGAAGCCGACCAGCTCCGCCGCCTCGGCCCTCATGCGGCACTGCCGCCACGGTTGCGCGAGCGCGCAGATGCTGAAGGCTGACGCTACAGGTCCCAGAGTTCCGGCTATCATCGGGAAGGCTGATGAGGCGAACCACCATCGGCTAGAGAGCAGGTCAGTACGTCTGTCCTACCTGTGTGCGTGTGAGGGGAACGCATATGTTACCTGGGTTCGAGGTGCACATTGTCCTTTTGCGATGAGTAGTGCGTGGTAGGGTGGCCCTTGTCGACATGCTGAGCGACTTGCTCGACGTTTTCCACGGGCCCTCCATTCTCCATCCTTCTATTATCTTGTTCCGTCTTGTTTTACCCTCCGGGGAGAAAGAAAGGTGGGCTCACAGTCGGAAGTGTTGGGCGTGTGCGTATGGTCCTGATGGAAAGAGACTTAGCCAGGCCCCGGTCTCGCTTCTGATCGAATAGCTACCAGTCGACAGCGGCCGACTACCGCGTACGGGACTTATATCCTGTCGGATATTACATGCGCGTTGATCAAGATGTCGTTGTCATTCTCGCAGGTGGAATTAAAGGTAGACATTTGCGGTTTTGTTTTGACGCTTTATGACGTAGTCAAAGTGGGAAACTTGGACAATTGTGGTTAAAGCATACAAGTTTGGGACGATCATCAGGTTGCTCATAGTAATACTCTTCTCCCGACATAACTGGAACATGATATAAACCACAATATAAACCGCATAGGAAAATCCTGAATGACCGTCATTGCTTAAGCTGCAAGTCTGTCACTCTAGCCCCCTGATTTGATCGTCTCTTCACCCTCACGTTGCCAAGACCAAAGGTCAAAGCTGAGGGGGCATCGGTAGCTGTGGTGATATGGAAAAGTCTTTCCTATAATTCCAACGTCCACTGACAAAAAGCGTGTCGGAGGAGATAATGTATCCGTCTTCTATTGAATATAGATGGTCGAGAGTTGGTGAGATGGGTTGAGATGAAACGGTGACTCCAATTGCTACGAGTGCAGGGTACTTCCATCCCCTCCCCCCACACACGACATCAAGGCTTTGGCGCATCCACGATGCATATCCCCCAGCATCACCACTACACGCCCTCCAAGCACTTGCCTGCTATGTGAAACATGCCGACATGGCCCCGCACACTGCGTCGCCACGTCCCGAGGTCCGGGCACTCGTCGCGACAGTCTCTCACGACGCGTTCCGCCGGCCATGAACGCGTCGACGTGCCCTGTGGCTCCTCGGGGGACGTCACGATAGAGTGAGTCGGCCTTCTCTTCTCTCCATCTCATGTGCACCATGGCTGACAACTCTTTCTGCACACAGCCTCTTCAACCTCGACAACCACGGCCCTAACGCCGCCGTTGTCATCTACCTCCCCCCGTTCCCGTGGCACAGCAGCGACAGCACGACGCCCACTTTCCTCCCCGAGCCGCTCCGACACCTTCCTGTCGCATGCATCAACTACCGGTGGGAGAGGGTGCGGCATGGCCTGGCCCCCATAGACGGCACGCCCCTGCCGGCGCAATGGCCCGCGCCCGTGCACGATACGGCATTCGCCTACGCGTGGCTGAAGGAGCGGCTCGCGCCGCCGGGCGTGGGTCGCCGCAACGCCTACGTCTGCGGGTCGTTCCTGGGCGCCAGCCTGGCCGCGTCGCTAGCCCTGACCGAGTGTCACGCCCACGCCAGGTTCGGCATAAGGGGTCTCGTGGCCCACAACGGCGTGTACAACTGGACGGCGTTCCTCCCCGGGCACCCGCTGCACAGGCGCAAGGCGACGGCGAACCCTCTCTTGGCTCCACCGCCACCCCCGCTGGCCGAGGGACTGCGGTTGCGGGAGCTGAGGCAGTTGATGGGCGGCCTGTTCCCCGGCCCGGAATGCCTGTTCGACCCTTTCGCCAGCCCCAGCCTCTTCTTCCACTCCCCCGGCCTCCATGTGCCGCGCGACTTTGACGACGATCCGTCGTCGGTGTCGTCGCCCCTAGCCGACATGGTGTCCCGCATGACGGGCCGGGGTGTAAACGATGACGGGGAGAACCGAGCCGCCGAGGCCCTCAAGCCCCCGCGCAAGTCCCACCTCATCTTCCCGCCCAGGACGTCGACGCTCAAGATCCCCGAGACCCTTCTCCTGCACGACAGGCACGTCGTCGCCGCCGTCACCGCCGCCGCGAAGAAGGGTGGGAGGAAGCGTACCCCTGCTTCGGCCAAGAGACGCGGCAACACCTTCGCCACGCAGGCCGACGAGCTGGCCGGGTTTATGCGTCGCAGCGTCGAAAAGGTCGAGATCAAAGAGCGTAAGAAGTGGGACTGTGACATGGATGGCGGGTGGGACGCAGAGCCTGAGCGTAGGGTGCGCGTCGTGGAACTGGATGAGGCTGATGGGCTTGAGATGGGGGCCGAGGGGCAGGAGACTGCTCTGAATTGGCTTGAGGATAGACTCAGACGGTGAACAAGATGATGACCCCCATAATCCGTATATAAATTACTACTACTAGAGGTAAACCACGCTACAGGTTGGAGATGTATAATACGATAGATATCATGGACATGTTCTACTCATATTCTGCTCGCATAGCCGTTTCAATCAATCAAACGGATTTCACTGCCAGAAGTATGGAGAAGAAGAAGAGAGAGACAGGAAAGAAGGATGAAGCAGCAACCCAGTTGATGATACCTGTAGGTGCAGTTTGGGGGAGGGGTGGTGTAGATAAAAATATCAGAGAAGGTGACAAAAAAAAATCAGGCCCAAACTGCGATTCGAACGCAGGACCTCTTGCAGTTGAGATCAACCCAAAGCAAGAATCATACCCCTAGACCATTTGGGCTGTGGAGAACGTACATTTGACTCGGTGACTGCATTATATGGGTAGTATTCCATGACACCAATCAGCACCGTCTACCCGCCGGTACCCGTACTGCCCTGCCGCGCTAAGTAGTTGTTTGAGAGCGGCGAATGATACAAGTACAGCTGTCCTGTCCGATATTATCGGCGATCGCTGGCGTTACCAGACGCAGAAATAGGCCAACCATCAATCATCCCCTGCTAGTGTCTCGTGCTAGTTACGCCGCCGGGCCATCATTCTCGCCTGTTCGTTGCCAGCAGATAACCCAAACGTGGGCGAGACGGACTACTCGTACATGTATAATGACCCTCCATCCCGCGGATGCCATCTGCCCACGACTGATACTACTACAGCTCACGACGACTCTACGGGTATAGCACATCATGCTGCTCCTGTCCCCGTCGATGATGACGATACGCAGACAGTCATGTGGACCGAAGCCCGGCAGGCTGAAAGACGAAGAAGAAGAAAGGAAAAAGAAAACATCTGCTTATCTCCCATTATGGCGTATGCGCCGCCGTATTACTCTGTTGCATGGTGACATGCGTCACATGAGGCAGCTACGCTCCCCCTCTCCTCCTCCCCCCCTTCCCCCCTTCCCCCCTTTTCCCTCTGCTGTCAATGTCATCAAAGCGTGGTCTAACCGCTTTCTCACGGGTCTGTAATACGGTGGCGTATTACTCTGTATGGGAAAAAGGGCCCCAGCCTATTGTTGATAAATGGCTAGTTTCATTATGGCATGCATATGATAATATTACGGGAGGGAAGGGGAGTCAGAAGCGGTGGGTCAATGAGGCAGCGGTAATTAATCTTAATGAGCTGGCTCCGGCAAGATTTAAAAAAGTCACGAAGCGTGAGTAATACTCCTAGTATGACATATATAGTTAAATACGGGTCCGAGAAAGATGGACGGAAATTATTGGCGGCAAGATTGGACACTTGCACAGGTATCTATCTACAAGGGTCGTTCTTGCCGTTGCAGTTGTTGGATTGCTCGTACAATATGTAGTATTATCCCTTTGGTATTACTCGTACGTTGTATTGATTCAGTACAGGTAGGGAGAAATAGAAGGTCGTTATTGCTGTTGTTGGGTAATACACGCACGGGCTGCCTCTTCCCCTCTCCTCTCCCCCCCCTTTGATACGCCCCCCCGCCTAACATAACCGCCCACGTTTGCTTTTAATGAAGAAGATTAAGAGGAAGAGGAGTGTTACGGGGTGCTCCGTATTGATAATATTAAACCCGGATGCTACAATATTCGCTCTCGTACTCGTTTTCGTCCAACCGACGGCTTTCTAATTTCCTCCTGCTCTTCTTTCCTTCTCCCCCTTCCCTTTTATAACATTCATCACTCTTTCTATCTTTAACCAACTTCTTCTCTTTTCCCCATCTACGTCTCCCACCCTGCAACCAACCTAACACACACATACTTGCTTTGTAAGTCAGCAAACATCACCCTCCCACGCTCTGAGAGAGCAGAATTTAACACACTATACCCAGATACTACCCCCCCTTTACCCCTCGAATTTCTAGCCCATCATGCCTGGAGTCCGTAAGTTGAAATCAACCACTACCCAACGACCTTTCCAGAGAACAGCTGATGCTCACAACAACCAAACAGCTCTCGGTGCCATTGACAACCTGAAGAGCAAGGTCAAGGCCTTCCTCCTCAAGAGGAAGTCCGGCAAGAAGACGGCCGAGCCCGCCAAGCCCGCCGAGGAGCCCGCCAAGACCGAGGAGTCCGCCAAGCCCGCCGAGGAGGCTCCCAAGACAGACGAGGCTCCCAAGGCCGACGAGGCTCCCAAGGCCGACGAGGCTCCCAAGACCGAGGAGGCTCCCAAGACCGAAGAGGCCCCCAAGCCTGCAGAGGAAGCCCCCAAGACCGAGGAGGCCCCCAAGCCCGCTGCTGGGGAAGCTCCTAAGCCTGTCGAGGAGGCTAAGCCTGCTGAGGAGCCCAAGGCCGAAGAGGTTAAGCCCGTCGAGGCTCCTGCTGCCGGTACGTGATGCCCTCCCCCGTCCGCTAGAACCCAGGCGTGGCAAGCACCCGAAGCTCTATGTGCTGACTTCATCTCCTCTTTCCAGAGCCCGCACCTGCTGCTGCTGCGGCTGCCTCTGCCCCCGCTGCCGAGGAGAAGAAGGAGTAAGATGAAGTACGGGTACCGACCCCATACAATGCTCTGGATGACCGTGCCATGATCCCTACGGGGGGAGGGAGTTTTTTTTTTGCTCCCCAACTCGGTGTCGAAGAACCGGTTGACCTGTTCGCTCTTTCGTTTTCCTTGTGTTTCCTTTTGCGTGGACTCATGTCCGATTGTTTTGGCGATACCCGACCATGTGTCTTTTTCCCCCCTCATATTCCATCCAAGACATATAGCATATAGTCATATATACCCTCTAATAATACTTCTTTTTTTTTTGTTACTCGGAAGGTCCTTCTGATAGAAGGTGTTGTAATGCATTTGTTTTATTCTTCTACTTTGGTAATGATTCGTATGTTCCATCATTTGGCCCAGGGTGCTTTCGTCACCGACATCTGTGCATTGGTTGACCCTGCCCCCGATGATCTATTCGTAGCAGCAGAAGGCTGTCTCGACGCGAGGGATCCCGAGATCGGACCGGGCGGGACTCTAGAGTATGGAATACCCGGACCTGAACCAGAAGCCGCATTCGGCATCCTCGTGGCCTGGGCCCAGGGTGCTCCCGTGCCCGTCGGAGGGGGAGGGGCAGAGCCGGAGTCGGCATGAGTAGCAGCGGCGGTGGCGCCGGAAGCTATAGGCTGGTTGACCATGTGCATGCTCTGCATCGGTTCGGGGGCATCTGGGTCCTGGTCCCATGAGAACAGGGAGCCAAAAGGGAAATGCTGTACGACGGGGAACTTGGAGAGCACCTCTGCATTGAACATCTTGACCATGCCCTTGTTGATCTTGCCCCAGCCGTCGCGAATGCCCGAGATGTCGAAGAGGATGGGCGAGTGCTCCCAGAAGGGGCCCTTCTTGACGTCGTTGATGAAGCCGATGGCCGAGAAGTACATGTTGCTGCCGCGGTAGTCGTCGACAGCCGTGGGGTTGGTAACCGACGAAGGGCGGGGGGCGCCGCGCACGGAACCGTCGATGGGGGTAGGCTCGCTGCCCGCGGCGTCGATGGGTCGCGCCAGCTGCGCCGAGCCGAATATGTAGGGGAGGAAGGAGTGGTCGTCTAGGCCCCATACGCCGTGCGAGCCTGCCGGTTCGAGGGTATATGTGAGGATGAGCTTTCTCGCGATGGCCAGGTACCTAGACGCAGTCATTCAGCATTTGAAGGGCCTTTTCTTGCGTGCTGGAGTCGCACTGCTTGCTCACCGTTCAATGACGCCAAGGACAATTTCCCGTTCGATCTCCCCATCTTGCGCCCCATCCTTGAAGTACCCCAGCTTCCAGAGACAGCCCAGGAAGGCCAGGAAGCTGAGCTCATGACCCGTCCCGTAGTCCAACCGCTGGGAGCTCCCCCAGGAGCCCTTGAAGTAGCTTTCAACCTCTTCTCTGGCCCCCTCTGCGCTCAGCACCTCCTTCAGGGGCCCCTCGCTCAGCAGTCTCCCGGCGCGCTCCTCCACGAGCCCAAACCACGTGCGGAAGCTGGCATTTCCAAACCTGCGGGGTCCGGGGTCCGGCGGCGCCTCGGAGATGTAACTCTCCACAGAGGAGAGGAGCTGCTGCAGGGCACGGATGGACGGCGTGTCCGAGAGCTTGCCGGAGTGGGACGCGAGGCTGAAGACGCGGGGTACGGCTGACGAGGAGGGGTCGCTGCTGTGGCGGGGCACCAGCGCGTGGTTGAGCTGTAGGACGAAGATGCCAATGTCGCGGTAGGCGAGGGATGTGAGGAATCTCGACACGTCGGGCCCCTCGTGGATGCGCTTCGAGGGCGTGGCGAAGATGTGCTTCTGCTGTTGCGAGCCGGAGCTGAGGTCGAGTATCTCGAGCTTGGGCAGCGGGGTAGGGGTAGCTGTTGCGGCGGGTGGTTGTGACGCCATGGCGGGTGATGGGGATGTTACGGTATGCCGCTCTGTACCTAACCGTGAGGATGATGCAAGATATGAGAAAGGCTGAGACGAATCGGATATGTCATGGGTTTCTACAGAGAACCCGGCATGTTGGGGTTTGGGGGACCTGATGTCTCGGCCTAAGGGTCAGGAGGGCATGATGCAAAATTAGTCAGCGTTGAACACTGGCTGGAGATTGAACTCGACTGCCGAGACCTGAGGGTAACGCTCATCTGTAGCGGTTTTTATTTTTATTTTATTTACATTTTCCCTGTTTACTTTCTCCTTCTGTCTATAATAGCGTTTTGCAGAGAAGCCAATGTCAGACAGTCCTGTATGACGAATTTCCCGATCCTGGCAAGTCCAAGACTGTTGGCGCGGAGCTTATGATATACTGTACCTCGGTGTACTCGTACGGTACGGCCGTTGGCTTAGCATCCGGCCGAGACGGTGGGGCCGATGTGCACGTCCACAACAGCCGCCAGGCGACCCTGAATGCATTATACATGTATACAAATGGTCGATGTTATCGTTACCGATGGAGGTGGAACGCATCGGTCTTATCCTGAATATGATAAAGGAGAGGCGTGTTGGCTGGACACAGGTGCACCATAACGTGGGTAGAGCCGGGACCCTGAACAACAAGACTCTGGGCGTGACATATATGTTGGGAGACGACTTTAGGACCCCGATGAGAGAGACGCTTGTTTCATCTTTTCATGTCTTCAAGAGAGACATTTACGGAGCAAAAGATTGGCATCACGCATGGCCTACTAGTGCGGGGAACCTATCCATGAACGGGGCAAGGATGTACATGTGAACGGGACTCATGACGACGAAGATGATGCTGCCCGATGTCAGATTTTCAAACAGCGCCAACGATGGAGTGCCACATCAGCAGCTACCCCCCTTTTTATCCTAGTGAGTTATTATCTTTCTCTAGTGTACGGAGTACTGCTGCTACTTTGGCGCAGTGTACACAGTACCGGCAGATCAGCCCAACGCGCGATGCTATAGTACTCCCACAGGTAAACGTCGCTCTCCTGCATCTGCCTAATTTTCTCCTCAGATTTCCCTGATTAGGTGGGTGAATTCTGCAGAGGGGGCGCGCACAATATATGTATATCTTGGGCTTCTGTATCAAAGTGATGCGCAGTAGCAGTAGACAAGGTGCGCATCAGGCACGATGAGCCAGCAGTACACGAGCGCGTAGTCCAAGGTGCGTAGCAATGCATGCACGAGTAACGCTCCGGAGTAACATTGAGTCAATGAAGTGAAGAGGTCTGCGGCACCGTCACCACGGGAGACTGTCTCAGAGCAGCAGAGCAGCGGCAATATTACCAGTCAGATATTGATGGCAGTCTCTGAATCCGCGGATAAACCGGGGTTTGAATGAATGAACGGTATGGATTGAGACGCACACTCTGCTCGTCAGCCGCAGCTACGTTAGCACATGGCCGGCACACAATGTTGATCGAGCGTGGGCAATTGGGGGGGAGACTGCCACTTCCTCAGACCGCTTCTCTAGGTGTGATTGATGAAGAGGGTGGGAAATGTGACGTGAAAAAAAAAAGACGCGTTGGAGGAACCGCTAGTACGAGAAGTTGCAGCGTCGCGACTCTGGCGCGTCTGGTTGAATTGCCAAGTCGGGGGTGGCCAGGCGAGGACAAGGTCAGCTAGAGAGACAAGCCAGTCCATGGTACTCGTATTGCCCTGTTTCTGACCTGAGATGGACTTGATGGAACATGGTAGAATGTCTCGTAGGAGGTTGCTCCTTCCCGCGCATGCTCCTGCACTGTTATTACCACCAGCTGCGTCGCACCTCCCTGTAATAATACCCCATGCCTTTTTCTTTTTCTGAGCCTGGCAGGTGCAGCTGTTGCGCTTCTTGCCATTGAGCGGCTGCCAGCAATCTGCCAGCAACGTGCCAGCTATATGCAAGGACACACACACACAGGTACGGGTATACCCAAGACCCTCACTTGAACCCCTGTAAACATTAGTGCAGTAACACTCCATACGGAGTAGTAATACCTGTAGTAGCCCCCCCCCCGGTAATCTGTACTTACATGTATAATTACATTCAATACGGCCTGTCAGTGATTGCTGTCCAGTGTCCAGTCCATACGACCACCTTGGTGGAGCCCAACGCGAACTGCCCGCCGTATTGTCCCCCGTCCAGGCGGCCCTAGGTTCTACGGATAGGCTCCTAGCTCTCTAGGCCTTTTCTACCCTTCCCTCCCCCCTTGGCAGCGCATCTCATCCCCTTTTCTCCTATTAACCCTCCCGTTTGTCTGCATTGCAGTGTCCTTTCCTTTCCCAACCCCTCCATGATCCTTCATCTCCGGGGCCAATCCGATTTTCCCTGATTCAAGCATAGCTCTCGAAAGCGCATTGCGGGGGACTTGTTTTCTCGTCTAGATACTTCCTGTTCCTGCATTCCTTTGTGACGTACCTCTTTGTCTCTTTTTGAGCTTGTTGGTGTGTACCTTAGGGGAAAGCTTTCGCATTAGCACCAAAACCACAAGGTACGTGTTATCTTGTGCGAGGGGCCTGGATCGCGCTGAATACGCGCGTTTCGGCTTGTCGCCTTGCTACTTCGACAGTATCTTCCGGCTTAGGAGTACTTCAGCCTAGGCCCTCAACTTTCTTCTCCTTATATAGGCTAACGTCCAAATCGAACTGCAGATATCGAAACGCCTCCATCTATATCGACCGCCAACATGTCTGATATCGAGAATGTCGACGTTGCCCAGCGCGAAGAGGTGCCCAGCACGCCTGTGGAGGCCTCGGCCGAGGTGCCTGAGGAGGACGTTTCCGCTCACTCTTCGCCGGTGACTGGGGACGAGTCGACTGTTGCCGCTGAGAGCTCCGACGCGCCCCAGGAGGACTCTGCTGAGCCTACCGAGTTTGCCGCTCCCGCCGAGCCTACTACGCCCGAGACCCCGTCTGCGCCCGCTACGCCGAAGGCCGAGACCCCATCTGCACCCGCTACGCCGTCGAAGGCCAATGGGACCCCCAGGTCTACCACGACGACGGCGACCAAGCGTCCTGGTACCGCAACCACGACTGTTCGCCGTCCGGCTGGCACTACAGCCACCACCTCGCGGACGGCCACTGGCACTACGGCTTCCTCCCGCGCCGCTGGTAGTATGAGCAAGCCGCCTACCCGCCCTCCTACAGCACCTACGGCGGCCACTCGTCGCCCAACCGCTGGCTCGACATCAGCTGCCAGCCACCGAAGCCGCCTGAGCGTTAGCGCCAGTGAGGATGAGAAGAAGCCGGGATCCACCGCCCGCCGCACGAGCACTCTCTTGTCGGGCACTACCAAGCCTGCTGAGAAAAAGACTGCCGCGAGCACCACTGCTTCATCTACGGCTGCTCGCAAGCCCGCTGTCCCGGCTAGCTCCACGACCTCTAGGACCACGACTGCCAGGACCACGACTGGTACTGCTGGCACGACCGGCTTGTCGAGAACTACCTCGACCCGCACACCTGGACCCACGCCGGTCTCGGATCATAAGAAACGTATCTCCACTGCCGGTACCGCTACAACCCGCCCGCCCGCCCGCCCGCCCGCTTCGGCCGACGCTTCCAAGGAGCTTGAGGAGCTCAGGGCTAAGCTCGTCGAGGGGGAAGCCGAGATTGAGTCGCTCAAGGCCCAAGTCAAGGCCTCCGAAGACAAGATTGCCGAGCTGAACGAGCAGCAGAGCAAGGCTCCCGAGGCTAGCGACGCTGATGCTGCTCCCAGCAAGGGCGATGACGAGGCCCTTGCCCAGCTCAAGTCGCAGCACGAGGCGGCTGTGTCTGCTCTCGAGGCTCAGGTGTCCGAGGTCAATTCCAAGCTTGAGGCTGCCGAGGCTGAGCTTGAGAAGCAAAAGGCCGAGCTGGCCCAGGCCCAAGAGGCCAAGCAAGCCGTCGAGAGCGAACTCGAGGCGGTCAAGAAGGCCCTCGACGACGCCCAGGCGGAGCACGGCGAGAAGCTCCATGCCAGCGAGTCTGCTCTGCAGAAGGCTTCCGAGGAACACGCCTCCAAGATTGAGGAGCTGCGAGCCTCGCTGGAGACGGAGCAGAAATTGGCCGTCGAGGCTCTCGAAACTAAGCACAAGGAGGAGCTCGAGCAGGGCAAGTCTGACTCGTCGCATGAGGATGCAATCGCGGAACTCAAGGCAAGCCACGAGGCTGCTCTTGCCGACCTGCAGAAGAAGATTGACGAGCTTACCGAGTCTCAGGCTGCCGCCGAGGCTGCTGCCGCCGAGAACATCAAGGCTGAGCAAGAGGCCCACGCTGCCAAGGTCGAGGGTCTCGAGGCTGAGATTGCCGATCTCAAGTCCAAGGTGGAGACAGCGGAGGCCAGCGCTGAGGCGGCCAAGTCCGACATGGCCTCCGGCAGCGGCGAGGTCAGCAAGCTGCACGAGAGTCTGAGCGAGAAGGAGAAGGAGCTGGCGGCTGCCAAGACGGAGCTCGCTACGGTCCAGGAGCAGGTTTCCGAGCTCGAGGCCAAAGCTAAGGAGGCCGAGGTCGCTCTGGCTGCCAAGGACCAGGAGATGGTGAAGCTCAAGGAGATCCACGATGAGCGTATGAGGTCCATAGCCTCAGACTACGAAACCGAGATTGAGAGCCTGCGTGGCGATGCCTTCTTCAAGCGCAAGTTTGAGGAACTCGAGCGCACGCACGGCGAGCTCCAGACGTCAACCACCGAGGCCGCCGACAGCCACGCCAAGGCTCTGGCCGCCGCCAAGGAGGAGCACGCGAGCGCCCTCAGCGCTCTTGAGGCCAAGGAAGCCGAGCACCAAAAGGACCTGGAAGCCCTGCGTGCCAGCCACGCCGAGGAGCTCGAGTCAGCCAAGGCCGGTGCCACGACCGACAGGGACGCTCACATTGCCGAGCTGGACGCGCTCAAGACTAGCCACGCCGAGCAGATAGAGAAGCTCAAGGGCGAGAAATTGTCTGAACACGCCGAGGAGCTCGAAGCTCTCAAAGCCTCTCATGCCGAGCAGCTGGAGCAGCTGAAGGCTGATGGTGCGTCGGAGTTGGCCAATGAGCTCGAGGCCCTGAAGGTTACCCACGCCGAGGCCATAGAGCAGCTCAAGGGCGAGAAGTCGTCTGAGCACACCGAGGAGCTCGAAGCTCTCAAGGCATCTCACGCCGAGCAGATAGAGAAGCTCAAGGGCGAGAAATTGTCTGGACACACCGAGGAGCTCGAGGCTCTCAAGGCCTCTCACGCGGAGCAGCTGGAGCAGTTGAAGGCCGATGGTGCGTCGGAGCTTGCCAGCGAGCTCGAGGCCCTGAAGGCTGCCCATGCCGAGGCTATAGAGCAGCTCAAGGGAGAGACTGCTGACGAAAAAGAAAAGCTCGTTGCTGCCCACCAGGCCGAGCTGGCCTCTGTCAGGGAGTCCAGCGACAGCTCGCATGCCGAGGAGCTGAGCAAGCTTCGTGCTGAGCTCGCCGCCGAGAAGGAGGCTGGGGACAGCGCACACCTCGATGATCTGAACAAGCTCATTGTCGAGAAGGAGGCCAGTTCCGCCACCCACGCCGAGGAGCTGAACAAGCTGAAGGGGGAGTTTGCCGCCGCCAAGGAGGCCGGCGACAGCGCCCATGCCGCCGAGGTGGCCAGCCTTAAGGAGCAGCTGGACGAGGCCAAGGCGGCCCTCGAGGAGGCGGTGGCCAGCAACGAACTGGCGATTGAAAAGGCCAGGCTGGAGCAGGACGAGAAGCACGCGTCCGAGGTCGAGAGCCTGATCAAGATGAACGCCGAGTCGCTGCACAAGCTCAAGACGGAGAGCGCCGAAGCCAGGAAGGAGCTGGAGGCGCTCACGGCGAGCAACGTCAAGGCCATCGAGGACACGCTGAACGAGTACCGCAGCAACAACAGCACTCTGGAGGAGAAGCTGGAGGAGTCGTCGGCGGCCCGGGATGCCCTGGCCGGGCAGCTCTCGACGGTGCAGGAGGCTCTCGACGGATGCCAGGAGGAGATTCAGAGCCTAAGTCAGCAGCTTGCTCAGGAGAAGATGGACCGTATGACGGCCCTCGCGGAGCTGGATGCGGTCAAGAACACCAAGCCGGATACGAGCGAGGCCGACGGTCTCCGAGCGGACCTCAAGAAGTCCAAGACGGAGCTCGAGGCGGTGCAGGAGAAGTACTTGGGCGTTCGGGAGGACTTGGAGATTGCCAGGAAGGAGCTGAAAGCCTACAAGGCCGAGGCCGAGGCCGATTACCAGGACCTCAACGACAGCATGACGGCGCTGGTGGAGGAGGCCGGCAAGAAGGCCAAGGCCCTGGAGTCCCAGCTGGGAGAGGCGACGCGCAAGATTGGCGACTCGGAGAAGAGGCTGGAGGAGCTCGAGGCTCAGCTCAAGGTCAAGGATGCCGAGATTGTCGAGGCCAAGGTATGTCTCTCCGCCCTCGTCTCCCCACCTTTCCTCGGTCGACGATGGAGATGAATGAGGAGGCTGAGACTGACGTTCGAGCAGGCCAACGCTGCCGTGGCCAAGCCCAAGGGCCTGGCGGATAGCCGGTTCGCAAGCGGCGAGGAGAATGGCACCGATGCGCCGGAAGGTGAGACAGAAGAAGATGATGAATCGACAGCATTGGCCCTGGTGCGAAAGCCCCTTGCTTGATGTCACCCAGCGGACTGTTGTCTTTGGAGATCAAGTCGCTAATGTTGGTGTGTATATGTGTATAGATAACTAAAGCCAAAATCACGGCAAGGCAAATGGATGGCATGGACCGTGACATGAGAGATCGCAACCTTCAGTGAGTCCCCCCCCCCCCCCCCCCCCCCACCTTACCCCAATCTTTTCCCGTCTCTGCTCTTTCTCTCCATCCACTCTCCATTTGCCTCCCTCCTCTTATCCGTCTTTGCCTTTGGGTGATGAATGCACCCTGATTGCTAACGTGGCGACCAGGCTGTTGAGTTCCATCACTGATGTGAGCCAGACGTGATGGAGGGCGTGTGCTGCTCCCAAGTGAAGTTGGCCCTTCCCAGTCATGATGTTTAACGGTGTCTTGAAGAGAGTATACGCGTTTCTTCTCTCCTCTCCATGTTTCCTTTCCTACTCTTCTCCCCTTCTTTTTCCTTGGCCATCCCTTTTTCCAAACCCGTATCATGTTTATTCTTTCCTAGTCTATGGAGGAGACGATGATTGGATGCCTTGTACGTGCCGACAGATTTTGTCTTTTTTTGTTTTCTCTCTCTCTCACTGTCTCTGCTCTTTTTCTTCTTCTACTTCTTCGTTTATTATCACTATTTTTTACTTCTATTCTTTTTTTAATATCTTTTTTTTCTTCAAAAGGCGAATTGACGATACCCCCTCTCATATCTTTGCGCCCGTGTTGACATGTGAGCGAGCGAGTGAGTGATTGATCGTATGATGACGAAACAGTGAATACTCGGCACTTCATATCATCTCGCCGGCATCCGGGTTACATGAGGACAAAGTAAAACAGAGGTAAGAAGGAGTTGGTCGCTGAGCTAGATAAAGAGGGATCTAAGACGTGAGGAATTCATGTTACGTGTCTAACATTGGCACCCTAAGATTCAGTTTCATAATACTCCTCACATTTGAATCATGCTGCCTATTTAACTACGAGTAGGCACTTCACGACGTGCTTAATCTAGAACTTTTCCGTAGATGCTAATGGTATTCAAGCCAGTCTACCTACCCAGCATCACCATCACCAGCGGGAGATGGACAATGGAGCACGGGTTTATTCCTGGCGCTCCCGGCGTCAAACATTGAAGCTTCGACACACCTTCTTGGTGGCTTCCTTTCCGTGGTAGATGAGCGATGGCTGTTTCCCGGGCTGGGTTTATCGGCAGCAACCTACGAGTCGGATTGATCTGGAAAGCTGCTCGGCCTTGCCTTCCTTGGCCCGCAAGCATCGGCCCGTCGTCGACCGCCCGGATGCAGTGCCTTGAGCAAGTTGCCTCGAGCAAGTGCCCGTGCGTACAGTGGGGGGCGGAACCTGAGAGTTCGAGTCACTGCTGCATGATACCTGTCGAGACCCGACTTATTGAGTGGCGTCTGAGCTGAAGGTGCGGCGCATATCATCACCAACCTTCCCTCGTGTGACGATACGAGCTCCCTGTCGCTCCTGCTACATCTGTATCAGTGCCTTTCACAATAGCCGGTCGAGGCCGGCACTTGGCGTGACAGCTGTGGTGGTGTGATGTTGATGTACGGATGCTGTCGATGCATCGTCGAGGCATCGTGACCACGGCAGACACCTCTCCATCCTCTCCATCCTCTCCATTCAACAAGAGGCAATGTGTCATCATTCATCTCCTCCTTGTCTCCCGTGCACTCTTACCTCTAGACTCTCTCTTCCGAGGCGGGTGCAGAGGCCTAGAATCAAACGAGGAAAGAAAGTTTTTACGTGGGTCAAGAGTCTGTGAATCGGAGTCTGTCAGTGACGCCTGGCAGCAGCCACCCGCCACTACAGACATGTGATGCTCGTAGTTGCCTTTAATCCGCATCTCTGATTATAAAGTTGTCCTGTCCCGCTGTCCTGTCCCGTCTCCTTTCTTTCTTTCATCGCTTCGTTTCACGTTCTTTCGTCCATCCGAATCCGTCCTCTCCCAGGTCGACCTTTGTCTTCCTCCGTCAGTCCTGTCCGAGCATCGCCTTTCGTCCCTCGTCCACCGATTTCTCTCTTCTTCTTTTCCTTCGCTTCGTCCTTTGTTCACACCCCGCGGCCGAGGCCAGAGACAGTCTGTTCCAGCCGAAGATGAATTCTGACACCAAAATCGCGGATTCCAACAAGATCCTGTTACCGTTGGACTTTGCCAACTTGGCAAGCAATGGACTTGTGGTGCCCGGTACCATAGAAGGGACAGTCAGGCTGCATAAACGGCGGCTGAACTCGTGGAGTGACGAGGAGAATCAGCACCTCTCTCTCGACAGCACCTCGTCTGATGCATCCGACGACGGCATCTTCTCTACCATCCCGGAGGAGCTCATCTCCCCCGCCGCCCTCGTATTTGTTGGCTTCACCCACCAGAAGGCGGAGGAGTTGTGGGCAATCTGGCCCGACTGGCCTACAGACGTAACTCTGAAGCCAGCCCGCGATATCGATCCTACCAAAGACTTTGGCTTGCTGGTGGCCGCATTCATGGACCTGATGGACTGCAGACTTGACGTCAGGCCAGAAGACGAGCCGGAAACCCTTGATGAGTGGGAGGCGACGCTGCAGAGACTGGGGCTCTCTGACGAGGCTCGGGAAGCGATTCTCGACCCCCATTTCGAATACCTCCGTCAATCCGAGTCATGCAAGTTCTGGGCCAAGGACACTGCTCGGATGCGTTTCGCCGCGCTATCAGACATCAAGAGAGCATCGATGGAAAGGGAGAAGGTTCTGCGTCGTGAATCCTCCAGATCCGGCCCTAGTGGTAGCTCCAGCGCGAGCCGCGGCCAACCCGCATCGTCGACTGTGACCGGCATTCGATAAGTTTCGGGCTGGCAAGGATACGATACCCCTGGGATCCCCCAAGGCGCCACTGCCTCGGCCAGGATCTCTGCAGCCCGTTCTGCCCCCGGCTACACCACCCTCCTTAAAGGTATTGATCAGGCCCGTGCCTCGGGATCTTCTGGATCACACAGGGGCCATCGCCAGGCTCAGCCCAGTCGGCAGCTTTCCCCCGACAGACTTCACTGGGACCAGGCGTTTCTTTTACTTTGCAACCGACTACAGCACTGCCGAGTACTACGCATCGTTTGCTAAACGGAGACCAGAGGGCGGTGCAGTCGTAATCCTCCACGTGACCATCCCGAACTGCGAAATCAAGAGACTTGGAGATTCGGAGAAGCTTCGTGTGACCTGGCCTAGCGATGAGTGGAAACAGCTCATCTGGGGGAGCCGCAGAGGAGGAAAGCCGAGAAGTCAGCTTACAAAGTACCAGGATGCGACTTTGATTATAGGCACAATGTCCAGAAAGCCTAAATTCAGGTACGAGGAACTGGGGAGCTGGGAAGAAATCACCGAGGAATACGTCTTCATGTCCGGTAGGGTCCGCGACGACAGGACGAGAACTCCCCTCACCCAATACGCCTTTTCAAGCGATGCTGGCGAATATTTCCTCGAGGAACATGCGGAGATCACCATGGAGCCGTTTACTGGCCCTCGACTCGGCGCTTGGCTACGTCATGTTGACAATCAGGAGCTTTGGAATGGGCACGGCACCTGGCCTGAGGATGGGTGGGGTTTTATCGTTGCGAATATTGTCAGAGGAGAAGAAGGAACAGAGGAAGACATGATGGAAGCGAGAAAGGATGACAAGATTGCCCGAGTTAAGGAAAAGGGATCCATTGCAATGATATCATCAGTAGTACTGCCTAGGTAGTCATGCAAGACAACTGGCGCATTCTGTGCTCTTGCTGAGATATCAATACATCTCTTCCATGCCTGAACCGACTTTTGTTCTTATTATATCGAGGAGCTTTCCCTCGTCTGCTCTACCAAGACGGACGAAGAAGAAAGCAAGAGAGTTGCATTGCAGCAGCCTTCCAGGCCAGATGAGGGGTCAGGCGGCTAAGTCGGGTATCCGCGACTTCTAAAAAGGGGATTGTCTGGTATCACCACTAGTAGCAGATGTCCTTTTCTTCCATACCTACCTCCACACGCACACATCATGTTTCTGGGACGATGCCTTCTCTCAGTTGAGGAAGAGGGATCCGTTGCAATGATCCCTTTCGTTCACCGAAATGCTGCGGGATCCATCTCGCAGACTTCCCATGAGGGCCTCCCTTGAAATCAGTGACTTTCCTCCTAACCATTCTCAACGTCCCACTTCCCGTCGAAATCGGCGTCGAGGACCCTTCTTCTTCATCTGTTGCCGTCGTTGGCTTCAAGGTCATCGGTACCCGCCTCCTCGCTAGCCCGCTCTTGCGCGAGGGGTTCAGCTGGGCTTTCAGTCTAATCTCTGATCCTGCTCTGCGACTTCCTGCGGTTCATCTTCTTGCAGCTGGCGGCGCAGACGGGTGAGCTCGGATTCGTCGCAAGGGAGAGCGCGTGCCCGGCGCCGGGCAGCCTCGGTTCCGATGACGTCCTGTTCAACAGCTTCATCGACAAGAAGCTGCCACAAGGGTGCAATCTCGTCGTCAAAGTCGGGACCAGCATCGTCGGGCGGATCCCCTCGAAAGAAATGGACTCAAGCGACCCCGCCGCTTTGAAGCCCCCTATCAGTCTGTGAACCGCGAAATGAATCTCTAACATCCTGGAGCTTGGTAAAGGGCGCGTCTGGGGATTCGGCGTGACGAGTTCGTAGACATCCCCGTGGCTTTACGGATGGATACGTTCCGGCAATTCCACGCCGGAAGTCCACGAATCCGCCAGACTGATCAAAGAGCCATCTCCCTGCCGTGGGTGCACCCCGTATTTCGGCGCTTCCGTGGCGAAGGAGGCGCGATAGCTTATGGAGTGCGATGCGAGGCTCTGTCCGAAGCTTCGTAGATGTCCGAAGTTGTCTCCTCTATCTCTTTTCACGTTCGATCGCGTCGCGGACTCGCTTAGGATGAGCAGCTGGGTCGCGACGGGAGCGACGGGGTTTGGTACATTCGTCGAGGAACGGACAGGGCAAGGCTCCGTGAAGGGTATTCCGTCGGTAGCTGCGGTGATCCTTCTTCTTAGCCAGTTGTTACAGTCGGCCTCTTCGATGGCCTTGGCACGAGCTAGCGGCTGTTCCGTGGAGAGGTTGGCGAGCTCTTTAGGGCTGAGAAGCTCCTTCTTCCAAACGGAATAGAACGATCAGTCTGTTAGACAACGAGTCTGCTCGGGGAGGGGAGTAGTGAAGTAAGTGACGAAGTCTGCTAGGTGACGGCGTAGTCGTGGCGAAATCGCGGATGCAAAGACACAATGGGGATGAAGATGTATATTGATCGTTGACCCCCTCTCTCGTTCCACGGGAGAGGCGGTTACCTACATGACCTCTTCCGTTCCCGACGGGCCCACGTTTAGTGAGATTGCTCCCACGGCTCTGACACATGCCTTCCCGGTTGGGCAACTTTTGTAGCTTCATGTTGTAAGAGTGACTGTAGATTGTAGATTGTATCCCGTAGACTATCCACCCACGCGTGGCCCGCCAAGAGCCACCCTCCTAGAGACCAAGGCTTCAGACGATGAACGCCGTAGGCTGAAGTAGAAGTGTGAAGAGCGCCACCACCGAAGCGACGGGTACGGAGCGGAGGTGAGGGAGCGGGCAGCGACCGTGCGGTAAGATCCCTCTTCGAGTGAGGGCCTCGGTCGGCATGGCCCGGACGGAACAGGGCAAGTGCAACGAGCGATGTGAGAGACTACAAGGATGAATGCAAAGAATCATGAAAAACACTCCTCCTGCACGGGTCCGACCGGAGGAGGGAGGACACGACTGGAAGGAGCGGCTAGTACACGGAACACAGTGGAGTGGGGGACGGAGTCACCTGATCGACCAGAGGGAGATGCTAGGCCGGAAGGACTGAGCATGTCAAGACATCGTAGGACGAGCTCCTGTTGCATGTGTCGCTGATAACCATATGACCCCCTTTGTCGAGAAGGTAACTGGGGGTGTGCAGTGTGGAAGAAGGCAACCCGACTGACCCGAGATGACAGCCTAATCGAACAGACAGAAAACCGTTGAGATGACTTCACCTGGGGGGAGGGGGGGTCCACGATGTATTGGTGGGTAGCCGAACGCAGACGGTCATGAAAAGAGGGGCAGGTCGCGCTCGTTCTGTGAGTATCATCACCATCAGAGACTCGATCAACCAACACGATCCAGTCATCTCTCGTCCTTTTTTCTTCCTTGATCGTTTTCACATGCTTTCATGTAAATGACACCACGCAAGCGTGATATAGTATAGTTTTCCTCGTAGACCGCGCGTGTACCGTATCGTGCCATGCAGTCAGTCATGCCCGAAACGTCTGGATCAGGAGATGCTTCCAAGCTATCTCTCGGGACGCGCCTGAGCCGTCTCGAGGGTAGGGTCGTCGCAGCCGACGATGAATCCTGCTGGCAGAGAACTCAGGTGGAGCGGTTTCTGCCGGGACACCCCGACTTGTGATGATCGTGCGGCTACGATTCTACCAACAGAACAACGGCGCCTGACCCGAACTAGCAGCCGTCATTCTGTCACGGCCGAGGTCATAGCAAGGCAAGGCAGGACCTACCATATCCGTGCACCACCGGAATCTGTGCCGGGAAGACTGCAGCAGGGTCAGCCTAAGCGCGTCTTGAACGTTGAACGGCAAGAGATGGACGTGGCCATCAAAGCGTCGCGGCTGCAGGGCGCTGTGCGGTAGGTGTGACAGGCACTCGAGGCCACCAGAGGCTGCCTCTGATCTGTACGTAGGTCGATTACATGGCCACACCGCCGCACCTCGGATGACGGGGTGGCCATCCGCTGTGCGCAGTCGAGGGGCGCCATGGTCTTGGGGGCCGGTGTTTTCTTTCCTCTGCACCCGAGTTTCCCCGTGACGGGTTAAAGCCTTGCCGTAAGACCAACGGCAGTTGACGGAAGAAGAGGTCGCTGCGGACGGGAGGATGATGACGAGGAGAGGAGAAGATGATGATATGTGGGGGGGGACCCCCCACGACGAGGCAGTCGCAAACCAGCGTGACAAGGCTGATTGGTTCTCATCATTATCTATCGTGCTTGGATGCCTGCTGCAGCCGTCGACTCAGCATTTACGAGTGTATCGGCAAAGAGGGTGTTGAACTGCTCGTGATACACATGTGACGGGCAGTGAAATCCGGCAGGGCACGTTTTGCTTGAGCAGTGGCTAGAACTACCGCGGGAGAGAAACTACTCGTATATACTCGACGACATAGTCTGTGTAGATTAGATAGACCCGATACCGGTTCCCGCTCCCGTACCTAGCGTCGTGGGAGATCGCATCAGCTCAGGCAAGGCCGGTCTTGCTCGTGTGTCGGCTCTGACGCTTGCATGGTCAGGCTCGGCACAGTCCTCACCAAGACACTGCACAGGGATAGGCTCTGCTTCTATATGCCGACAGGACTGCAGAAGAGCAATGGCAGAGAGGGTGCACTAGATCCCCTCGGCAATTCTCAACCGTTCAACTACAGTGTATGGCCCCTCGCCATGATCGTACCGAGTTCAGGTGGCGGCGCAGGCTAGGGAGATGGCGTACTGGAACCTGGAACCGTGATGAAGGAATAGAAACGAAGGGGTGGAGGAAGGAAGAAAGAAAGAATAAGAAAGAAAAGAGAGGTTGAGTATCGGCAGACATGTATTCTCGGACAATTACACATGGTAGATAGCTGTAGATTTGCGCCCGCTCTGATGACAGAGGTCACCGCAATAAGTCTTGGTAGCGACCTCCATGGTGAATGCCGGGTGTGCTGAGTAAGCGTCAGCTACAGGCTGAGCTTACAGGTTACATGACATGTATGCAGACAGGCAGGCGATATCGATTGAATGAGACCAGATTGGGGGGGGGGTTGAGGTAGCGTATCCATGCACCGAGTTGTCAGACGAGTGGTAGCGAACGTACGGAAGGAGTGTGCGAGTGGCAATCAGAAGAGAAAAGCCAAGACTGCAAGAAGAGGAGTAAGATTAGCGGCTCGGCCAACCCGACCGGGGAGTTTTGTGTGTGTGTGTACAGGTGCATACATTGTATGTGAAAATTTAAGCTTGTTTACCGTCATACTTGTGGTGTGTGGGGGCGAAAAGGGGGGGGGGAGAGGAGAGATGGAGAGTCTAGGCCTTACGGAAAAGTCTATTATTATATGGTACGAGTATTACTCCGTACCTCCGTATTACATTACGCGGTAGAAGTTGGAATGTCGGGCCAAGGTCGAAGGGGGGGGGGGGGGGGGGGGGGGGGGGGGGGGGGGGGGGGGGGGGGGGGGGGGGGGGGGGGGGCAGGGTATGGGAAGGCTAGTGCGGACAAGACAAGCAGCAACATGGTAAGTCGGCACACCCACCTTTTAGAGGCATTCCCTCCATATAGTATTACCACTATTCATGTCACGATTTCTTTTTTTTTTTTTTTTTTTTTTCGCCGCGTGTTCTCCAGCAATACACGACCGTTTCTCTAGATGTATTACACCATCTTACACCATCTTGATCTGCAATCTCTACATGTATATTTCGAGGGTTAGTGGAATGATTTTTTTTTTCCCGGTGGGGGGAGGTTATTTTTACCGCCCTGAATATGAATGTTATTTATTCCACCTGTTCTGATGCGTGTTGGTCGGGTAGCTTTAATATATGTGTAATTAATCAAGGCAGGAATGATGCCGTTTGGTGCCGGTACTGGTATCGCGAATGTGTGAATGAGTAATCTGTGCAGGTTACATAGTACGGATCACCGTGACAGATTAATAGTCAGATACGACTGCTCCGTGGATGCCGAGAAGATGGGTACCTGTATCATGTATATGTAGCCATCCTAGCCGGAGGCCGCCCTGCGTCCTCCCGCACAGACATGCAACAATATTACTGACCGATGGGGAGCATGCGATGGATTATGAGACAATCACTCCCTGTAGACTCAATGACGTCGGACGCTTCCGCTGCGTCCGAAGCGGGAGAGACCATTTGGCCGTCGGGATTGCCTCGCACCGATCCCGATTGTCTTGGCCTTCACAGGTTGCCACAATCCGGTTCTGCCAGCCTTTGTCGGATGAGCTGATGGCAAAAGGCTCCCCAGAGCCTTGACCGGTCGTTCGAATGAAATCGGAGGAAATGATAATGACGAGAGAACGACGACGAGGAGGAGGAGGAGGAGGAGGAGGGGGAGGAAGAGACAGCCGACCTGCATGTACACTGTATCCTGGGCTGTCGTGTTTTCAGAGCCTGGAGACTGCCGGTGACCCACAAGCACTAAATACCCATGATACCGGGCTGGTTATTCATTGCCAGTAAAATCTGCCCATTAAACTGGGCGTTGATACCGCTGTACTCGTATTGATCCCACCTACGAGTATAGTGATCCCACCTAGTGATCCCGATCCCACCTAGCGCTTGTAATAGGGAAAGAGCCAAGGGACGAAGAGAAGAGAGAGAAAAAAGAGGACTCTACTCTCTCTCTCTCCCTCTCCCTCTCTCTCTCTCTGCCGTCTCGCACTATTTTTGGAACTCATCCACCATCAGCTGCCCGTCTCATCTCTCTTTCCCTCTCTCTCCTTCTCCCTCCATCTATTTTTTTAATCTGTTTTTTTTTTTTGCATTCCTTCCTCTCGTCTGATACTTGCCTCTCGCATCCGAATTCCCACCTGCGGGCCATGGTCCCCTTTTTCTAGTCTCGATCGGCAGCCGCTCACTCCCGTCCTCTCTTCCCCCCTTATCCTCAACCAAGAAGACAGGACGCAGAGAGGAGCGCCTCCCTCTCCCAGTCCGTCACCATGCCCGAGGTCCGTCGTTCCAGCAACGTGACGAGGACGCTGTCGGGTGCCAGCAACGCCGCCGCCGCCGCCGCCGATGCCGCCGACGAACCGTCGACGCCCATATCTCCCACTGCTTCCGCTTCCGTCGCTGCCGCCGCCGCCGATCAACCGAGCAATGTCAACTCGCAGCCTTCGGGACGGGTATCGACCAGTACAAGGCTAGGCAGCCTGGTCATCCAAGAACGGAGTCACGACGACAGCGGCAACGCCAGAAATGAAGACGACGACGACGATGCTACCGCGACGGCGCAGCACCCCGAACAGGATACCATCTACAGGGCCAAGGACGAAACCGCCGGCGGCGGCGGAGGCGGCGGCGGCGGCAGCAGTCTCCTCCCGCACAGCTCCGCGACGGCCGCCGACGGTCTCCCCAGACGGAGCCTCTCGTACGCCCTGCGACCCCAGGCCGAGGCCTACTACGACTCCCGGGCCGCCACGCGCCGGGAGTGGAGGCGCCGCGGCCGGACCCTGGAGGAGTACTACAACGACAACCCGGACCTGCTGCCCCAGCTCCCCTTCACGTGGCGTCACGGCAAGCGACGCTGGCGCCTGTGGTTCTTCGCCTTCATCGTCTTCGTCGACGCCTCGGCCGTGCCCATAGCCCTGTACTTTGGGCTCAAGTACGCCGGCCACGTCGAAGAGTACATCATCTTCGCCGTCGTCACCTCCATCTGGGGCGGTCCCACCTACGTCGAGTTCGCCGTCCGCACCCTCCGCCTGCTCAAGAAGGAGCACTTCTACCGCCCGCTCGGCAGCACCAGCCGCTGGTCCTCGGACATGACCACCTGGGCCTCCAGCCTGGCCATTTTCGTCCTCACCGTGCTCTTCATCGTCGGCAGCGCCCCGCACGACGCCTGGAACCGCGTAATCTCCATGGCCGCGCCCTCGCTCCTCTGGACCCTCGGCGGCGTGCTCTTCGCCATCACCATGCTGCACCGCTTCAACATCAGGGCTCCCTTCCGCATCAGCTCTACCTCCAAGGGTGAAAAGGTGAGCACCGACAGATCTCCGTCCCTTGCTTGCTATCCCCCACGCAGACCGGATACACGGGAAGATGTATACATATACATGTATATGTGCAGGGGGGCAGAGAGGGGAGGAGAGGAAGAGGAAGGAGAAGGAAGAACATCTTGCTGACCAGACAACAACACAGGTTCTACCCGGTGCATACTACTTCATAGAAGACGTCATGGCCGTCAACGCCCGCTGCGGCAGACCCTACCGAGAGGCCCTGGCTGCCCGGTACCGCTCCAGTCCGCGTTTCCGCCAGATGCTCTACGAGCAGTCCATGTTCTGGTCCGTGCCCTCGCTCATCCTGGCCGCCGTCCTGACCGTCATAGCCATCATCCCCCAGGTCCCGGAGGACTGGGGCTACGGCGTATGCTGGGTAGCCCCCTTCCTCTGGATGTTCGTGTGGGGATGCATCTCCATCCGCTGGTGCAAGAAGAGCATGGTCAGGGAGCGTCTGGAGTGGGAGGCCGGGATCGTCGCGCCCAAGCAGAACCAGCAGACCGACAACCCCCCTTCATCCAGCTCTACCGCTACCCCCCCCGCTGACGGTGCTCCCACTGCTCTGTCGACTTCCGATGCGTCCGCTGCTGTCTAGCATGCATGTATTGACAAACATACAAACGTACAAACACACCCACACACCCACACACACTTTACATATACATATACACACACACACACATTTTCTGTTTACTTGTTTTATCTCGCTATTCTCGTCTTATTTTTACTACTACTATTATTATCTTTTTTTTTTCAACATAGAGAATGAGGAAGAAGGGGGAAGGAGAGATTGGTTTACAGCGGGTAAGAAGAATGAGCGACGTAAAAACGACTTTCGATACCACGGGCGCTGGCGTTACATTTTTCTGTCAATTATCAACAACTGTCGAGAGGTAGCGCTTCTTTAGCATGGCTGAACATACATGTATTAATGGAAGAAGAGATGCTTGTTCTATTGTTTTTGTCTTTGCCATGTGATGTCTTTTTTATAGAACCCCGACATCGTCAACAACACCTAGTTTGGTATCAACGCCGTCAAAAATAAAGAAATAAAAATAAAAGCGTTTGCAGTTTAAAACGTGAATCAAGCTCGACGTCTGTATGCTTCCGGTACAGGTTAAGTAAAAATGGGATTATGTAATACTACCTTAACCCGAACGCGCATTTGATTGGGCCCCAGCTCTGGTTCGCGTTTTTTTCTAATTTTCGGTCGGATTCCATCTCAATCTCAACTCCTTGGATTTCCCTCCCGACTTCCCAAATCCATCTCCCCGCGACGAACGACTAGGGTCCTGCTATCCGCCAACCGCCATCTCGATTCATCTGGACCATCTGAACACACATATATATATATATACACACAAACACACACACACACACACACACACACACACATATATATATATATGTATATTTGGTCTCATCCGAACTCCTGATAGCGACGCTCCCACCTCCCTCTCACATCATTCTTGTACGCCATGGACCACGGACGCGACCCCTGCCCCTGGGTCATTTTGAATGACTTTGGAGGAGCTTTTGCGATGGGGGTATGTTTTGATCCCAATATCAAACAAGGGTTTCTCCTCTTCTTTTTTTCTTCTCCCCTTTTCTAAGTGAAAAAAAGAAGGGGTCAAAGAAGAAGAAGAATGCTAACGCAGAAAAAAAGGCAATCGGCGGCACAATCTGGCACGGAATCAAGGGTTTCCGCAACTCCCCCTACGGCGAACGTCGCATCGGCGCCATAACAGCAGTCAAGATGCGCGCCCCCGTCCTGGGCGGCAACTTTGGCGTCTGGGGCGGCCTCTTCTCCACGTTCGACTGCGCCGTCAAGGGCGTCCGGCAGAAGGAGGACCCGTGGAACGCCATCGTCGCCGGCGCCTTCACCGGCGGCTCGCTGGCCGTCCGAGGCGGCTACAAGGCCATCCGGAACGGAGCCATCGGGTGCGCCGTCCTGCTGGCTGTCATCGAGGGGGTCGGCATCGGAATGGGCAAGGTCTTTGCCGGGTCGACCAAGCTCGAGGTGCCGCAGCCACCGCCTAACATGGAGGGTGCGGCGGTTTAAAGAAAAAATTAAAACAAAATTCACCCGGCTACCATCATCCCATCCTATGCCTGCCCCCTCCCCCCCCCCCCTCTCCTCTCCTCTCGACCTGGGATCTGGTATCTCTCCCTGGGGGGCTGCATCCTGATATCTCCCCCCCTCGGACCTGGTGATTTTTCATCTTGCCAAATCGCCACTGCCTTCTCTCTCTCCATTCTTCAGTCCCGAGAAGACAGACGGGCCGACAAAAGGAAAAGATCGCCGGATGCTTCGCCCCCCTTCCCTTATCCGACCTGGAAACAAAAGCAAAAAAAATTGTACCAACATACAAACCCGATACAACACCGATACAAACACACTATTCTCCTAATCGCATCGCATCGGCGTTCCCATGTACTATAATAGATGTCTTTCTCTTCCTTTTCTCCCTTCTGTACCGGTGGGCACACATGGAGAAGGAGAAAGAAAGAAAGAAATGGAGGTGGTAGGGTCAGTGAATGGACTGGCAAAGAATGATCATGTTATACAACTTCTTTCTTGGTTCGGATGGTCATGAGTGTATATTATCTTGGACGGAAACGAAAACAACGTCTTGCTTTCCCATCAGCACACATGTGTGTGCGTTCTACATCCCGTGCTTTTCTACTGTCTGTCTATTTCTGGTTTTTATAACCTAACCTGACCTAACCCCCCATCATGTCATGAAGACGTCTCACCTCACTTCTCACTCGATCACTCAAAAATCACTTCCCTCGTTATTCCAGACGCTCATGATCGGCCTCCCCTCTTCGTCGATCCAGGCCCTAAACATGCCGGCGCAGTTATAGTCCATGACGACGCTCGACTCGGCGCTGACCACGCGTCCGCCCCGCCTAACGACCACGCTCTCGATGCCAATCATCCCGCCCGACCCCTCGCCCGTGCGTCCCCATCTGTCCCCCGCACCACGCTGCAGCTCCCCCCCGGGACCGACGACGCCGCCCACGGCCTGCGCGCCCGGGACCCCCTTCCACCTCGCCACGGCGACGGCCGTGCGCGCCGCCGCCGCCCGCAGGAACGAGTCACCGTTCCCCGTACCCGATATACCCAGGCTCCTTGTCGTCGTCGCCGCCGTCGTGACCCTGGGTGTGGGTGTGTAGACGAACGGCGTGGGCAGGCAATCGGCCAGCACACCCCTCAGGGGACCAGACACGGAGACCGTCCAGTCCGAGCCACTGTCACCGTCGATCCACTCCTCCGCCCAGAAGCCCGCGCCGGGAACGGGCGTGTCGCCCACCCGCCCTGTGAGCTTGTTGGTCAGGCCGCCGGTGCTCGTGGCAACGCAGATCACGCCGTCGGCGTCGAGCGCCACGGCACCGCACGTCCCCTGCGGGACGTATCTGTCCGCGTCCCACCCTGGGTGTCCCGACGGGCCATTTTTGCTGCCGTCATCGTCGCCATCGTCGCCGTCCTTGACCCGCTCCCGTTCCCGCTCCAGACCGCGCACGTGCTCATCCCAGCTCCTCTGTGTGAAGAAGTAAGACGGATCGACCAGTGGGAGCCCGTACTTCTCGGCCAGCTGCTCCGCCGCCTGGCCGTAGATCTGGGTGTGACCCTGAGCCGACGGGACGTCTAGATCCAAGCCGCCACCACCACCACCACCAATGCCGCCTCTGCCTGACAGATCTTCGTCGCCGTGCTGGAGCATCCGCTGCGCGAGGACGATGGGGTTCCGCACGTGCCGCAGACCCATCACGCCTACCGTGCGCTTGGCGTGGCCGCGCGACACCATGACGGACGCTTCCAGCTCGTTAACGCCGTCGCGCGTGAAGACGGCGCCGTACCCGCTGTTGAAGAGCCCGTTGTCCTCTAGCTGGGTCACCGCGTGCACGGCCGAGTCCAGCGCGCTCGGGGACTTGGGTCCCGTCATGTAGGCGTTCGTCGACGTTATCTACACACTCGTACTCGTCGGTCAGCTCTCTACCATGTGTCGAGGGTCGGTAGTAGTAATCTTCCCCGTCATGCTGTCGAGTCAACCATCCCCCCCCCCCACCCCCACTTACTATCTTGATCAGCGCACTTCGGTACTTGGCATACTCCTCTGGTGGGAAAACACCTCTTTGGATGTTGCCGGCGCCTCCGTGGATGATGATTCGGGGCTTGATCCTGATGTCCGGTGCTGGCCCCAGACAAGGGCTCTCTTCCTGCTGTGCCATCTTAGAATATTCCATCTTTCTGTCGTTGGAGTATATTTTCAGGTATTTGGTGCAGGTGCGGCGCAGGTGTACAAAGCAAGTGTATTATCTTTGCTGTAGATGTAGGCGTACCTGTACGAGTACGGGCAAGGCATGATATCTTGAATGTTATCTTCAATGCACGATTATTAATTTCCATGGATGGGTCAATGTATGACTGATTCCCTGAGAGGGGTAGCCAGTTCTTGATAATACTAATACATGACACCAACTGCACCAACACCACATGTCATATCGCAGCACTATTACACCATCAGTAAAATACATGCTGAAGATATTTCGTCTTTATATACCGATTACGAGTACCAACCCCAAGATATAAAAAGGACAAAGATGATAGTAAAAACTCCAGTGCACCGATCCAAGACAAGAAGAAACGGTATATATCATCGGGGCAAGGCCAAAATGACCTGAATGGGTATCTCAGTGTGACCAATTCCCTGGCTTGACCACAGTCAATCTATCCGTCCTGTTTGTTGTTGTGTTATCCATCCGTCCATTCATTTGTATGAAAGACCCGCATCAACCAGGGGGATGCATCAATCCAACATTCCATCCATCTGTAAGAACAAAAAGGTTTTACCCAAAAAAAATATATAAAGGCTGGGCCATAACTCCTCAAAGACAATGCAATTCCCCTCCTAGAATAGGATGGACCATGAAAAAAAAAAACCGGAAAAAAAAAAGATAGTCAGAAAAATCAAAAGACGGGAGCCGGGACCCTTCAATCATCCCTGCACTGTCATGTGCCTTGTCTCCTCTGCGGTGATGTAATGTTACAAAATGTTGGGGCGGGTGGCGTTCTCTCCCCTGTCAATCCATCAATGTCTCTCCTTTCACTTACTCTCATCAACCATCAGGAAGAAGCAGCAAAAAAAAGAAGAGAGGAAACGACGGAGGACAGAGGAAGAGTGGTAAAATATCGATGGGAAGGGAGAGGGGCTAATGCTGGTAGAGACCAGTAGCCACTTTAACTGAAATGTCGACATCGCTAGGACGGATGCCGGGCGTCTTGCCTAGAAACACCGCCTTGTTGACCATTTGTTCAACCAAGAGACCCACGTTGAGCGTCACCTTGAGCCGCCCCGGGCTCTGGGATGATGTCCACGATGAAGATGAACCGACCGGCACATTTGTCGCCCCCGGATAGAGAAAGGCGTTCATTGTCCCGGTCGACGCACCGGCACCGCTGCCACGTCCCATGCTGCCATCACCAAACATGGACGTATTGCCGCCCTCGGCCGCGGGACCGCCACCAAAATCGTGCGGGGACAGCTCGACGTCGATAAAGTCTGCGCTGCCCGGGATACGCACACCGCGCTGGCCGAGATAGTTCTCGACCTCTTCGGTATCTAGAAAGACGCCGTCGGATGAGGGGTAAGTCATCTGGATGCCCTTGTCGAAGCGTACGCCATGCGACATGGCATTGTCGCCGCCGGGCCGGCCACCGCGTGCCAGAGATTGCATCTGCTCCGTCAGCCGGTAGATGATGGAGTCGCGCGACTCGAACATGAATTCTGTGTCGAAGACGGCACTGAACTTGCCGGGCGACGGGTTGGCCATGGTGGCGAGCATCAGCATTCGCTGGAGCATGGCGTGCTGGAGGCGTCTGCTGAATGACTGCTCCAGCGGCGCGTACTGGTGCGGCGCTACCGACGTCGCCATGTCGGTCGCCAGTGCCTGGGGCGGGGGGGCCAGTGCCTGCGTGATGGCCGGCTGCTCGACCCAGCCGCTCGGTGCCTGGGGATCCGGCGTATACGAGGGGAAGCTGGCGTTCTCGGGCGTCGGCTGGGTGATGACCTCGTAGGCGAACGGATCAGGGGGGAAGAAGTCGGTGGCTGACGAGGGGAAGCTGTGGACGATGCCCAGGGAGTGTCTCTGCGGCATGGCGGCAAAGTTGTCGCTCGAGGCGCTGCTGATGGTGCCCATGGTGGGTCTCCTGTTGTGCCGAGGTGGATGGCTAGCGAGCTTGTCGCCGACACCACCACCCCCGCCACCGGCGGTCGACGAGGCCACGCTGTGTACGTCGCCCTCCCTGAAGACGGTCCCCATCGCGGTGCTGGCCTGTGGCTGGGCTTGGACTTGGGCCTGGACCTGCATTGCCGCCGTGGATGAGGGCGCGGAGAAGAACTTTTTGCTGAGCTCGTCGAGGCGGAGTGACAGTTCCGAGTTGGCAGACACCGCGCCGTGGGAGTGCAAGAGGTCGATGAAGCTGGAGAAGTCTCGGGTCATGGTAGTGCAAGTCTCCTCGAGGCGCTTGACCTTTTCCTCGAGGTCGGTGATGGCCTTGTCTTTGCGGTTGCGGTAGGCCCGCTGAGCTTCGCGAATCTGCTTACGTCGGCGCTAGAGAGGAGAATGCGCTGTCAGATGGGACCAAACTAACGAGAGCGAGGAGCAGGGAAAGAAGTAGAAGAAGGGGGAAGAAGGGGGAGGGTTATTCACGTCATCTTGAGACTCGCCAACCTCGGTCAGACGCGGACGACCCCTCGGGGCCTTTGGTCTCTTTGCGGATTCTGGCCCTGCAGCATCCTGATCTCTGGTCCGCTTCCTGGAAGGTGACGAAGTCTCCGTCTGAGATTGGGGAGGCGGATTCTGCACGACGGAGGTAGAGGCCCTGGTCGACAGAGGAGTGACTCCCTGCTGCTGCTGATGCTGCTGCTGATGATGCTGCTGCTGCTGCTGCCGCTGCTGCTGCTGGGGGCCAGTGACGGCAGCTTGGGCGCGCATAGGCGACACCAGGGGATCCGTGGTGGCCGCGCCACCAGTCGTAGACCGGCGGAGGCCGTGTCGCTGGTGAGTCTGAGGGTTCTGTGAGGGAGAAGGAAGGTAGGGCGTCACCGAAGCGAGATGCGAGGATCCCGAGGCGGCGGCGGCGCTGCTGTCAGAAGGGCCGTGCCCAGAGGAGAGATGAAGGGGACGGTCGGCGGTGGTGGTCGCGGAAGGAGGATCCGCAGAGCCGTATAGGTTCTGGGCGGCGTGAAGGTGGTAGGAGGAAGATGGACCGGAGGGAGGCGAGGTGGTATGGAAGTGCAGAGCGTAGTTGTGGGCAGCAGGGGATGGTGAGGCGGTCTGGTGCGCTGCCGCTGCTGCTGCGTGGGCTGCTACGGCTTGCTGGTGTGGTGTAATGGTAGTGGTAGCAATGGTAGACGAGGAGGACGGGTCCTGGAGTGTGGGAGGTAGGGAGAAGTGATCAACATTAAAGGCGGGCGTGGTGTAAAAATGAGAAGAGGTCAGAGAGTGGTGATGATGGTGGGACGGGTGGGGAGGTGGTGGAGGAGGGGGGGGGAGGAAGTTGTAGGTCTTGATGATGTAGAAGCAGGAGATCTGAGGGCTGGTGGTGTTGTTGGTGGTGCTGGTGCTGGTGCTGGTGCCCGGGCTGGTGGTGGTGTTGGTGGTGGTGGTGGTGGTGGGAATGATGGCCCTGCTGCTGGGGGTTGTGCCGATGTTGCTCTAGGTGGTGCTGGGAACTGTCTATCTGCTGGCGGGGCACCTGCTGCAACTGCTGGGATAGCGGCTGATGCTGGGGCTGGTGCTGGGGCTGGTGCAGGGATTGCTGGGATGATTGGGGGGTCCCCTGGTGAGATCCCTGGGAGCCGCCAGAAGCAGCTGGAGGGCCTTGACCCTGGCCTTGGCCACATAAAGCTGCTGCTACTGGCGCTGTCCCCTGCTGCTGCTGTGGTTGTTGCTGCTGCTGCTGCTGCTGCTTCTGCTGGGAGGATGACGGATAGACGGGTCCTCCCCCCTGTTGATGGTGACCAATACCACTTCCAGGTCCAAGGATCGCCGCCGGGTCATCAGCTGCAGCTGGAGCCTGGACGGCGGCGGTGGCGGCGACGGCTGCAGCTGAAAGGTCCCCGCCGTCGCTGGTTGTCGACATGACCCCACTCTAATCCCTCCAAGCCAGGACAAGCGCAAGTGGAATAATTCCCCGATGGACAGGTGAGGTGTGTGCTTGTGTGTGTGAACTCGATGACTGCGGGACGCCCTGTTTGCTGGTGCTCGGTGCCAAAATACGATGCCAGCAAGGGGAGCGAATTGGGGACCCAGGTTGTCTTCCCTGTTGGAGAGAGTGTGTGTGAGAGAGAGAGGGGGGGGGGGGGGGGGGAGGAGCGAACAACACATCCAGCCCTGTCTATGCAGTGACGATGATGATGCCGATTCCCCGTTCTTCTTCTTTCTACCCCCCAAAAAAACCCAACTCGTCTTCTTCTGTGATATCACCTCGTTTCGAATCGTTTCTCCGTCTCGAATCGTCCGGTCGATTTCGTCGGGGATATTGTTGAATCGGGGCTGCCTGTGTGAGGCAGCTGGTGTCGGTACATGAGGCGGTCTCTTTTTTTTTTTTTCTCGTGTAGTGTGATGTAGTGTGGTGTAGTGTGGTGTGGATGTCTTGGTGATATCTCGTCCTAGTGACCTCTAGTTTGGTTCCCTCCCAGCCTTTCTAATTTTTCGCTCTTGTTAGATTTCTCTTCTCTTTCTCATATGTCGCTTCTCTCCGTCGGGAGGAGTATATGAAGGAGAAGAATGGAAAGAAGAAGAAAATCAGAGCACTTCTTATCCTTCTTTTCACTTGGAGGGGGGGGGCGTGTGGAGGGTTTGAGAGCAACAAGGGCCAGCAAAGGAACGAGAGAGAGGTGTCTGGGGGTCGTCCTTCTTATGGGATGGGATAACCTAAATGACAGCTCGAGGTAAATAAAAAAAGAAGAAAATGAGATAAAGCTAAATGAAAGGGAAGAAAGAGGCAGATCCTCGAGGGCGGCTACGAATGATATCACGGAAATGACTCCGGGAGAAAGGGCTGTCTCGACAGGGGGGTGATGGAGGGGTGGTTCAGTCTTATGTGTGTGCTCTGACAAAAGGTAAAGAGAGAAGAAATAGATGGAGAGAGAGAGAGAGAGAGAGAGAGAGAGAGCAATGCCAGTGATGCAGCATACAACGTAGTAGTCGATATACTGCAAGAGAAATAAATAAAGAAAAGAATGCCCAGAAAGAAACAGTACGGTCATGTACTACTGCTAACTAACCATCATTACTGCTATTCGTGCTACTCGTATGTGTCAAAACAAAATAAAATAACATACGAAATAAACTAAAAAAAGACCCTTTCCAAGGGAAACCCGAGTGACAGGACAGGCTTACTGCTAACTTGTAGCTATTACTCCGTACATGTAGAGAGTCCCATCTGCTGGGAAGCACACCCCGGCCGTGCGTCGCCCCACTCTTTCTCAGCAGGGACGATCTGGTGGGACGGGCTTCGACGCTCTTCATTGGGGGAAGGGGGACCCTTTCCAGCTGGCAACAATATGGGCCAATTCTTTGCCTCTGCTGTCTCTTTGGATGCTCTGGGTGTTTAGATGTGGCTTAGGTCCATACTTGGGAATCTCGGGGTCTATCAGGGTCGCTCCTTCGGGGCTCGCTCGAGAGTCAACTGCGCGTGTCGCTACTTCCTTATTCCTTTCCTCGCTTCGTCTCTTTTCCTTTCTTTTCCTTCTTTCGTTCCTTCCCTGTCTATCTGTCCGTCAGCCGTTTTGACACCTTCCAGATCGACTATTGTCGTAACGAGGTAATCCATTGATTGGTCACTCCACAATTTGCAGGGCAACGAGCCATTCTGCTGTCAATGTCCTATGGATTTTGTGCTATTCATGGCGCTATAATAAACAACTACAGCTTCACCGATAGATCTCACCTTGTATTGGCTGTATTATGCTGCTGCTGCTGTCTTTCATGGTACTACTGCTACTACTCGTACTCGTACTGCTGCCACCACTACCACCAATGCTACTACTACTAGCTACTATGGGGTATTATTACTGTATTACTACTACCACTACTACCACTACCACGAGTATTGCTACTAGTCCAGCTACTACTGCTACTGAAAAAGAAAAAAATCTATAATAAAATCAAATCAAATAAACCTCCCCTACCACCACTACCTGTACTAGTACCGTTTTGTTTTATCAGTAATGGATTACCAAGTCTGTCACGTAGCAGCAACAACCACTCACTCACGCGCATATATGTACGTGCGACACATCTCATTACCCCGCTAAACAAATCTGGTCCATCTCCCGTTCCTCCCCTTCTCCTCCTCCAGCTCGGATCTCGAATTGATCTTCTGTTAGCGCGCATCTCAGTTCCCAATCTGACATCTCCTCCTCCTCCTCCTCCTCCTCCTCCTCACCTCCTTTGCCTTCCTCCTCCCCCTCACCCCGATTCCCCTCACTCCGATTCCCCTCACTCCGATCCCTCCATCTTTTTTCCCTGTGCTGCCCACCCACCCTTCCCTCCCCCCAAGCTGTGACGGCTGATATATCTACCAATTGTACGGAACATGTGTAAGATGTGTAACTTGTATGACGACCTTACCGAGGACTGGTATCCTCATTGGTTTCCCCGCCTCTCTGGTGATAACTCACCGTTTCTTTGCGATTTCTTCTCTCTCTCTCTCTCTCTCTGCTTAGTGGGTGACGGTGGGTCGTGGCTTGTTCGGGAAGGGCTTATACAGGCCTCGCGACGGCATAATCATTGTGGCGATAGGACGCTTGTACATAACTCTTTATGGTGATGATGAAGAATGATATTCCAGAGGAAACGCTCGGAAAGAAGTGTAAGCATTCTACTAGTTCATTGTAGTGTCCGTAGATGACGGAGAGCTGGAAGCGAGGCTGCTCCCGTGCCGTGGCAGTGTAACATAGCGTCATCTCTTATTCCAGCTATACACACTATCATCAGTACCCTTTGCAGCTGCTACGTCTGTTCGCAATGTATAGGTACAATGACACTAGACGTACAGGTCGGAAACAGCTCTGCGTTCTGGTTTGTAAGGAAAAAGAAAGTAATAAGAGGAAGAACCCGATAGAGAGAGCTGCGTAACCCAAGGATGTGTCAAACCTTTCTTTTCTCTCTATCTCTCTCTCTCTGTGAGAGAGAGAGAGAGAGAGAGAGAGTGTGTGTGTGTGTGTGTTATGTCTGCCCTTCTATGCGCGCACCCCCTCCCTTTCCTCTCGGCATGTGGAGGAGTCACGGCTTACTGCTCCAGAGTACCATTATCACGTATATGATATGGTGTACGGTACTTAGTGAGAGAAAAGAGTAGAAGAGTCGCAGTGCCTATGACCAAGTACAGCCCAATGTCCTCACAGCTATAGTGTCCCAGAACAGTGACATGGGAAAAATAAAAATAAAAAGTATCAATACTCCAGTTTTACGATGCACAACATGCAACAGGTGCTTGATCTGATCTGTCTCATCGTACTTTTCATTCTTTTGGTTCGTTCTTGGTTTGTTGGTCTGTACCGTCTGTTGTGCAATGAGAGCTCTAGAATCCGAGGGCAGGGAATGAATGGGAGGGGCGTGGGTGAGTTTCCTTGGTTGGGTTCCATGGGAAAAAAAGAAAGAAAAAAAAGAAAAAAAAAGATTGGTTACGTAGCCGTACGTGTTATTACTAGTACTCTTGTACTCCGTACTTGTAATACTCCACGTAAATACACACACAAAAGAAAAGAAGAGAGTGTGTGTGTGAGTACAGTACACATACGAATATAGAGAAGGGGAAAAAAAGTGGGTATATATGTCTCACATGACCTGGAATTTGGGTCGCAATGTCCTTGACCGGGGGGGCGCGGGTTTTTGTCCTAGGGGACAGGGTTGTATGATGGATGTAATACGGACTAGAGTAACTCGTACGATGTAGATGTAACGGAGTTGAGGAAAACGAGTGCTACTATAAGCCGTAGTAGAGAAGAGGAGTTTTTTTTCCTCTCCGTTCTTTTTCTTTCCCTTCTGGACCCCTATTCTTTCTCTCTCTCTCTCTCTCTCTCTGTCTCTCTGTCTCCCTCTCTCTCTTTCGCACTCGTATTTCAGGAGAAGTCTTGACCACCAAGAGTATTATTATAGGCGAGTTAGAAGAGAGGGGGAAAATAAGCAGCTCTACACGAGAGAGACTACAGCGGAAGAGAGAAGGAGGCTATGAATAGGTCAGACACGGATTGGAAACGAGAGAGAGGGAGAGAAACAGCAGAGCGAGAGAGAAAGACAGGGGTCTAGTTCACCTTTGTCCAGAAAAGAGAAGAGAGAAAGAGAAAAGAAAAGAGCGGGAGGGGGGGTTAAGCTGAAGTCGACCCCCCTGTATCCAATCAGCTTTCACGGATCTACCTGGACATTATTATTGTTTCCTTTATTCCTAGTTCCTTGTCAGTCGACGCGGTTCCGACCTTCTGGTTCCGGTCACAAAACCGGGGGGGCTTGGTTTGATTTGGTCTTTATTTTCTTTCTTTTTATTTTCTCTTTTATAGCTAGGGATATGGGTATGCACAGAGAGAAGTGGTCGTAGAGCTCATAGCTGGACCATATGAGTACTCGGTATCCAGGTGATAATAATATAGGTAGGGTAACCAACCCACTTATTCTTAGCCCAGTAATACGGTATTACTACGGGGGTGCTACGGTACCAGTCGAGGGCAGATGTAATCTGTATTATAGGGAAGGTAACATGGCGGTTGGAGTGTGAAGGAGGCGCATCCGAGGTACGTACTGTGGCCTTCTCTTCTCCCATATGTTGGGCCTCTCTCTCTCTCTCTTGTGAATCCGTCATTGTGTGTGTGTGTATGTGTGTACTTGTACTGCCCTTCCCAAATCTATGAACCCAGCTTTCAGGCCATGGAAACACACACACCACAATATGCGGTGCTCCGCTCGTAATGATGCTCCGTATGCGTGTGGGCGGATAGCCTGTCACCGATCCAGTAGGTCTTCCCGATATCTGGGACTGGAACAAGGGCAAGGCTATCGGGCAGAGGATTGATGACGTTTAGAGAGGAGAGGAGAAGAAGAGGGACAAGGAGAATGAAAAGCAGACGGCTTTCTGAATGGAGTAGTAGCGATGGTACGTCATATGGAACTTGGCATGTGTATTATGCCCTATAATCCCAGTCCTCGCTACGACGCTCTTGTACCATTAATAAGATAATCCAGATCGTATTACTACGTGACAATTCACAAAAAGAAAATGAGAGAAGGAAAGAAGAAGAAGAAGAAAAGAGGGAAAAAAACACCGGTTCATGTCGTAACGTAAAACTCCAGTCTCTCATCAATCCATCATACTTTTTCTGTATTATTCCTTTCAACCTGATGTGTCCCCCAATCCAAGACCTGACCTGACCTAAGCCCCCCTCCCTTGCCCTTACCCTTGCGCCACCACCACTACCACCACCACGGGCACCATCACCTCCCCCCCCCCCCCCCCCAAATCCCAGCCCCATCCTATCCGCCTTCCTCTTCTCATCATCCCTGACGCCCGTTCACCGCCACACCTGCACCAGTTCGTCCACAAGTTGCGACTGGACCGAATCCTATACGAGTACGAGTTACTCCATTCAAGGTATAGGAGTAACCTAAAGTACCACCATACTGCTCGTACAGTCTGCGACTACCACGAAGTACTCCGTAGCTATATTACCACCACCAAGTCACCCACCACCCCCGAATTTGCACGAGTGCCGAGGCTTTTACCCACACGGATGCTACGCTGTGTGTGTGTGTGTGTGTGTGTTGCCCTCTATCCCGTAGGAGCGGTTGAGGTGATAATATCAAAAGGCAGTTATTAATATGATCTACCGGACGAGTAGTACCCGTACATGTAATATGTAATACGCTGTACGAGTACCTACGCACGTGCGTAAAGCACGTCATGTGCATCTTGTGTGTATTCATTCGATACTTCTTACTACCTCGAGTAATACTACCTAAGTAATACTGCTACTAACAGTCAAAAAGTATCATATGTACAGGTAATCTGAACAAACGAATTAGACCAAATGAGCCAAGACACAAAAAAAAAAGAGAGAGGGAGAGAGAGAGAGAGAGAGAGAGAGAGAGAGAGAGAATATCAATGACGGGACCGACCCTTTTTTGCCTAATTCTCCCACCGTTGACTCACCGTCGATAGCCATACAACCCGCTTCTACTTCTCCGATCCGACGCTTCTTTTTTTTGCCCTCCTCTTTCTTTTCCCTCCCATCACAAATCCCTTTCGGCTGTTTCTTTCATCACACACATACATACACACTCTCTCTCCCTACTCTTCCTCTCTCCATCTCATACCACTCTTTTTTTCTTTTTCTCTTCTGTAAGAAAGAGACGTCTCATGATCTGCGCACGTCACCATCATTCTGACCAGGGTATCGGATCATTTGCCAAGCCCTTTATTTCCCCCCCCCCCTTCCCCCATCCCCTCTCCACCTCCACTCCCACTCTTCTTTCCCTGTTCGCTCTCACACTCTCTCTGTCTTCTCCCCCCTGCTCCATCTTAAGAGAGGGGGCGGGGGGGGGGATCCGGGCTTGTCGGTTAGAAATTTTCTTCTTTTCACCATTACTACATTGCAATGCTACCAGAAGTACGCTATGCTCTTGACAGTCATTGGGGGGGAAAAACATGTTCATAAATGTTTCTCAAAAAAAAAAAAAAAGGAAAACGAAACTCATTTGAACCACCGTTCTTGTCGTATTTCCTTTCCCCCCCCCCCCCCCCCCCCCCCCTCCCGGCCTCCCGGTCTCCCGTGTCCTTTTTGCGAATTTGTCAAGGGTGTCAGGATCAATCAGTCTCTTTCTATCTCTATCTCTCTCTCTCTGTGNATTGGGGGGGAAAAACATGTTCATAAATGTTTCTCAAAAAAAAAAAAAAAGGAAAACGAAACTCATTTGAACCACCGTTCTTGTCGTATTTCCTTCCCCCCCCCCCCCTCCCGCTCCCGTTCCCGGCCTCCCGGTCTCCCGTGTCCTTTTTGCGAATTTGTCAAGGGTGTCAGGATCAATCAGTCTCTTTCTATCTCTATCTCTCTCTCTCTGTGTATGTGTCTCTCTCTATCTATCTCTCTCTCCATATTTTCCCGCTCTCACGGAAAAAAATCCCTATCACATGAACATAGGTCTTCCCCCCCTCTCCCATCCATGAAATTTTACCCGAGTATTATTGCTACCTAATATCTACGATACCCATCAAATATCAACTTTTATCCTTCCTCGAGCGACGAGCAGGCTCCCGCGGGCCGCATTCAACCCCTGCCCTTTCTTCTCTTTTTCCTTCTAACATGTCTTAGATGTCCAGACTTCATGTCAATTCAAAAAAAAAAAAAAATTAAAAAAAAAAATATTTTACTCGAGATTCGTCACGGTAGTACTAGGCAGCATCATCAACTCCCTGTAATATATAATGCTCGTAATATACATATACTCCATTTTCTCTCCGGCAAAATCCAAATCCTTCCCCCCCTCCCCCTGTCATGATATTAAAAGATTGAAAGATCCCTGTCGAGAGGAAGGGTAATGGATACGCCTTTTCAATATTACTTCTCGTCGTGCTCCGTATATCTGAGCTCTACGGAGAGTCTAGTAATACGTTGGGACCTTTTTTTTTTTTTTTCCATCCAGTCCTCTTTTCATTTTTATTATGTTAATATCAATCCCATTTCTGCCCGTTGCCAACGTCGGCTCACCGAAAGATCTGCTCGTACTAAAAGTCTAGTTGAATGATGCTCTGGGTACGTCACCTTACTCCCATTTGGTATCCCTGCTGTGGCACATCGAAGCAGTCACATCACATCCTGTCCGAGATCACCATGTCAGGACATCATGTCGGAGATCGTCGGGTCAGAGGAGCTCAAGTTCATTCTGAATCATGTTGTCATGCAAATGCCGCCATCTCACACAACGTGGCCAATAGAACGTGCTTACACCCGCCGCAGCATCATCATCTACCTACCGGGTAGGCAATCACATATGAGTATGTCGAGATCGGCATGATGTGGGTAGCAGTAGCAGTAGCAGTAGTAGTGATAGTGGTAGCAGTAGCAGTAATAATAGTAGCAGTAGCAGCAGCAGTAGCAGCAGCAGCAGCAGTAGTAGTAGTACTGTTCGTAGTAGTACTAAATACCCAAAAGTCGCTCAGTACCAGGAATGGTTATTATGCAGTATATACGGTAGTACTAATACAACGTAGATGAGCTTCACGTAGAATCATGCCTCTGCGCTCTGATCGAAGACCAGAAATCACCATCCTCATCCTCACCAACAACACTGCCCTTACCGCTCTTCCGCACCTGCCGCTCAAACGCCTTCCAGTATCTATCATCCCCCCGCGGCGTACGCGCCATCCACCTCTTCAGCCTGCCCTCGGACCTCTGCACCACAGACGCCCATACAGGGTAGATGAACGGGTCCCCGCCGTCCTCGACTGGCAGCGGCCTCCCCTTCTGCACGTACTCCTGACGTATGGCGTCCGCCTCGGCCGACAGGGCGGGCATGGGGCTCACGGTGGGAACGGACACGTTGGGCTGTTTTTGTTGCCGTCTGGGTGGTTGCTTCCCTTCATCTTCTTGGTGTCGATGTTGCTTCGCTTCCTTGCTTGGACGTTGATGCTGCTGCTGCTGCTGCTGCTGCTGCTGCAGTTCCAGGCTGGCTGACAAGGGTTTGAGCATGTCACCACCGCTGTCGCCTGCTGCTGCTGCTGCTGCCTGCTCCTGCTCTGCCAATTCCCTCTCCGCATTGACGAGCTCTTGCATGGCTGTCCCGCGCGCCGTCCAGTGCTGCCACATGCGCTCCAGACGCAGCTCATACCAGAGCTTGGTCACCACCGCACTCCACAGGTACGTGTCCTCGACTGGTGGGAGAGGATAGTGGCGGTCATGGTGGTCCGCTCCTCCTCCTCTTCCTCTCCCGCTTCCTCCTCTTCCTCCTGCAGAGGGGGAGGATGACGACCCGACCAGCCCGGCTCTGGCCATCTCCTCCTGCAGGGCATCCTCCCACCTGTCCTCGAGGGCCGCGGCAGGGGCCATCTCCTCCTCGGCCCGTATCACGCTGGCCACCCGGGCCTCCCAGAGCATGCGGTTCCGCGCCACCATGCTGTCCAGCGTGGGCGGGTGCGGCTTCCTGTACCGCAGGAACGGGTAGCCCAGCGATTCAGCGCACAGGGTCGGCACCCGACGGGGATGCTTGAGTATCGAGGCCGGGCGGGGTCGGCCCGTGTAGCGGGGTGGCTGGCCGGGTTCTGCGACGTTGACGAGGAGCGGGGGGCGCTTCTTCTTCTGCCCCTTCTCACCGGAGGTTGTCTGCTTCTTCGGTTTCGGTTGTGATGACGATGATGATGAACCCGATGACCGGTCGGATGTCTTCTTGGCCTGCGGCTGTCTAATCAGGTTGACGACTCGGTCGTGCTCGGGGGAGTCGACGATCCGTGCCTTGGTCAAGATAGATAGGAACTGGTTTTACATCTTGCCGTCAGTTGTGCACGCCTTGTGCGCGCCTATGAATATAGAGGAAGGAGAGGGACTGCGGCAAGAACGCACCTTGTAGCCTGCCGACATGGAAGAGTAGACGAGCCGAAGGCTGGTGTAGCTCTTGTTACTCTGAAAGCGCCTCTTGACCATGTCGGCGAGTGGGTGCACCGTCTTCCCGCTGGAGGAGAGGCCGCCGCCAACCTGCTTCTGTTCCGTGGGGAGCTCAACCTGTCGAGCTGATCGGACGAGGGCACGGTACAGAGCTAGAGCCGCGATGCGATGCCGGGAGTTACGCGCCGGCACAAAAAAGGTGTGTCGCATTTTTGTCGTCCAGGGCCGTTGCTTCTTTCCGCTCCTTTCCCACCCCCCCACTCGATCCTTTGACTTCCCTCTCTCTTTCTCTCCTCTCACGGTATCGTCGGAGGGGGGGCGGAGGGGTAATATTTCACGTATGCGAACTGCTTGATGGCATTATCGTGGATTCATATATGAGGGTGTTGAACAATCAAAGGACGTCGAACAACAATGGGCAGAGCTCTCCATCGACGAACAATGGCTTGGAGCTGTCGCGTGGGACAATGTTTGAGCCTTGGTGTGCTGACTAATACTTTGGCATGTCGTTACCCTGGAGCCCAAAATGGAGAAGATCGAGTTGTAAGAATTGACGGGATGATTTCGTTCGATAATATACATGTGCATCTTCCTATCCCTTTTGGGATTTTTTTCCCCTTATTTTTTCTTCTTTTTCCTTTCCCTTCTTTACTGTTACCTTTTCATGTGCTGACAAGTGAAGAAGATGAGGAAATTTGAAGCTTTTTTGAAGGTATAGATAACATAACCTGATCTGAAAGTGAGCGCTTGCGTGCATGCAAAGCATACGCCGTATTACATAACTTCGATAAAGACAGATTTTCAGATGCATACGACGACATGCTAGCAAACATCCACTTCTGACACATAACGTAGCACACGGTCCACGAGAGGATGTATTACGCGTATCGATTGTACGGAGTACATGCATTACAACATCAGCTCTTGTCCCCTCTGATCGTCTCTTGAGCTGCCGGCTTAGCAGGAGGGGAAAGATTGCCACGCGGGACTCGTGAGAAGACCGAGTCCGAAATATCTGCACAGATTGCCGTTACTCGCTCGGTTTACGTCTAGCTGACAGTAGACGTATGTACGAGTAATCCGTACTCGTCCAAGTACCGTCTACAGATTTGCAGTCCGCTTCTACGAGTATGAAAGTTCGGAGTTGGACTAGGGAGTATGGGGCACGTAAACACAGTTGGCTACTAGTACATACATGTAAGTGGTAGCTATTAATACCTAGCAATAATATATGTACTGACGAAATTCTTCGGAACGTACGGAGCGGAGCGGGGAGAGAGGTATTCGTTGCAATCCAATGCCAAAAACGGCAATCAGTTCGTACGTACCCACCGTAGACATGCGAAACAACAGGAGCCAGCCAAGACTGAAAGAGGAGGAGAAGGAGGAGGAGAAGGAGGAGGAGAAGGAGGAGGAGGAAGAAGAAGGAGGAAGAAGAAGGAGGAAGGAGGGGGAGGAGGTGGAGGTGAAAAAAAAAAGGAAAAAAAAAAAGAGGGATTTACATAACACAGGGAATTGAATAGAAGGAATTCGACGAGGGGTTTGAATTGGCATTCACTGCCCACAACCGAATACCGCTGCTTTAGGTACAGCAGCAATACTCTGCAGTACCTGTACGAGCAGTACTAATAGTCCAATCGTCGCGCTATGGAGGGACCGAATACAAGTAAAGATATGTAATAGGAGGGTATCAGTGATAACTAACGGTGTGCGTGTCTCGTGTGCGTGTCTTGTGTGTGCGTGTCTGCGGTGTCCTCCGAGGGCACATCTACGGGTATGGTACAGATTCATCTGTACAGGCAGGTACTTTACTTTATAGCCTGTAGGATACCAGACCCATACCCATAGCTATTCTTGTATGGAGGGAGGGGTGCCTCACAGGGGGACTTATCCCTGCCCGACCTCGTGACCTACCTTGACACTAATAACACAGTAGAGCAGTATTTGACATTATTGCCCATTGGCCCTTGCCAAACTCGGGGCGAGGCCTTGGGGGGAGGAGGTCCAGGGTTAGATAGAAAGGGAATGTGGAGATCCAAATGCAGCCCTACGCCATGCAACCAAAGGGATAGAGAGGGGGATCATGGCTTTCTGGGGGGGTCGAGACTGGACAAGAGAAGCAAAAGCGATAAAAAGCGAGAAACCGCTATTTGCTCGATAAGATGTCCAACACAAGAAAAGAAAAAAACAACAACATTCCACGCAAGTCCTGTAAGCTGGTAAGCCGTGGCTGCAGCTTGCAGCTGCTGACGCGTTAGGTGCTCCGTAGATGCAGCCGCGTTCTTTTTCAGCCCCCCCCCCCTTCTCCTCTTCTCTCCTTAGTTCTCTTGGCATGAATGCTGACGGTGATCAGCAGCCCAGTCGTATGACGGGGTGGGAATTGGACGAGAAAAGGCGGACAAGGATAGGGCCACGTCTTGTTATGACTCGCGTGAGCGTACGCCTGAGTCTACGGATAGAATAAGATGACTGTGTGAGTAGGTAATAATAAATAAAAACTACACAAAATATCCTACTACATGTACGAGTACAGTCATACACTACGTCTACTGTCATTACCATACAAGTAAACTGTACCCCGTACGCAGACATATATCATCGTACTTTATAGCTAGAGTATGTACGGGTACGATAAGTAGGAGTACGAGCCTTTTTTTTCTCCGTCTCTTTGATTTTGATTTTCAATTCTTCTGGTAGGAAAAAAAAAAAAAGGGGGAATAAAGAATTGGAATAAACGACTGAATACAGATGATTGGCTCGTTGGATCGGCCAACGGCATCTTGCCCAACCCCGAAGCGGATCATGCTCCAAACAAGAAAATGGCCTGCTTCGGTTCGTTCGGGATCCACGGACTTCTGAGTACATTACTCTTGGTCACCCGCACAAGATGCAGCCGGGAGGGAAGATGCATCAACTGTTACCTAGTTACCTATAGTATCCGTATAGTAAGCCCGTGATACACGTAGATTACCGAGGGGAAAAAAAAAAAAAGTCTCAGCTCATCTTCCCCCTTCTCCCTGACTCTCCATGTACCTACATATAATACCAAACTTAGTATCACTGCTACTCACGCTGCTAAGTGTTTATTATTGCCAGTTTCCACCCCCCCTCGGGCCCCGGCCAGACTCCGTGTCGTCACGCACTAACGGGACTTGGTCCTCAAGCGGTCAGGTCAGCCCACTAGTACGAGTAAGAAGAGCGCCGTTGTCTTTTTCCTCTCTCTCTCTCTCTATCTCTCTTCTGCTGCCAACGGGTAGAGAAGGCTCCATCCATTGGGGGGGCCCCTTCTTTTCGTTTCGTCTCTTGATTATTATGCCGTGGGACCACACATATCTTTCTCTTTTTTTTTTTCTTCTTTTTTTCTTCTTTCTTCTTTCTGTTTATCCTTCTTCTCCTGCTTCTCTTCCTTCCCTAGTATTTGAAAAGCAATGCGTCTTCCACTGCTCACAAGTCTTTCCAGTTGGGGGGTTCGAGCTTTGATATAACATATCCTGGCCCCTCTTGTGACGCGTACCACATATAACCGACTATTACCTACATACATACATACATACGAATACGGCACAGCCTCTTTTCTCTCATATATACTACTCCATACATACCCGCAACGACAGAGCGAGCGCTTTCTCCCCTCCTCTCTGGCCCGGTCTCAGCAAACTCTTTCTTCTTTTCTTTTCTTTTCTTTTTTTTTTTTTTTTGGCTCTAATTCCGCCTGGCCTATGATTCCACTCACATGCCGGCGTGTTAGCTGGTAGCTGGTTACATGTGACGGGTGTCAAGACGGAAATAGTCACATAGTACTGCTACTACTACTACTACTACTACTACTACCACTACTACTACCACCCCCACTGCGATTTCATCCTTCTCATAGAAAGGGGTGTAGGTAGATACGCACACATACCGCATCCTCCCACCGCAAACCGCCATCACCATACCTACCACACCCGAGTCTCGTCGGGCCATGACGGCCATGCTTGTTCACCCGGGCCCCGGTCTTCATGGTCACGAGTTCTCCAAACCGAAGGACTCGTCCTCGACACAGAACGACAGTCACAGGCCTCTACCTCTGCTCCGCTCGGCCCTGCGTCCGCTGTCGACGGACGGCCATGCCGCTGCCATGCGGAGCTTCTCCGACGGAACTCACAGCCTCTCCACGGCGACCCGTACCCGACCCCTGTCCGAAGTGCTACCGTCCCGGAAGGATCTGGGCGTGAGGTTCCGGGGCACGGGCGAGAGCGACGACGGCGAGGAGGAAGGCTCCATCTTCAGTACGGGGTCGTCGACCTACGCCGAGACGACGGCGCCTTCGTCGCAGCAGCAGCAGCAGCAGCAGCAGCGGCAGAGCAGCAAGAGGAGGACGAGGAGGAGACCCCGGTCCATGCCCAGGCCGGGCACGCGGTACGCACTGGCGCATCCGGCCCCACTCCGGCGCACCAAGCAGCGCATGCTGGTGCAGTTCCGTCCGCGACTGCTCCTCCAACTGCAGAGGCTGAGCCCCCACCACCGTCCCACGCCGGAGCTCGACGCCGTCCCCTCGGGTATCATCGCGGGGTCCATCCTCATCCCCAAGCTGGCCAAGCGCTTCCCCCGCATCTTCCTGGCCAAGCCGCACGTGGGACCGGATGACGTCCTCCTCATGCGCAGCGAGAAATACGATGACGACCGGAGCAGCAACAACAACAGAAACTGCGACGACCTCGCCCACCCGAGCACCCCGCACGACGGTCTGGCCAGCCGCGAGCTTGTCGCCATCATCAGCCCCCTGAGCGTGAAGGAAGGGGGGGCCGACCTTGCCGAGATCGTCACGGGCGACGGGTCCGTGTGGTCGACGTCGCGCATGCCCAACGGGTCCTACGAGTTCAACCGCGTAGACGTGCACGGCGTCAGGACCACGGCGCGCTGGGTGCTCAGGAAGTGCAAGTCCGACCCCGACACGTCCGACAACGCGAAGAAGTGGACGTTCAGCGTCCTCGACCCTTGCACGCGTCGCCACCCGGTGATGGGCACCCTGTCGCCGCAGGAGCTCATCGTCTACGACTCGTACCGCACCGCCCCTTCGTACGTCGCCGATCGAGAAGAAGAAGAAGCAGGTGATGATGACGAAGGCGACGACGACGACGACAACGACGATGACGACGACGACGACGATGACGAAGAGGAGGACGTTGACGCCAGTGGTCAGCTGAGGAAGAAGAGGAGGAAGAGGAAGAAGACGATGGTCATGGACCTGCCCACCACCGTGGCCGTGGCCGAAGAGTACAAGCTCCTCATGGCAGCGACAGCCAGCTGGATCAATCTGCGCCTAGAGGGCTGGCCCGCGACGGCCAGTCCCAAGATGAAGCGGGTGGCCAGCGACGCGGGGAGCACCCGGTCCGCCGACAGACGGCAGTCGTTCCCGCTCCCCGTGTCGCGGGTATCCACCTCGCTCCCCGGTTCCAACACCGTGCCCGCCGTCTCGCGCGGTCACGGCGACTCGGCCTCGGCGTCGACCTCGACGTCGGTGACCACCTCGACGCTGCTGACGGTGACGGCGGCCGAGAAGATGCCGCAACGGTCCAAGTCTACAGGCTCGGTGTTTACGGGACGGAGGAGGAAGCAGGCCGAGACGAGGTCTGTGCTCATCGACGAGAGGATATTCCCCGACAGCGACGATGCCGGCGCCGGCGCTAGTGCGGCTGGCGAAATCTCACGGAAGCAGCCTCAGCAGCATCAGCAGCCTCAGCAGCATCAGCAGCATCGGCAGCATCAGCAGCATAAGTCGCAAGCTGAGGGGTATGGCGCTGACGATGACGTTGAGCGGGAAGAGGAGAAGCAGGATGGGAAATGCCGCGACAAGATGCGCAGGCTGACGCAGAGGTTGTTTCACCGCAAGAAGTAGGGCGACGAGGTCATGACGTGCATTTTTTATTATCATTCTACCATGTTGTTTTATACCCCCTCCACACACTATCTATGCACTACCATGTGCTGTATATATATGGCATCTTCTCTCTCTCTCTCTCTTTGCTTTCTCTCTTTTCTTTTTTTTTTCTTTTCTTTTTTCTTTTCTTTTTTCTTTTTCTTTCTTTCTCTTTCTTTCCTTCCTCTTCTTTTTTTCCTTTTTTTGACCAATGTCGTACATATCTTCACCGTCAAAGTAAGCATCTATTTCCTTTGTTCGTACACTTTTCACATCTTTCACTTTCATATGTTTGGGAGCAGAAGTAGTGGATGATGACATAATCCAAGACGAAGGGGAGCCAAGCTGATGTCAGCTCTTGATGGCCGTTTCTTCTTCCTCTTTCTTTTTCTTATTCTAATGCTGGTCAGCAGCGCTACCACTGTCTGCACTGACTTGCATTGCATCACCTGTAGCCTCTCTCTCTCCCTCTCTCTTCCAGGAAAAGGAAAGAAAAGAAAGGAGAGAAGGAAAGAGAGAAAGCCCTATTGGAACGGACCGTCGCTCTGCATGGAGAATGAACGGCGGGAAGACTAGTTGATCATGGTCAGCAGAACGACCAGTGTCACGGATTCATGGACACTACTTACCACCCGGCGTTTTTTCCGGGTTTCAATTTTTAAATCACATCATATTATTTTACTACTTTTCATGGTATGTCAGCTAGGGTTTTCCAAGGATTTCTCCGTGACGCGCAGCCTCAGCAGAAGCCTAGGCGGATCGGTCAGTTGCACATCTTCTTCCGAGGTTGAGTGGGAGATTTCAGCATCTCTACTCCGTACATGCATTAATTGTGATAATCAATACTAATATTACTAATATACCCTACCTTTGTAAAGATAGTGAGTGAGGTACGGAGTCTATGTACGGGGTACCGATCAGTGGTGGTATCAATTCAATGACAGCAGACCTGCCCGGTACCACCGAATTGTCATGTGAGGACTAGTCGTCACCCTGAGTGTGCCTGGATGCATCATCACATCGTTGCCTCGTCCTTTACATGTTAATCACTCCTCCATTATACCCCCACCCCCTTCCCCTTGATATCTTCCCCCTCACCTGGCGAACTGGGAGCAGAGGAGAAGAAGGAAGAAAGTCTATGCGTTTTACACCGTAATACTGCTTCCTTTCCTTCAATACTATACCATCTTCCTTGACCGAAGTGCTATTTTCTTCCCCTTCCCCAACAAAGGCTCTTGGCTGTTGGCCCTTTCGTCTGCCTTTCAAGGGACAATCATTCCCCGCTTCCCACGTTCCCTTTTCGGTCATCACATCACCTCCCCTCCGCCCTCTCTCTCTTTCAAGATCAACTGTTAATGAGGGAGAGGGAGAGAGAGAGTCTGCTGCCTTGAATTCTAAATGTCCTCCAAAGCCTCTGACCTGACTTGCTCTGCCGATCCACTCACCCCACACTTTCTCATAGCAAAATTCTAGCTCCGCCCGGTCCCTCCTCTTACAAACGTGGCCCATACAAACAAAACGTACAATCGACTTGGATGATTACTGTCACTGCCACTCCAATCCCATCGGTGTTGCATCAAAAATTTCACCTCCTGTGTATTCTCGCTTTTTTCTGACCGTTCATACTCTCATTACTTTTTTCCCCCATCACCACTCTTTTTTCTCTCTTCTCCCCCGCCCTTCCCACCGCTGGAAAACGGAACGAGCAACCCCTCTCTTCGAACCTGACAAATCGTCGTTGCGTTGCGTAGGCGCACGGCGGACAAGTTTCGTCCGCCCCCTCCCGCGGCCCCTCCCGCGGCCCCTCGGCCTCCATCCCCGTCGTCACCATGGATGAGCAATGCGGGCCTCGTCACGACACCGTGCCGGACGCTCCCGCCTCGGCTGCCACGCATCTCCTCTCCGACTTTGCCATGTACGAACCCATATCCCGCGCCACCTCGCCCGGTCTGCCATGCCCAAAGTCCGGCGCCGCTGCCGTCGACGACTCTAAGCGCTACCGTCCTCGAACCTTTGCCTACTTCCAGCAGCTGCCGCACGAGGTCGAGGCCGAATCGGAACGCGACGCCGCGCTCGAGGAGATCCTCAAGCAGCTGTACATTGCCGTCAAGGCCGACGACTTCTCCCCCGGCGCCCTCCACTGGACACGCGAGCTCCAGGCATGGCTCAACCTCAAGTTCGACCTCACCAGGGTCCAGCGCGCCAAGCTGACGAAGCTCTACTACTCCCTTGCCCTCACACCCGGCCTCGACTCCGTTACCTCGGATAAGTTCCTCAGGATGGTCTTGACCCTCACACGGTGCGTCTTCTTCCCCCCCCCTCCCCCCGCCACCCTGCCGCGTGCGAGCCTGCGTGCGAGCCTGCGTGCGAGCCTGCGTGCGGTGCAGAGGAGTCGTCTTCGCTGACACCCACGCCCGCAGAAAGAGCCACTACCTGAGACCAGGGGATGACCTAGTCCTTGACTGGCGTCCGCTCTGGGACGAGATCAAGCCTTGGATCTTCCCCTCGGAAGCCCCCGCCCACCAGAGCAGCCGTCGACGCTCTGCCAAGCAGCTCCTCAAGCTGTGCAACCATGTCTGCTCCTACTTCGACCCCCGCGAGCGCCGCCAGATGTTCCAGGAGTTCCTCCCATTCTTCAGCGTAAACGACCTGCCCAACGCCTACATCGTCATGGGGCTCCTCAACACGCTGCTGCCCAGCCACCCCGCCCCCAAGGACGAGGCCCTCTGCCAACCCGCCGACTTCCTCCCCACCATATTCCACCTGTGGTCTATACTGAACCGCTCCAAGACGTACGACACCCTGGTCATCGATCTGCTGTCGCGCGTCGCGAGGGATCACCTGAGCTGCACTGACGTGGCCTTTGGTCCCCACGGCATCTTCACCAAGGAGCAGTCGGACCTGGTCTTCACCGCCATCCTGCGACTCACCGGCATTCCTGTCGGCCAGGCCAACTCGCCCTACTCCTCCCTGGATTACCTGTCCGGCGCAGGCGTGTACCTGGAGAAGGACAAGAAGAAGCATCCCGTCGGGTACATGATGGCCCGCTGGATCCTCCACTCCCTCTCCCCCCAGTGCATGGAGTCCCAGGATTCCGTCATGGCCAGCCTCGAGGGCCTCATGGAGTCGACGGAGACCTTCTTCCACCCCTCCAACCAGGGCAACTGGGCAGGCCTGCTCGCTCAGCTCACCTTGTACCTCACCGACGGGTTCGTCTCCAGGTGGAACCGGGAGCACAGCGGCGAGCTTGACGTGCCGGAGGAGCGGAGGCTCACGCCCGCCCTCAAGAGGCGCTTCGTCGCCGCGCTCAAGGACGCGACGTTCATGGGCATCTTCTCCAAGAGCAGCCGGATCTCCAACTACTACTACAGCACGCTGCAGGGCCTGGCCTTCCTCGAGCCCGACATGATCTTGCCCGGTGCCCTCCAGCGATTCTATCCTAGCCTGCAGGGTTTGGTTGAGGTCCACCGCACCACGTCCAGCCTCAATGGCCTGCAGATGATCGCCAACATCATGGCCAAGACCAAGGGATACCGGTGCCACATCACGGCCCTCCTCGCCCTCGTCCTGCCCGGGATCGATGCCAACGATCTGAACAAGACTCAGTACACCTTGGCGTTCATCCAGAGCGTCGCATACAGCATCCCGATAGCCTCCCTAGCCAGGGAGGAAGGCCACATCCACGACACCGCCCTGGCCATGGAGTGGGTCCAGGCCGAGATGGACCGCTTGGAGCGCGACGGCCAGGACGTCCAGATCGACTACGATGCCGAGCTCCCGGACGAGTTCGAGGCCGACATCCTGCGCTCCTCCACCACCGGCTTCGGCGAGTTCCTCGTCACCTTGCTCGGCAAGGTCTTCACCCTGCTGGAGAACCTGCCGGACGCCAACCAGGTCCGCGGCGGCACGCCCGAGGACAACGTCATCAGCGCTCTCCCCGCAGCGCTCTACCCCATATTCTCCTCCCTGTCCCCCGACCTGTTCGACCTCGCCCTCGAGAAGCTGGCGACGTTCGTCTCCAGCCACGTCATCCACCAGGCCCGCGACGCCATGGCCTGGATCCTCAACGCCCTGTGCAAGGTCAACCCGGAGAAGACGCTCAAGGTCCTCGTCCCCATGTTCGTCATCAACATCCGCAACGAGATCGACCAGAACAACGCGGCCTCGGACCGCACCACCGGAACCGACTACCTGCCGCGTGACCGCGCCCTCGTCTGGCACATAAGCATGCTGGCCATGTCCCTGGTCCATGTCGGCAAGGAGGTGCTGAACTACAAGGACGAGCTTCTCGGCATCGCGGACTACATGCAGGAGAAGTGCCGTGGCCTGCCCACCATCCTCGTCTCCAACTACATCCATCACCTGCTCCTCAACCTCACCCACACCTACGCCATGGACCACGCCCTGTACGAGTCGTCCGTCATCGAGCGAGGCCTGGACGTCGGCGACTGGGGCCGGACGACGGCTCCCGCAGACCTCACCATCCGCTGGCACCAGCCGTCGCCCCCGGAGATCGACTTCGCCGTCGAGCTCTTCGAGTCGCACATCCGGTCGGCCACCAAGCAGCTGAACCTGCTGATGAGCGACGACCCGCCCGTGAGCCGCAGGGGCAAGAACAAGGAGTGGTCCAACGAAGTCTCCAGGATGCTGCAGCAGTTCCGCCTCATCACGGCCGGGATGGCCACCCTCTTCGACCCCAAGCGCGCCTCGGGCGATGCCGACGACCGGCACGCCCCGGACGCGGACGTCGACATGGACGACGAGGACGGCGACGAGATGATGGACGACGACCCCCTCGCCGAGGTCGCCGAGGACGAGGAGCTGCGCCCCCAGTTCCGCTACAAGGCCGGCTATGCCCTCAAACCCACCGACCCGGCCTACCGGAAGATCCACGAGCTGCGGGACGAGCTGGGCCACCTGCTCTCCAGGACGCACGCGTTCCTCAACGAGCAGCAGGAGGATGACGTGAGCTGCTTCACGGCCCTGTACAGCGCCTACCGGACGTGGATCACCGACGTCGGCGTCGAGCGCTCCGCCCACCCGCTCGAGAGGCACACCCGCCTGTACCGGTCCGACATCTCCCCCTTCAAGATCAAGGGCCTGCGCAAGGCCTACCCCCGCCCCCTCCTGATCAAGCGCGCCGAGGCGTACCAGATGCTCCGCATGAAGCACAACTCCTCGACCAGGCAGAAGAGCGACCTGGATAGGCGGCTGCTGCTCGACCTGGCGCAGTCGTGCCTGTCCCTGTACGCGGACGTCCGCCGGGTGGCGCAGTCGTCCCAGGACTCGTCGCTGAAGGCCCTGATAGGCGGCAAGCCGCTCGTCATCCCCATCATACTCGACGGCTTTCGGGACGCCATCCAGAAGGTCGACCACGACCGCATCAAGGGCGGGCTCTACACCCTGTTCTACACGTCCCTGCTCAGGACGCTCGTCAAGGATTGGAGATTTGCCCCCGAGGCCATGCGCCTCTACATAGAGACGGCGGCCATCGACAAGCCGTCGATCCAGAAGCTGGGATCCGGGGTCGTCTACAACATCATCGACTTTGGCAAGCCGTTTGACCGCCTGATCCTCACGGACGAGGCCGTCCTCGACACCATCAAGCCCGACGACGACGTCTCGGCCGTCGTCGACAGGAGGCGCCAGTTCATCCAGCAGCGCCGGGAGCGCGTCGAGAGCTCCAAGGCCGAGCTGGGCATCGAGCTCACCGCCAAGGCCAAGACGGCGCACTGGAAGATCGCCACGCGGTGCTCGATATTCGCCACGAACCTGTGCCTGCGCTTCGAGACGCTGGCCCCGGCCGAGTTCGTCGACCTCATCGCCCGCGGCACCATCGACCCCCACCCCAGCCTGCGGGGCTACCACCTGCAAGCCTTCACGTCGGTCTTCCAGGGCATCGACGTGCGTGCCGTCTACGGCCACGACTACCGCAACTACCTGCTGGAGCGCGAGGTCGGGGACCGCAACCGCGTCGAGGTGCCCGTGAAGAAGGGCGACGCCGCCTTCACGAAGCGCTTCATGGACTCGTTCGAGACGTCGGACGGCGCCGAGTACATGGTCGACACGGACTACCCGGGCTGGCTCGTGTGGGGAGACAGGTTCACGGCCTTCCGGGCCAAGCCGCTACCCTTTGACTCGTACGACGAGACGGAAGAAGCGGTGCGGGACCAGATCGGCAGCATCCTGACCAGGGACTGGTTCTCGCAGTGCTTCGACTACCTGAAGCAGGAGCCCCGCGACGCCAGCACCGACAGGTTCCGCATGAGCAACGTCTACCTGCTCATGCACGCGTTCGACCTCATGCACTACGGCAAGACGGCGGCGACGCTCGACGACATCAAGGAGCTGACCAGGGGCGTGTACGGAGACGGATCCGACAAGCACCAGCACCGGGCGACGTCGGAGATCCTGGGCGCGCTGCTGGCGGGGTCGAGCGACGACCCGCCCGAGATCCGCGACCGCGTGTGGGACTTTGCGGCGCCCATGTTCCTCGAGATCCTGCTGGAGAACCTGACGCCCGAGAACATCACGTACTGGCTGACGTGCCTGCACATGATACTCGACTCGCGGGACCCGCGCCGGTCGCACGAGATCGTCGAGGCGCTGCAGGACTTCAAGCTTGACATGACGTCCAACGCGGCCTTCAAGGAGTCCGCCAAGATCCAGCTGCTCGAGTTCATCATCGCGGACGGCGGGTGGCACTTCCGCAAGGTGCAGCCCATCCTGGACGACTTCCTGTCGCACCTGGACCACCCGTACAAGGCGGTGCGGGAGGCCATGGGACGGGTCATCTCGGTCATCTACAAGACGCGGCACCACGAGTCATTCGAGAACGTGACGGTGATGCTGGAGGAGAACAGGAAGGCGTCGTCCATCGGTCTGGCGCCGTACAGGCCGTCGGAGGAGCTGACGCGGGTGATGACGGGGGTGTTTGAGCAGCTGGAGAGGTGGCGGCACGAGCGCGAGCCGGGCCAGCAGACGCCGTCCTCGTACACGGCCGGATCCAAGACGGTGCTCATGTGGCTGGACTGCACACTGTCGTCGCACGAGTGCGCGCAGCTGATACCGTTCTTCGCGGACCCGTTCATGGAGCAGCTGCTGCACATGATGGACGTCAAGGAGGACCCGGAGCTGATGCGCATAGCCTACCACGTGTACCGGCACCTGCCCAACATACCGTTCCGGGACGGCGATGACGTGGACTTCGTGCGGGGCATCATCCGCATCGGGCGGACGGCGTCGAGCTGGCACCAGCGGCTGCGGGCCCTCGTCAACATGCAGGTCATCTACTTCCGGCGGCTGTTCCTCACGCGCCCGGAGCAGCGCGACGAGCTCTTCACGGCCGTGTCGGACATGCTGGGCGACCCGCAGATCGAGGTGCGCACGACGGCGTCGACGACGCTGGCGGGCATGATCCGGTGCTCGCCGCGGGCGATCCGCGACCCGGCCATCGAGTCCCTCAAGGCCCGGTTCGACGACCTCCTCCGCAGGAACCCCATGCCCAAGCGCAAAGCCCCCGGCACCGACACGCCGATCGGCCAGCAGCAGCAGATCGCCAACCGGCACGCGGCCGTGCTCGGGCTGGGCGCCCTCATCGAGGCGTTCCCGTACGCCACGCCGCCGCCCGAGTGGATGCCCGATGTGCTGGCCACGCTGGCCCGCAAGGCGGCGGGCGACCCCGGAACGGTCGGGAAGGCTACGAAGATGATTCTCAGCGAGTTTAAGAAGACGAGACAGGATAGCTGGACAGTGGATCAGAAGGTATACTCTCTCTCTCTCTCCGTCTCTCTCCTCCCATCACCCCTCTCTCATCATCTTCTATCCTCTCTTGCCATCTCTCTCCCTTTCCGTACGAGATGGTGGTTTTCCATTGTAATATAATCGACTACCCTTCCACGCCATCCCTACCCCGTCATCCCTCCCACCTCACCTCTCCCATAAAGGACAAGAAACTGACGACGATCACAGTACTTTACACAAGACCAGCTTGAAGATTTGGAAGGTGTCCTTTGGAAGAGTTACTTTGCATAGCGGGACGCCTCGTGATGGACTCTGCATCGTTCTCTGGCTCTCTTTTTTTCCTATCCATCTCACCCTCTCTCTTCATTTTATACATCTTTATTCTTTCTTGTATTTCTGATACTTGATTTTGTTCTTAACAAGACACATATACATACACACATCATGACTCTGGGGGAGAGACGGAAGGGAAATGAACAAGAGAAAATAAGGGGGGGAAATCAAAAAAAAAAAAAAAAAGAGTAGACTGGATCTAGACGGGAAGAAGACAAGGAAAATGGCAGTTTCTGGGTGTAAGATGAAAGTTGACCAGCTGAATTGTTGAGAGTGAGAGGTCATTCATTGCTGACTGCATCCATCGTGGCTTCCAGCCTGGGGTACCATGTGCTATCACTTATGGCGGTGGCGGTGCACCTCGATGCGATCAGGATCAGGGTCGAGAAACTGGCTGCTTGAGGCTCGTACTGCTTACGGCGGTGACATCTGTAAAACCAAGGCATACAGGCAGGCAGACAGGCGGACAGGCGTCATTGACAAGGCGTAGAGTCATGCGACAAACAGTCCTTGTTCCAGTCATATAGACAGCCTCTCTTTCTACGGGTTATGAATATAAGAGGAATCCCGAGTTTTCCATCCATCATCCGCTTGACATCGAATGCATCCAAGACAGTTGGCCTAGAGTCGATTAGTCAGCTATGCTTCACCTTCGCGCTCCACTGAGACCTTCTTGAACCGTATCTCATCAGCGAGAAAGACGACATGTCTTCCTCCTGTCTGAACGACCTGCTGGTGGCTGACAGCGACGCCGACAAAGCTTCAGCCCAGAGACTGGTGGATGCTCACGACGCCGACACCGCTCATGATGATGAGGACGATGGCGAGCCGCCGCCGTCCAAGAGACAGTGTCGGCTGTCGCCGGGCTGCAGCGACGACGACGACGGCGGCAGCAGCGGCGTCGCGGCAGTGGAGGAGTACTTCTCGGCGCGGGACCGCCTCGCAGGGCGGGAGGGGGACCTGGCCTTTGACGGCCGCTGCCGCGGGCGCGCGTCGTCGCTCGAGCGGCGCGTCGACGCCATCGTCCAGAGGCTGAGGCTGCGCGACTCGGAGACCATCTACGGGGCGGCCCCGCGCGTCGGAGACCGGCTCGGACAGCTGCACCGCCGCTTCGCGGGGGACCACTACCTCTCCAACGTGGACCTGATCGACCGCACGGCCGTGCTGGACGTGGCCCGCCGCATGCCCAAGGGCGCGCACCTGCACATCCACTTCAACGCCTGCCTGGACCCTCGCGTCCTGCTCGACATCGCCAAGGGCATGGAGCGCATGTTCATCACGAGCGACCTGCCCCTGGTCCCCGCCGACGGGGGCGACGGCGACGGCCGCTCCAGCTTTGACCTCTGCGAGATCAGATTCTCCATCTGCTGCCAGGCGATGGAGGAGCCCGGCGACATCTTCGCCGCCGACTACCGGCCACGGCAGACGATGAAGTTTTCCGAGTTCCGGGACAGGTTCCACCGCCACTACGACGGTAGCAAGACGGTCGACGACTGGCTGGCGGATAAGCTGGTGTTTCATGACGACGAGGCACATAACCTTTACCAGACGGCAGCAGGGTATGTGCAACATTCTTCTTTCTTTCGTCTGTGTATGCGTGTGCGTGTGCGTGTGCGTGTGCGTGTGTGAGTATCTATTGCATCCCAACCATGGAGCTGACAGGAGAGGGAGGGGGTCTGTCCCTAGCTGAGCGAGAAAAGAGCATGGGAGAGGTTCAATATCCGCACCCGCATGATGAAGGGACTGTTCAACTACGAGACGGCCTACCGTCGATATACGCGGCTCTGCCTGGAGGACCTCGCCCGCGACAACATCCAGTACGCCGAGATCCGGCCCAACTTCATGGCGAGCAACCAGCTCTACGTCGACGACGGCACCAGCCTCATCGACAACTGGGGCATAATGGACCTGATCATCCAGGAGACGCAGCGGTTCCTGGCCGAGCAGGCGGCGGAGAGGGGGGGACCGTCGTCGTCGGAGCCGGACGGCGGTCGGGCCGGCTCCTTCGCTGGCCTCAAGGTCATCTACTGCACGCCCCGGTCCCTCAGCAGGGAGCAGGTCGGGGCCGCGCTGGACGAGTGCCTCCGGTTCAAGCTGAGGTGGCCCCGGTGGGTGGCGGGCTTCGACCTCGTCGGCGAGGAGGCGGCCGGCCACCCGCTCAGGGAGTTCGTCCCGGAGCTCCTCCGGTTCCGGCGGGACTGCCGGGAGGCCGGCGTGACCGTGCCGTTCCTCTTCCACTGCGGCGAGACGGTCGACCTGGGCACCGACACGGACGGGAACCTGCTGGACGCGCTGCTCCTCGGCGCCCCCAGGATAGGCCACGGCTTCGCCCTGCCGAGGCACCCCTACGTCATGCAGCTCATGAAGGCGCGCGGCGTCTGCGTCGAGCTGTGCCCCATCTCCAACGAGGTGCTGGGCCTCACGCCGCGCGTCAGCGGCCACGCCATGTACGAACTTTTGGCGAATAATGTCCACTGCACCGTCAGTTCGGATAACGGGACCATGTTTCGGTGGGTTGCCTTTCTTCTCATTCCTCTTCTCTGTTTGGCTTCTCTCTTCTTCTTCTTTCATCTCATCTGCCTCTCAGTCTTCTCTTCCACTTCTTCCGTGCTGACCGGTAGTGGTGAAAGATCATCTCTGTCCCACGACTTTTACCAGGTCATGATCGGAAAGGCAGATATGGGCCTACCCGGATGGAAGCAGCTCATCCTGTGGAGCATGGAGCACGCATGTCTAGATGAACAGGAGAGGACCGATATGCTGAAGCGGTGGGAAGAGCGGTGGGAGGTGTTTCTGCGAGACGTCGTCGAGACGTACGGACATTTGGTGTGAATGGATGTCGGATTGAAGGCGTAGGATGGGATGCACTCGTACGCCACGGATGAGCAGAGGCGTCGACTATTATTATCGTACAGGTTATTGTATACAGTACTACATCCCGACAGATGTACAGATTGCATGTATACGGATACGGATATGACTACGAGCACTCGCAGCACCGGGACGCTCCTCGGCCACACGCGTCTGATCCATCCCGGCCCGTTACAGCCCCGGCATCGGCTCGACGCCACGCGGGGCGGGCCGCCACCCCCATCCGATGAACTCAAGGAGGGTAGGGCCCGTAGGGGAGGAGGCCCGGGAGGGCAGGGGGACCTCCAGCGACCTTCAGGGACTTTCGGGGACCAGGTTACAGGTTAAGCGCCTGCTGCTGTTCTCTCCACCCTTTTTAGAGGACAGGGAATGGCCGACAGTATGGAGCAGGTAAGAGAATCGCTACTGCAGACACGTCACACTTACTCTCCTGCATCCCCCCCATCTGACCATCCAGCCCGCCCTGCCAGCCGTAAGCCGTAAGCTGCAGCCCCTAAGCTGCAGCCCCTAAGCTGTACGGTGATGATGCGTATCGCTCCTCCGTACCTGTAGCCTGGAGGTACGGGAGTATCGATACAGCACCGAGTACTCGCCCCGTAACGACAATCCTGTACCTGTACACTGCGCCGCTGTCCCTCTCCCAGGGGTAGGCAAACCACTGACAGGGATCTCCCGACAATGCAGTGGGAACGCCTACAGGCTACGGATTTTCATTACATATCTTGATGGTTTGTCTTTTCAACCTCACGTCAGCCTCTACTACCGTCGTCCATCTCTCTCTGTTTCATATCATACATCTCCTCCTTGCCTCTACCTTGCCCCCTTCCACCAGCGCCATTGTTCATCTTTACATCTCGTCTCTTTTGTCTTTTGTCTTCTTTCTTCTTTCTTTCTTTCCCCTTCTCGTTCGCATCCGATACCCTCAACGCTTTCTTCTTTTTTTTCTCGTCTGTCATCCTACTGTTGCATTGGATAGCACTATATACGAAAACGCCCCAACGGCAAACGCCCCCAACATCATGTCGGAACAAGGATGGAGATGGTTCCCCCCCGTCAAGACGGACTGGTCGCTGGACGTCGTCAATCTTCTCGTCGTCATCGGCGAGTCGGCCATGGTCGAGCACGCCCAGCCCATCACGTCGTCTGTGCTGTGCGTGCTGCCGCGCATCATCCCGGCGCCCCAGATCTTCCTGAAGCCGACCAGACCGACGCGCATGCCGGACGTGTCGGCGACGCTGACGGGCGTCTACTCGGGGACGATGCTCCGATCTGTCGGCTTCTTCGCCAACCTGGTCACGCCCTTCGAGGACCTCCCTCCCCACAGCTTCGTGGTGCGGGAGGTGAAGCACGCGAGCCGTCGGGACCACGTGGAGCCGTCGGGTGGGCCGCAGTCCGGCGGACGCAGGAGAGGCCTCCTCTCGCGGCTGATGGCCCCCCGCCGTCAGGCCATTCCTCGCACCGATAAGGGGGGGGAGCAGCTGGCGCCGGCCCGGGATGAGGAGGAGAGCACCGAGGCCCAGGACGCGGAGCCCGTTGGCGTGACTACCGGTCGCCACCACGGCAACGACGACGACGACGACGTCGGTGGCGGCGGCGGCGGCGGGGGCCCTAAGAACACGTCTCGGCGCCGCAACGCCGTGGGGAGGCGGACGCTCCAGGACCTGCTGTCGCTCCCGAAGCCCAGGTCCGAGGGCGACCGGCCGGCCATCCCGCCGCGGCTGTTCTCGCCCCTGCATCTCCTCAGCGTGCTCTCGTTCGTCGTCACCGTCGCCATCCTCGTCTGCGCCGCCGTCTGGGAGGACGGGCCGGCCATCATGGCCATCTCGCTCATCTCCGTCATGTCCTCGCTCGTGGGCTTCGCCTCGTTCTGGCGCCCCGTGCTCATGACGCGCAGCCACAACGACGAGACGCCGGCGGGGGACGTCGTGATCCGCACGCGCGAGGGCGCCTTCGTCCTCGTCCGCTGCACCGAGGACGTCGCCCGCGAGCTGTACTCGGGCACGGAAGAGTGCGACTACTACGTCAAGGGCAACGGCTACTACCTCCTCATGGCCACCGGCGCCGTCTTCCTCATGATCAGCGTCGTCCTCCTGGGGAACTGCAAGTGGAACTCGCAGGTCTTCATCGGCGCCTCGTACATCACCCTCAACGGCCTCTACTGGGCCCTCGGCATGCTGCCGCCCCGCTACTTCTGGGACATGTCGCGCTACCACTGCGAGACCGTCACCCCCCGCGATTCCCTCAGCGCGAACGAGGACACGCCCGGCGTCGACGGACCGGAAGGCAAGGCCAGCTTCACCCGCACGCTGTGGTACGCCATCCGCGAGACCGGCACCGCCGCCTGGGTCCGCAACAGCGAGTCCGCCCCCCAGACCAAGCAGTGGGACGTGTGGCTGGCCGAGGCTGGCCGCAATGCGCGCGACGGGAACCGCGCCTGGGATGCCGTCGGGCGCAAGAATGACATCATGAAGATGAGGGAGGACGATCTCTGACCTCGAGACCCCGGACCGAAGCTGGAGGGGAGCACATCGGGGCAGGGGCATTCTTCGTGGTAGAGAGGGGGCATGCCACGTTGGCTACCGGGATATTCCCACCAACGTCAGCACACTGCAATAATACCTACGAATACCGGAGCCTACGTCTCGAGAACCACACACGCTCTCCTCTCTATGTAAGTTGTAGCTCCAGTAAACCTGTGCCGACCTTTTTTCCCCCCCGAGGAACACGTCGCCGGGGGAATCATCTCTTGATCGTGGCGTCTACGTCTTCCCGTCATCTCCACTCTACAAACATTCTCATCGGTCCTGCACCGTTGCTTTCTTCCCTGCCAGAAGAAGAAAAATTCTTAGAAATAGATGCGAGGAAAAGAAGAAGAAAAGAAAAGAAGAGTCATCGTCGTCACCACCCTGCTAATTAACGCCGGCAAATATTCGTAGTGGTATTGTTATTCAGGCGTGTTCAATCATGGTTTTTTTTTATATAAAAATATTTCTAAGAATACCATGTTTCAAAAATATGTTTCTAGGCATGCCGTGTGTCAAACATGGCTTCTCCTTCTCCCCCTCATGTACTTCATATATATAGATGCTCTCCTCCGCCGTGAACAGTAAGAGAAACCCAACTCCGGACAAAAGAAAAGATGTACAGATCACACCGACATAACCTCGTTCGTCCGTCCTTCTTTGTCTTCCTTTTTCTTTCTTCCTTAATCGTCAAAGTAGACAGCTCCCTTGTGGGAAATGTCAATGTGGCCGCCGCGGAAGCTGCCTTTCTTCTTCTTGTTCTTCTCCTTGGTGAAGCTCTTGCCCTTTGTGACGATGAGGTCCTCGTGGGCGCGCTGCGAGTAGTCGACGTGGATGTAGGCGTTGGAGGCGAAGCGCTCGTCGACCTGGACGTTCTTGGGGATGCGGGAGAAGCGCTCGTTCGTCTTCTTCTTGCCCTTCCCCTCGGTGACGGGGTCGGGAGGCAGAGGGGGGTCGACGGCGGAACATGCGGTGGGCTTGTCGACGGTGGCCGAGGAGTCGGAGGCTGAAGATGACGAAGAGCCGGAGGCCGCGGACTTCTTCTTCTCCTTCTCCTCCTCCCCCCCCTCCTCCTTCTTCTTGTCCGAGTCCGAGTCGGATGAGTCGCTGTCGGAAGACGAGTCGGACGAGTCTGAGCCTGAGTCTGAGTCGGGGAGGGCAACCTTGGCGGCCTTCTCGGCGTCGACGGCGGATTCCTCCGAGGACGAGGATGAATCGGAGTCGCTGTCAGAGTCGGACGAGTCCGAGTCTGAGGAGGAATCGGAGTCAGAGCTGTCCGATGATTCGGACGAGGACTCGGAGGACTCGGAAGAGGAAGAGGAAGAGGAAGAGGAGGACGAGGCAGACGAGGCACGCTTCTGCTTCTTGGCCTGGGGCTTGCTCTTCTTGGCCTTCTCCTTCTTGTCATCGTCCTCGTCCTCGGAGCTGGACGAGTCGGACGAGTCGGACGAGTCGCTGGAGTCGGAAGACTCGCTGGAAGCCTTGCGCTTCACGCCGGTCTTGGCACCGAGACCAGCCTTAGTGGCAGGTGCCTCCTTGTCATCGCTGTCGCTGTCGCTGTCGCTGTCGCTGTCGCTGTCACTCGATGAGTCAGAGTCGGACGAGGAAGAGGAAGAGGAAGCATCCTTCATGTCCACGTCGGCACCCTTGACAGACGACTGCTGCTGCTGCTGCTGCTGCTGCTGAGAATCCTCCCAGGTCTTGAATACGTCGACAAGGGACGATGAAGACGCGGCCTGCGCGGAGGACTCCCATCCATTCTTTTCACGCTGCTCCTTGAAGAGCTTGTGCGCCGAAGGGGAGTTCTGGGATAGGAAGTCTTCGACGAGGCCGATGAGCCGGCTGGGCGGGGCGGTGGACGGGGTAGCTGGAACCTTGGACTTGGAAGAAGAAGTCTTCGTCTTGGAGGAGGACGAGGCCTTCTTTCCTGGCTTGGTAGCATCGGTCTTCTTGGCCATCGTGTCGGGTTCTCTCGACGGAGTCGTCAACGGATTGGACGAGTTGTTGGAAAAGAGCCAGGACGGAGGCGCGCCCGAGGACATGTGCCTCGACGATCAGAGGGTGTGTGGGTCGGGTTTTCTCCGAGAAGGAAGAGAGTCGAGATAGTATGATGGTGCCTCAATGTTTGCCTCCTTTTATAGGACTCGAGGGCGGCCTGCTGGACCGACAAAAGAACACAGAGCTTTGGAAGAAGGGAAATGAAAAGCTGAATAAGGTCGTGTGAGTCGTCTGGTGGTTGTGTATAATCGGGCCCGGGTTCAGGTCGGAAAAAAAAAAAAAAAAAAGAGACAGCGAACAAAAGAAAAGATAGATAAACAGTTTTGTGGACCATTCGATTACAATAGTGATCAGTGTGGCTGGGGAGAGTCACACCCCTCCCCCTCCACAATGAATAATGAGGCTGACGGTGGGTCGGTGAGTGGCTTGTTTGGTTGCTGGACAGCCTTATCGATTGGCTTCTGTCCCCTTGCAGAAGGAGGCAACAAACAAACAACAACAGCTAACGACATCCAAACACAATTATCACGTCCAACTCTCAACAAGACAGTTTGACTTGTGTTTATACGTAGATAACTGGAGGAGGAAAAAGGTCGTCGAAATTCTTCAGTAGCGTCCCTGCCCGCCACCCTCGGCACGGCAGATCCCGTCGAAGCTTTCACAATGAATGCTACGAAACGCAAGTTCAACACCCTTCTTCAGGGTCTGGGGAGCCCGCGTCAGGGAAACGGCGACAACGATCGTCCCGGCTCTCGTCCTGGGACAGCGCCGGCAAAGCCACCGCAGACAGCGGAAGAAGTCGAAGCCCTTCTACAGAAACGCCGCCGACTAGGATTGCCCCAGTCAAACAGCGGTGGCAGCACCGTCGGCAGCCCCAAAGCCCCAACAGAGAGCACGGCAAGGGCAAGGACAGCAACAACACTACCAGCGGCAGCAGCCTCGGAAGCCTCGCCAAGCCTGACTAGAACAGGCTCCGGCTCGTCCGTGGTCGGTAAGCGGGCTGTTGCCTCCCAGAAGAAGGTCGAGGAGAAGCCGCTGGCACGATTCTGTCCGAGCGACCGGAGCGAGCTCCTCAAACGACTGGCGACCTTTAACGATATAACGGACTGGACACCCAAGCCGGACAGGGTCAGCGAGATCGAGTGGGCCAAGAGAGGCTGGGTGTGCCATGGAAAGGAGACTGTCCGGTGCGTTCTGTGCCACAAGGAGCTCGTCGTCAAAGTCAATAAGAAGGATGTTGGCGGCACCGAGGTCTCGGTGTTGGTGCCATCCGAGATTGGTATGCCGGCATCCACCTCCCACCGCAACGTTTCCAGCACACCTGATTTGCTAATCGTGAAGTAGAGGGTGCCCTCGTCGACAAATATGCCGAGCTTATCACCGACTCCCACCTCGAGGACTGCCTGTGGCGAAGGCGAGGCTGCGACGGTTTGTTGAACACCCCCCGACCTCTTCCCTCATACATGCCTGCTAATCCGGAGCCGTGCCCTGCAGACACTCTTCTCCGACTACATATCGCGAACACGTCGTCCGCCGTACAGGACCTCAAGGAACGATACCAGGAGCTGTGCTCTAGAGAGTCGTTCCTCCCCTACGAATTTAACCTCCGACTCCCCGTGGATCTGGACCTAGACAAGACCATCAAGGAGCTCCCCCCCGATTTCTTCCAGACAGAAGCTGGGTCCCCCGAGCCGCCGAACCGGACCGCCCTGGCCCTGGCCCTCATGGGCTGGCAGGGTCTGTCCAACGTACGCATAGGTGCGGTCTCCAACTCGGCGTCGTGCCACACCTGCCTCCGACGCCTGGGTCTCTGGATGTTCAAGAGCAGAGAGGTCGGGGACAGCGGCGAAGTCATCGTTCCGGCACCCATGGATCATCTCGACGCGGTCCGCGAGCACCGCTTCTTCTGCCCCTGGAAGAATGCCGACACGCAGAAGCTGGCCACCACCATACGGGTGGCCGAGAACGAGCCCCAGCCGGCATGGAAGATCCTCCTGCAGACGCTCCACAACGACTCCCACCTGCGGAGCGTGTACGCGGGTAAGCCGAAGAGCCATAAGCCGTCGGCGTCGGGTCCCCCGTCGACTCCCGCTAGAGGCGTGCGGCAGACGGACCTGCCCAAGACCCCGGGTACCTCCCACGGCCCTGCTGCGGACATGGCGTCCACGCCTGCGAGCACGGCCGAGGATGAAGACAAGGAGCAGGAGATCAAGGATAAGGAGCGGTGGGCCAGACTGAAGAGAGTCAAGAGTCTATTTGACATGAAGGGATCACGACGGTTGAGCAAGGCCGGGTCGAGCCGACCTGGAACCAGCCAGTCGATTCGCGACCCCCCGGCCGGGGCGTAACGATTTCCGTTTCGGGGGGATTTCTCCCTCCCTCTCTCTCTCTCAAAAAATAAAGAACAATGGCGTCTGGGAATTGTAGCGATGGCTAGCATCAACATCCCCAACATGTCTCTATTTTATGTACATTATTCAAAGATAAAAACAAGACCAAAAGTGAAGTCATGGGGGGCATCCAAGGGAGAAGATATATATGTATACATGTATATATATGAGAACAAATATAAATACAGCTTGTCCACCACCACCGAGTATGACACGCCGCCCGCCACATGGTCACTTGTCCGACGACGAAGTCTGGGCGAGGATGTCATCCCAAGAGACGATTTCCCCCCCGTACGAGACATCGCTAGGCTTGGTCTCGACCTTTTCCTGGAGCGCGAAGCCAGCGAGGTGCTCCAGGATGGCGACGCGCGCGCCAGACATGCCCGGGGCCTGACCGACGGAGCGCCTCCTAGGCCAGCCGGCCGCTGTGGCGTAGACGGTGGTGATCCAGCCGTCGCCCTCGCGCCAGCCGTTGTCCAGCCTGGCCTCGAGCCGACGCATCTCGGCGCGCACGTCGGCGGCCAGGTCCCGGCAACCGCCCCACCAGTCCCGCCCGGCCATGTCGGCCTTTGTCAGGACGACGAGGACGCGCTTGTTGCGCTCGGCCAGCATGCGGAGGACCCAGCGGTCCATGGCGTGCAGGCCCTTCTGCGCGGGGACGAGGACGACGGCACCCCTCAGCATGGTACGCCTCTCCACGTACCGGCAGATGGAGTCGCCCCATCCCTTCCGGCTGGCGTGTCCGTACCCCGGGGTGTCGACGAGGATCAGACCGTGTCCGGAATGCCTGTCGGCTCCGCCGCCTACACCTCCACCTCCGCCGTTGCCACCGCCGCGGCTGTTGACGTTGCCGCTGCCGTTCTTGTTGCTGCCGTTGTCTTCGCTACCGCGACGCCCCACGCCAAAGGCATTCATGGTGATGGTGTGTCCCGGCCGGGAGCTCACGCGTGCGGCGTCGCTCCTGCCGAGGAGACTGTTGAGGAAGGAGGATTTACCTGCGTTGGAGGCGCCCAGGACGACGACCTCGGGCGTCGCCGCGTTGGGTCGGTGCGTCGGCAAACCCTCGGCCGAGTAGAGGAAGTCGTAGCCTCGTCGGAAGAACCTGTCTGCCGCCGAGGCTGCGCGGCGTTCCTCCTTGGTCTCCTTGGGGGGCGCCGCCGCCGCCGTCTTCGAGGCATCTGCCGACGCTGATACGCTGCCGACGATACGGATGGTGTCCAGGGGTGCTAGGGATTCGGTGATGGGGTTCCCGCGGGACCCCTTCTTCTTGCTCTTGCGTAGCGTGCTATTGCCATCGTCGTCGGGTGAGATGGGGTCGCCTCCTGTGCCTGTGGATAGATGGCGTAGACGGCTGCTGCTGGAGAGGATATTGGCTCGCTGTAGCAGTGGCCTGGCGGGGGAGAATAGGCTCATTCCTATTTGTCGATGTGTCTGTTCTTTTTTTTGTCTCCCTTCGCTTCCTTTCCCCCTTCTCTATCTTTCCTTCTTTCCTTGTTTGTTTCTCTGTTTCTTTCTTGTGGACTTCTTGAAGTGTTTGCTGGACGTGAGGGCGTGCCCAGGAGGTTGGTGGTCTCTTGTTCGGGGGTGAAAAAAGGGTTGAAGTGGCGCGTCATTGGCTAAGATCTTCAGGTTTGACACTCTCATCCTGACATACGCGCGCACAAACGAAAACAACCATAGCACCAATCTATTCACACGAGATCTGGAAACGCTGTGAGGAATTTCTGATCTATAATACATTTCATCAAGAATAAGGAGGTCGGATAAGAGGTGTGGAAAAAAAAAGGAATCCGAAGAAGAAAAAGTCGTGGTCTTGTTCCCACCGAATCCCTCCCCCCCCCACGATCATGACATCTCTTCACGACCTCGACGCTCATCAACACCCCCCCGACTGGCTGCGAGCCGAATTCGTACGACACAAGAAACAGAGTCAAGATGAACTCCTGTCAGATCCCAACATCGACAACCCTCGATCTCCTCCTCATCAGTCCAGCTTCAAGTCCACGGGCGACATCATCTCCAAGACGCAGCTATGCGAGGCCTTTTCCCATCTCGGACTGAGCTCCGTATCGGTCGACAGTGATGTTCCCATACTCTACCATCCTCTTCTTCCAGGTTCGTTGTCGTTCTCATATCTCTTCTTTCCTCTCCCTTCTCTCGTCTTCCTTCCTTCAATCTTCTCTCTTAATCTTTAACCCTCTGACTAAATACACCCACGCACACACAAACACGAATATAAAATGGAGGGGAGAAAAAGACCTCCTCATCATTCCCGACCTCATCCCTCCCACCATCCAGATCAGACTCATGGACCTCATGGCCCACCGGGATCTCAGCGTCCCCCACCACTCCAGTAACCTGAGCCTCCACTATCGCGTACCCTACCCACCCTCGGGTGCATCCCTCTTCTCCCTCGGGCCGGACGATGATCCTTCCTCGTCGTCATCGTCGCCGTCTACCTTCCAGCCTCTCGACCCGTCCGTCCACCGTGCCCTCACCCCCCGCCAGGCACTCAATCGCCGTCTCAGCTGGGTCACCCTGGGCGGACAGTACGACTGGACGAGACGCGTGTACCCGGAGTGCGGGACCCCTCCGCCCTTCCCGCCCGACCTGGCCTCGTTCCTGCGCGCCCTTTTCCCCCAGACCGTCGCCCAGGCTGCCATCGTCAACTTCTATACCCCCGGGGACACCATGATGATGCATCGGGACGTCAGTGAGCGCGTCGACAGGGGGCTCGTGAGTCTGAGCCTCGGGTGTGATGGGATATTCATGATTGCTCCACCAGACGCTGAGGGGGATTCTACAACGGGGGCTTCTTCTCCTTCCTCCCCTTCTTCGTCTTCTTCTTCTTCTACTACTACTGCTGCTGCTGCTGCTGCTGCTGCTGCTGCTGCTGCTGCTGCTACTACTACTGCCAAAGAGGGGACAAAAAAGTACCTGCTCCTCCGCCTGCGATCCGGTGATGCCGTCTACATGACGGGCCAGTCGAGACGGGCCTTTCACGGCGTGCCCAAGATCCTGAGGGGTACGTGTCCCTCATTCTTGGAAGATTGGCCGGCCACTGCAGATGAGAATGGTCCGTATGAACGGTGGCGTGGTTGGATGAAGAATAAGAGGATCAATCTCAATGTTAGGCAGATGGAACATGAGTAGACACGGAGAGAAGAAATCGATGTGTTCTGTATTGATGATGCATGAATGAGAAGAAGAAAAAAAAAGAGGTACAGCAGCTGTACATGAAATAAACCCATCCGCTCCCCACCTTGAAATAGTAATCCTACATAATAATTGCACCTGTAACCAATATCTTCTTTGCATCTTGACCCTACGTCTCCCCTTCTAAATCAGAAATATGTGTATATATATACATATATACATCTACGCGAACCCAAACCCCTGAGCATTCTCCAACGCCATGGCAAGTCGCTCCCTCAGCACCTCCTTATCCTTGTACTCGGGCAGCAGCAACGTTCCGTAGCAGGTGTAAGCCGTCGGCAGATGACCATCTTCCTCCTCGGCACCGTTCTTCTGCAGCACGAACTGCAGGTTCCGCACGCCACCGACGGGGAGACGGTCCGACGCCGTGACGAACTCGAGTAGCTTGCGCTTCATCGTCTCGTCGTAGCGCTTGACGATTGACCAGAAGTCGCGCACGGTGCGGTGCGATGCATCCCATCCGACGTAGCGCGTATACCGCCGGAGCTCGGCCACGTCAATCTCCTGCACCCCTTCCACCAGCGACTGCAGGATGTTGGGGCTCAAGAGTCGGAGCGACTTGGCATCCAGGCAGGACCGGAACCCCTTTTCAAAGGCGGCGTACTGTGGGCGCACCGACACGTCGGCGAGGAATCGTATGTAGTCGGTTATGTACTCATCGCGGTTGTCCTTTGTCACGAGTGGTGCTTCTCCTGTGCCATCGTCGGCGTCATCGCCCGTCACGGAACCACCTTGGTCGCCGCCGCTGGCGCTGCCGCTGCTGCCGACGCTTCCAAATTGCGGCCAGTTCTCGTCGGCAGAGTTCATGTCGCGCGTGACGTGGCTTCCGTACGCCGACACCGAAAACTCATAAGTGCGGGCAAACACGTCTTCGATGGTGCCGTCTTTCTCATCCCACTCCTGCAGCATCGTAAGTCCGCTGGTAAGATCAGGCCATCCGTCTTCGAGGTGGTGAAGCTCTGTGACGGGCCAGTCCAGAAGCTTGCGGTAGAGCGCCCGGGGAAATGTCACAGGAAGGGTCAGACCGTTGAACACGGCGATCGACACCAAGATGCCGAAGAGCTCATACTTCCAGAGCTCAACCACCGAGCCCGGCATGAACCAGGCCATGCGCGTCCTGTCGTCGACGGTGAACGCCCCGCAGTCCGCGTCGAGGAACTCGGCAACGGCCATGCGGAAGAACTCCTGCTGCACACCACCCGAATCGAAACCTTCCTCGCCACCGTCCTCGCCCAGGTGCACCTTGAGGGGCCGTAGGAGCTCGCGCTCCTGACGCTGCCACAGCTGGTCGAAGGCGTCCCGGATGACATTATTGCGGCTGATTTCGAGTATCATATATCTCTCCGACGCCGTCTTGAGCATGTCCTGCAAGACTGTCTTGTGGTGCGTGTTGGTGATGAGGCTTCCCCTGTCAACTATGGCACTCATCCGCGTCTTCAGGGAGCTCGACTCCTCGAACGCTCTGCTCATTCTCGAGAAGTTGATGGACCGGAAGAACGATACGAGCGTGTCTTGTGTGAACAGATAGGGGTAGTCGAGCAGGTGTCGTCTCTTGCTCGTCGACGTAAAACCGAGCCAGGAAACCGCCACTTCCATCGAGTCGAGCCTCTCGGAGAAGTAGTGCATGTGAAAATCTCGATCCACGAGTTGGAGGAAGTCGCGTTGGTCGTCTGTAATACAAGCATCAGTCAGGGCCCGTGGGAGGAAGGACGGACGTGCGGAAATCAGCTTACACATGGACTCGATGACAGACAACGCCCCGGAAAAGGGGCCGCTTGTCGAGAAGTCTGGTCTGCCATGCCACTCATGAAACATGACCGCCCTGGCCCACTCCAGAATCAGCATCTGCATCCGACCCTGGTGGTGGCGCCGTGACTGCTCAGAGAATTCAAGGACGGGCGCCGTTTCTAGCCCGAGGAGGTCGATCTGGTTGAAGAGCGGGTCGAGTATGTCAAAGTCAGTATCGTCGTCATCGTTTCCGGCCAGCTTCTCGACCTCGACCATGTGGGCAAACTGACGCCGTGCCGTCACAGCGCAACATAAGCGGCGGGCCAGCCGGATGGCCAGGTCGTGGGACAAGGCGTCCTCAAACTGCTCTCGGACCCAGGCCGGTTGGTCGGAAATATCGGGGAATGCTGTCACTGTAAGGCCCTTGGATCGGTTCCACGAGATTGCCCGGAGGGAATGCTTATCCGGGGAAGAGGGTACACTCCCTGCCAGAGCATGCAAGCAGATGGACATGAGACATCCTGCCTCGAATTCTGTCAGGGCCTTCTTGTTGCGCTTGAACAGCTTCGACGACCCCGGACCCGCATTCTGCAGACCCTTTGGCGGCACGAATAGGCTGTCTGCGGCCATCCAGAGGCTATGGAACACTAGGCTTGGCACCGCTCTGATCAGGCGGAACATACAGTACCAGAGGGTGTGTGAGTCAAAGAGGTCACCATTGGACATGAAAGATGAGAGCAGGAGGTGAGGGCTGCTGAGAACGTGGAACAAGGTTTGCTCGTTGAATACCTTCCACTGCCGCCGGGATATGGTGTCGCGTCTTCTCTTCTTCTCCACGAGCAGGTTCTTTCTCCCGAGCGGCTCGGGACACGGGTCCAAGATATCGAGGAGAGGGTCTACCGGGTGCTCTCCCGTGTTGTCCTCATTGAAGACATTGCAGAAGAATTCGATGATATCGATGTTGATGCTGGAAAGGGATTGTGGTAGCGGACATGTTATCTCGGCGGATTCTGCATTGCCCCCGAGGTCTAGCGGCAGCCCAAACCTCCCCTTGCGCTCAGCAGATGGCGATGCCTCGAATTCGGTCGATGACTGGAGAGTGGGGGCCTCGCTTCGCTCCTCGTCGTGCGATGTCAATTCATCCGTATCTCGTCCGACACAATTATCGGGCGAGAAGTTGCCAAAGAAGGCAGGTTTGGACGGCATCTCCGGTATCCCCCGCGACATGGCAGACACGGATCGGAGAGGTCGGGAGAGCTTGTCCGGGTGGAGCATAGCTGGTCTCGGGGATTTTGTCGGCGACCTTGGTTCCTCCAATTTGGCCGGGGAGACGGGCTCCAGTGATGCCCTTCTACGCGGCTTACTAGCCGATTGTGGTGAGCGCAGCATGGATTCGGGCGCGCGTCTCGATTTGGTAGGGTCCCTAGGCGATGGGTTGAGCGATGGGTTGAGCGGCTCCGGAGGCGCCAGCTTCTCAGGTGGATCCCCATTGAGGATACTCGGCGGTTTTGAAGGAGGCTCCAGCTCAGCACCCGAATCCGGAACTAGAGTTGTCGAAGTGGAAGCCGATAGTTGTGGATAGGCCCCTAATCGGGTTTCCATGTCTTGGTTACCCACTTGGAGCTTGTTGGAAATGGCAGCCAGCCCTTGGGGCGTCAGCCACTCAAACATCCTGAACGCCACGGTACCAAAAAGGTTCGCTGCAAAAGAGCGGTGATCTTTGTTGGTTGGCTTCTCCTGGATCTTGTAGGTGCAGGGTGCGCTCGTCTCGTCATGCTCGGCTGATATATGGTCTTCGTCGCCGCTGATTGAAATGCGTGCCCGTGCCGGTTTGCTTTCGGGGCAAGGGGGCCTGGGGGATCGTGCGCACCCGGTCTCTCGGCCAGGTTTGCTCTTGAGAGACCCAGAGCTTCCACGGCTGCTGGGACGCTTTGTGTCCATGGGAAGCATCGGGTCTCGGCTCGTCTTCTCAAAGGCGAGGTCGTTGAACAAGGTCTTGGGGGCGTCTTTAAGTTGGCGAGGCGCAAGACAGAGGCCCTTTTCCGGGTCGTCTTGGCTAGCAAGGTAGACGGCCAACGTCCTAGCACTCAACTGGCTATAACGTCTGATCGGAGCCTTGCCGGCAAGTCGCTTTCGGCAGGTAAAACACGTCGGTACTGTGCAGTCGGGCGCACCGCAGCCATATCGCAGTTGGTTGATGTACCTAATTTACCGTCAGCAAGACCTCAACAGCATACAAAAGGTGAGCCGTGAGCCCGATATTTCACGTACATTCCCACTAGTTCCTGGAATCTGTGCCTGCGGCTGGCGCGATGTATGACATAGATGCGGCGCGGGTCGTCGATGTCAACCAGGTATTGACGTAGCTCATCGGGCGCATCTGACGGCAGACGGGCGAAGGGGGCCTCCTGCCATAGGCCAGCGAGGAGATCTGGGTCGCATCCATCTTTGGCAGACTCGCTGCTCCTCTGCAGGCGGTAAGCGAGACCAGAAGCCGGTGACATGACGCACGGCAGAAGTTGAGGAGTGTCGTAGCCGATGGGCGGGCCGGCCTTGGTGGAGGGCTCAGTAGGGATGACGCAGGTCGAGAGCACTCATGCTATTGTCATCGGAGTTGACGATGACTTCCGTACTATCAGGATACAGAGCCAAGTGCCACACAGTCTCTTTATTCATCCAGGTGCCCGTGGGGCCAATATCGGAGGTCGGAGGTGGGAAGATGATGATGGAAGGTAGTTGAAGGCCGGTGCTTCCCCTTTGGGCGCAGGATGATGACAAGCGTCGTCTGTCTGGCAGGGGACCGATCAGACTACACTGCACGGGCGCGTAGGACTAGGAGGACTAAGCGACGCTAGTATGATTACGGAGTAGCACGAGTACCACCCCAACCTACCAGTGGAATATCATATCTTGCAACGGGATGTTTTATTTACCCTGCAGACTATTACAAGCAGAAACTGGGGCTCGGTATTAGTATGAATGGATGATTTACATCTACTCAAGTCATCATATCAAGTCGACAGTTGGATCTGTGCAAAATGTTGCTGACTTTTCAGAGTAGGGCTAGTCACAGTAATATTACCATCTGCACCATCCAAGGCTGCACCCTTACCGCTTTGGGCGCAATACGCTGTGGCTGTAGCCTGTGAGTCATGTGGTGCGATGCATGGCAAGTAACTGCTAACACTTGGGTAACCGTCACTTGGTATTTGTCATCTGCACAAGATGTCCTGAATGACAGTGGCGACGAATATTTGAAGTCAATGTGGCAAGAATCCTGCATCTTCTTTCGCCGTGGAGGAATTCCTATCGTCCACCTTGTGCACATTCACCTACTCAGACAGCCGCCAACGCAATCCAAACTTGTAAAAGGCCACGGTACATCAAGTACTTACAGTACCGAATGCTGACGTTATCGGCCCGCTAAGAAACTCTTATCGCTCAAGCCCCGCGATAACCCCGCCACCCACGAATTTTCATCATCATTTGATCTTTGTTTGTCGATAATCTCCCAACTGCTCTCACCATCAAGCTCTTCCGTTCGTTTCTTGTCCCTTGAGATATATTGCAAATCTAAATTCTCCTGGGCTCCAAATATCTCGAATACTCCCGAAACAGAAGCGTTGTGCTTCAGCCGACGCCGGCCATGACGAGTGTAGCAGCCCAACCCGCCACGGCTGGGAACTCGGCCTCTCACCCGTACACGTGCAACACCTGTCAGGTCGCCTACCGCAACATCGATCTCCAGAAAGGCCACATGAAGAGTGACTGGCAGTATGTGATATATCCTCCGATACTCTCCAAGACTCGAGCCCTCCTAACAACTCTCCCCTCTCACTCTAGTCGGTACAACCTCAAGCGCCGAGTAGCCTCGCTCCCCCCCATCTCTGCCGACGTCTTCACCGAAAAGGTTATTTCGGCTCGTGCTGCGACTACAGTTGAGGCCGAAAAGGCCTACTTTGAGCGCGGCTGTGAGGTGTGCCAGAAGACGTACTACAGCGAAAATGCCTTTCAGAACCACCTCAGCAGCCAGAAGCACAAGCAAAATCTTGCGTCCGTCAGCCAACGCCCTGATGATGAGACCACATCCGTTGTCAGCTCGACCTTCACGCTGGGCGACCCGGTGCCTGTCCGCCGCCACTCTGTCAACTCCGATGCCGAGCAAGAGTTCAACCAGGTCGTCGAGGGGTTCCAGCGAACAAGTATCTCCAAGAGCGAGATGCGGCCCTCACCTGTGAAGCGTCCCTCGAACCCCCAGCCCGACAGGAACGGCGACACTGCGGCCGACCGCGAGTCGAACAACGCGACTCCGGTACAGGCCCCGGCGGAGCCTTCCTGGTCGCTCACGTCGTGCATATTCTGCAACTACAACTCGACCACTGTACCCCTCAACGTGCAGCACATGGAGCGTTTCCACGGCATGTTTATCCCTGAGAAGGAGTATCTTGTCGATCTTGACGGACTTGTCAAGTTCCTGCAGGAGACTGTCCACGATGGCCATGAATGCCTGTACTGTGGCAAGCTCAAGCCTTCGGTGTTTGGCCTCCAGACGCACATGAGGGATAAGGGCCACTGCAAGATCCCCTTCACAACTGAGGCGGAGCAGCTGGCCATCGGTGACTTTTACGACTTCCGGAGCACGTACTCGGATGACGACGAGGACGACGACGACGACGACGCTGTCAAGGGTGGTGCCAAGCTGGGCGCCGCACGTGCGGCCAACTATGTCAATGAGGACGGAGAGGAGGTCTCGACGGAGGAGGCCGACGGCTGGGAGACAGACAGCGCAGGAGAGGACGATGAGCCTTCCGACGCTCGCACTCGTTCTCAGGGCCAGAAGAACGCACGTTCTATCATCCAAGACGAGTACGAACTTCACCTGCCGACTGGAAAATCCATCGGTCACCGCTCCATGAACAAGTACTACCGCCAAAACCTCCACAACTACCCGACGCCCGAGGAGCGCGCAGAGCGCGAAGCCATCGAGGCTGGCAGACCGGATTCGGACAACGATGAAGACAATAAGGTTGCGACCAGGAACGGTCGCAGCTCTAGGGCTGTTGTTCCCCGTGGAGCTGCAGGCATGACTGGGGTGTCGGATAAGAAGCGTGAGAACGTGCAGAAGGCCGAGCAGAGAGGCCGCACGAGGGAGGCCGTGGTGTCCAAGAAGAAGGACTACACGGTGGGCAAGAAGCTCAACAACCAGAAGACCTACTACTACCGCTACCTCAACGGTGGTTAGTGATCTTATTTGCAGGATTAGAGAGCCGACATCAGTGAATGGAACTTTGTCTTGCTTATTTTTTTCGAGAGTGATTCTGACCCCCGAATGATTAGTAGCACCTGTGAACACGGCCTTTCTGGACTACGTACTAATAGTGTTGACTCTTCCTTCTTTTCTTTCCTCCTTTGCCACATAGTCATATTAGATCTTTCTTTAGCAACCATGTCGACTGGGCCTCTCGATTTCTCCTAAGCAAGCATTGTGTAAGCGGCACGTCCATGTGCTCTCACCTTATCTACGACATAATTCTCAAAGAGTACAAGCCTAGGGTAGGCATCGGCGTGGTGGCAGAGTGGTCTAATGCGCAAGACTAGAAATCTTGTTCCTTCGGGAGCGTCTGTTCGAATCAGGCCCACGTCGGTTTTTTTTTATCATTTATTTTTCCAGCTCCGTTGCTTGGTTCCATTAAATCCGAAGTGATTGCCCCGCGGTGATTGTCCGCAGGGCTCTCGGGGTGGGTGCTTTGCCGTTTTGGTTTGGGGAAAGTAGGATCCACCTGTTCATCCATTCTTCGGGGGTTTTTCCCCCACATTGTGCGGGAGCGCCACCAACCAATTCTCATCAGTTTTATCACCCAGAGATGAAAGTCCATACATCAGACTAAAGATCCTGCATACTGTGATAGTAGTATCTGATAACTGATTGTTTTTTTTTTTTTTTTTTTTTTAAAAAAAAAGCTCCTTTCTCGTTTCTTATTCTATTTTGTTCTCATCTGGTGGCCTGTTCGTGCTCTCTCAGATGATGCAAAGCGAACCAGTCACCCGCCGCACGCAATTCTCCAGCTGTGATGAGTGCCGCCGATCGCGCGTCGCCTGTGATGCATCGGCCCGTGCCAAGGGTCAGGATGCTGAGCAGTCTTCCATCTCTTGCACTCGCTGTGTGAATCGTCGCACACAATGTACTTTCAAGGTGAGAGTCTCCAGTTCGACGCTGTACTTGGCGACCATCTTCTTGTGACTGACTGACCCGTACCCGTGTCGACGCATAACGCAGTGGGTCAAGGAGAATAAGACTGCCGCTGCCTTGAGAAAGACGCGCAGAGGCCATAGACGACAGTCTTCTGCGGTAACGTCCAGTGATACCACCGTGTCGCAGACGTGCCGCTCTCCCGGCTCCCCCGACTGGCCCTCTCCGGCTGGTAGGGACCATGCGCAGGCAGCTTCTTATCCTTCCTGTTACGTGGATAACGGCGCATCTTCATCTATGCTAGCACCTTCACCGCCGGCACCATGGCGGGATATACTGAGCCCTCTCGAAACACGATGGCTGTTCAGCATCTACCACATGGGATTCGACACGGTATTCGGGTCTTGGATGGGACGGTTCTGCTGTCCGTTTGTATACGAGTATGCACACCACTTTCCTCAGAGACAACGTGTCCGACATGTTGTGCTAAAATCCAGACGAAAACATAGGGCCGGAAAAAACAGCCGTGCAGATAAGTGTGTGCGGATATCTGACCTATGTAGGAAGCTCGACATGTGCATGGAGTACGGCACTCTTGACGGACCCAGGGCCGACGGCGATGATCACGTCATGGGTGAACGGTACAGAAAAATGGACGAGTCCCTGGACGGCGCCATCCTCTCCTTTTCTGCGAGGTGGCTTCCCCTGGTAGTCGAGGGAATGGACAGCCTGGGCGGCGAGAGCAATGTCATCCAAGTCCTCTGGCGCCAAGCCCGCCGCGACATGCTCAGGGTGATCAACCGACCTTCGTACCGGTCCATGCTTTCCCTGTTCCTGTTCGCATCCACCCCCATCCCGGCCGGTATATCCGAGGAGGAAGAGGCCGACGGCATATCAGGCCAGGCATGCGTGCACGCCGCCCTGCAGCACATCCAGATCCTACGAGCGCGGCAGCGCAACCTCCAATTCAACGGCAGCAAGGTGTCGCCCTGCCAGCAGGGACGCGCAGCCGTCATGGTCCCCGCCGCGAGGCCAGACCCGGCAGATGCAGTCGACTTCATCGACGCCGAGAGCACGACGTACTGGGCCGCCCTGACGTTCGACACGTCAGCGTCGCTCACGCTGAACTGCCGCTCCCTCCTGTCGTCCGGTCTGTTTGGGTTCGACGAGGAGCTCCCCTGGCGCCTCGTGCGCACGTGCGCGCAAATGTTCAACGAGACCAGTCAAGAATGGCAGTCGTCGTCCTTGTCTGGTAGGACCGGTAGTAGCAGCAGTACCGTCGAGCTGACAGACGAGCGGGCCAACCAGATTATCGGCGCTGCGTCGGCGTGGAAGCTGCTCAGCTGGAAGTTAATTGCCATTTTCAAGGAGGCCCTACGCGACGGACACGAAGAGACGAGGGTGCGCAAAGCGTACAGCGACGTGGTCGACTCTATCAACTACTTTAACACGACGTTCCGTCCTCACCTAGACGCTTGTCAGCGACGCATGCAGTTCCTAGACCAGAAGACCAAGCTACGATGGTGTAAGCCACTTTATATCCACCGCGCCC